CTCGAGCTCTCATTTGTCGGCGTAATCAGGGTTTGCCGCAGACAGACAATCGTAGCTGCATGGATTTATAATCGCCGCGAGTTTCCTTCCTTAGGATTCTTCCTTATCACTAGAACCAGTGTACCTGTAAAACAACAGAGGCTCTTCCAAACGTCTCTCCTAATAATCAATCGACCAGCGTAAGACCAGAATCCCTCTGGGCGATCTCCCCCGCATTTCGGCGATCGATTTATTTCTGTTTTCGGCGAGAGTTGTCTCGCTGTTGTTACGATCAAGTCAGACGCCTGTCAAGTCGTCGATTAACAACGACGGCCGGCCATGGCTGAACCATAATCGCTGACACTGTGACCGCTGGGAAGCCTCCATTACGCACTATCAGTGCTCGCTCTCGCTAGATTTGCACCACCCACAACTCCGACCTCCGCAATTCTCGGCGTTAAAAACGACTGTTTTTCCCGTTCCTTTAACGCTCTTCGCAATCGCGTCGGCCACGGCGAGTCGCGGCGGTTTTCCTGTTGGTCGCAGCACTACTCTCTTATTCGCGATTCGTCGCTCTCAGACTCTCGCTGCGGGACTGTTGGACTTTGGTCGCAGCACTACTCTCCCATTCGCAATTCGTCGCTCTCAAACTGTCGGCGCGGGACTCTAGACTTGATATCTTCCGAGAAATCCAGCTTCGGTGGACCCATCCAGCTGGGCGTTTCGGCTCTGCTGGAGGTTCGGCCAGTACGTGCGCTTTTCCAGACCCCGGAGGCTCGGCAAACAAGCTGTCAGGGTTTGCGACCGACCGATCGTTACTACTAGGTTCGGCGAGTGCTGTCAGGTTCGGCAGGCGGCGGCGACATAATTACTTACCAACTACTAGTAATACGACGCATTCTCTAACTTAGTAAATTAGTAGCAGCAGCATGACAATGCCGCGGACGTCCACCCCCGTGCAGCCCGTGATTGTAGTGGTGGGCCGCAAATACTGCAAGCCGTTTGACACCGTGCTTGTAATGAAGGATCGGCCGTTCTCGACGGACAAGGAGACGGAGATTCACGACGTCGTGGGAAACCTGCACTTTAAGCTCTCAGCCAAGTGAGTCGTTGTTGTAGGGATGCGAAATCGTGGTGACTGTTGAGTAATCTCAAGAGACGGAGATTCACGACGTCATCGGAAATCTGCACTTCAAGCTTTCCGCCAAGTGAGTGGTTGTTGTCGGGATATAGAATTGAGGTGACTTTTAAGTCGACTTAAGACAAATTTACGTCGTAGGTAATCTGCATTTTAGGCTCTCCGCGGAACCGTAGGAAACCATATTAAGTCATAGTAGGGATGCGGAACCGCGCGGGTACGGGAAGTATGGGTACGGTTTCGGGGTCCATCCGTCCATGTTCGGGGTCGCGTACGCGGTACGGTGCGTGGACGGTGCGTGTACGGGTACATATTCAGGTACAGTGCGTGTGCGGGTGCGGATACTACGGGGTAGTGGCGGTGCGAGCTCGTTTCGGCGGGAAACGAGTGTGGGGGAGGCGATGATTCTCGCGCGGGGCGCGGTGTGCTAGAAGCAAAGTAGTAGGCATCAGCGGCGAAATGACTCCAGTCGTTGCATCGCGTGAGCGCAATGCGAGTTTCGATCTTCTGTGTGTGAATTTTTCGGAAATTCCCCCTCTCCCCCTCTTCCCCCTCCCACCAGGCCTCTCTCGATGCGATCGAAGCGGTTCATTCTAGACGCGGAGGGGCAGCCGGTGGGTGGCATGAGACAATCTCGGAGGCGCCTCAAAAGTCACCAGCCTCAAACCCCCCAATTCCCCTCCCCTTTTTCCTCCACCAGGCCCCTCTCGATGCGGTCCAAGCGGTTCATTCTGGACGCGGAGGGGCAGCCGGTGTGCAACCTGGTGAGCAAGCTGCTGACGCTGCACGACACCACGTACCTGTGCCCGGGGGACTCTGCTAGTGCCGACTCGCACCTGCTGCAGGCCAAGAGCGGCGTCGTGTCGCTGCGCCCCTGTATGAAGGTGCGAACAGCTCAGATGTGTGGCTCTTTTTTTTTTTTTTTTTTTTTTTTTTTTTTTTTTTTTTTGAATCAATGAAATCATACTTCTTAGGGAAATTGAACAGTTTGGTGTGTTTTGACTGTTGAACGGCGTCTGGAGCATGTAGGGTGGGGTTCTAGGACCAGATGGGGTGTGACTGAAACGAAGGGGTTGGAGGGAGAGCGAGCTAAGCTGCTGACGCTGCACGACACCACGTACCTGTGCCCGGGGGACTCTGCTAGTGCCGACTCGCACCTGCTGCAGGCCAAGAGCGGCGTCATGTCGTTGCGGCCCTGCATGAAGGTGGGAGAGGAGAGGCTGTTGGTTTATTGACTGGCTGTGGCGCGTTTTGAGGGTGATTGAGCGGCAGTCATGTCGCTATGCCCCTGCATGAAGGTGGGAGGTTGTGCCGTGTCAATCAGATTACAAGCAATCTCGTGGGATAATGAGGCTATGAGATGTTTTGTGAGGTGTTTTTGAGACACTAGCACCTCCCTCTGCCTCTCAGTCTGCCTCTTCTTATGCCTCTCCTCCTGCCTTCCCCCCTGCCCCCTTCTCCCTGTGTGCCCCCTGCGTGCCCCCTGTGTGCGCCCAGGTGTTCCTAAGAGGCAACACATCACAGGAACCGGACATTGAGCTAACAGGCTTCTTTTCCAAGCGCAACTACAGGGTACTTTCCTTCCCATGCTCCCGCCCCTTACCTATTGTCTCCCTTCAAATCCTACCCAGTCCACAACCTCGTTCTTCCTTCCGTTCGTTTGTTTTCCGCTTCGTTTCTGTTTCTTTAATTCGCTGCCCTCTGGATCGTTGCTCTCCCCCCCTTCCCCTCTCCCCCCCCCCCCCCCCCCCCCCCCCTCCCCCTCTCTCCCCTCCGTTCCTCCCCATCTCCTCTCCCCATCCAGTCCAAATTGTCACGCCCAGCATCCTATAACTGAGGTGCGGAGAGGCGTCTATTCTTCTTCCCACAGCCCAATCTCCGCTCTCGACCCTTGTTTATCCCCGACCCTCCCCTCTCCTCCCCCCCCCCCCCCCCGCCCTTCTTCCGCCCGTTCTTCTTCCTCCCCACCCCAGATCGTCACGCGTGACGGCATCCTGTTAGCCGAGGTGCAGAAGGACAGTTGTGGCTCGCATCAGCTCGCTGTGATTACTATCCCACCAACCAACCTCCCTCCCCATCCCTCCTCTCCGCTCCCCCACCCTGCTCCTTACTCCTGCTCCTACCCAGATTGTCACGCGTGACGGCATCCTGTTAGCCGAGGTGCAGAAGGACGGGTTTGCAGCACGCAACAGCGCGTCGCTGCCCTCGGAAGCCTACTACTACGTGCGCGTGCTGACAGGTGTCGACACCGCATTGGTTCTCGCGCTCGCTGCGCTTGCTGATGACATGTTCCCGGAGAGAGACATTGACAGCCTGGCGGATGACTGAGTGGGCGTGTGAGTGAGGGGGGAGGAGGAGGGGGAGAGGAGAGGGGATGGAGGAATTTTGAGACGTCTCGAAGGTTGCACTTGCTGTGCTCCCTGCGCCGCCTGCTGATGACACGTTCCCGAAACGAGACATTGACAGCCTGGCAGACGACTGAGTGGGTGTGTGGGGGGAATTGGGACGGAGGGGAGGGAGCGAGGAGAGGAGCGGGGGGGTATGGATTTCGAGACGTCTCTGAAAATCCTGTGCAAATATGGGCCAATCATGGATGGAGGCGTACTCACAGGCACGGACATATGCACAGGGAGAGACTGAGACTGAGACTCACTTGAGACACACTAACCATTAGCCTCGATTACACTGACTGCTCATGATTGCCCTTACAGTTGCTCACCAGTCGCTATGACTAACCCCTCATTACCAACTGCAATCCCCAACCGTTGATTTCCAATCGCCAACCTCCAACCACCAACCGCCGATTTCCAACCGTTAACCTCCAACCGGCACTGCCTCCCCACAGGCTCCGCTTTACTGCAATCTCATCACCACTTTCAAACTGCAATCTCACCACCACTTTCAAACGCCTTGTTTCAATCTGGTCGATCCATCCATTGGTTACATCACTAACGAACGACATCAACAAAGGCACATGTTGAGGACAATTCCCATGCCCACCAATCAGGGTTGGCAATCAGGATTGGTTGGTACTGGGAGGGGGCATCTGTCCCTATTCATTGGGACCATGGGCCATGGCTCTACTTTCTACCCTACCTAACCCATCTGTCTGCTTCGAAGGTACCATTCAACGTGCTGTTTTATGGGGTAATTGTTTATTTTTTCGTCGCTTGATGCTGCACCATACCTGCCGTATAACCTCAGTTGATGCTCATGTGCTACTCACTGCATAGGGTACTTGGTTCATTTCATGGGGCTGATGCTATTTAATAACTTGCTCACTACAATTTAATGTGAAAATCTGTTACCGGTACATTTACATGTATTACCATGAGTGCAGCTTGGAGGATGATGTAATCATGGAGTGATAGTAGCAATTGCACTAAAGGAAAACAACTTCCGCCCAAAAAACACAATGCCTATTTGGAAGAAACCAAAACTCATACAGAATCTAGCTAACAGTACCGAGCACCCATTTCTGCATAAAGACACAGGACCTCCTCCTGTTCGTCTTGTTCAGCTTCCTATATTTAAGCTATTTTCTCAACTCAACTCACCCTCCCCATCTGTTTCCCCACGCCTTCCCCACGCCCCCCCCTACCCTTGATCAAATCAACTGTTTCAGCTGTTTCCAACCAGGTAACCCTTCCATGCCATGCCCACCTGTCCCCCATCCCTCCATGCCATGCCCCTGTCACACTGTCTCGCTCTCCTTCACATAGATGACTGCGCTGCAACAGACAGCTTGACCATATCAAAATTCTTGAAACAAAGATAGGCTGTCCTGCCTGCCTTGCCTTTTCCAGCGCATGGCCCCCTGATGCATGCTATCCCTCTCGCTCGCTGAGGCACGTAAAAAATTCCCCCATGCCACTCTCCTTCATCAAGCAATGCCGCTCTCCTTCATGCGAGTGACTGCCTCCAGTGCAGTCTTGTTGGTGGGCTCTAGGATCAATGCTTGACTGAAGTCTGCATGGAGACGAAGGGGGGGGAGGAGAAGGGGAGGAGGGGAGGAGGGGAGAAGGGAAAAGGGGGAGAATGGGAGAAGGGAAGAAGGGGAGAATGAGAGAAGGGGAGCAAGAAAGAAGGGGAGAATGAGAGAAGGGGAGAAGGGACGAAAGGGTGAAGGAGAGAAAGGGAGAGCGAAATAAAGGGAGAAGGGGTGAAGGGGAGAATGCGAGGCGAAAGAGAGGAAGAAGGAGAGAAAGGGAGAGGGGGAAAAAGGGAGAGCGGATGCGAAGCGGACTCAGTTGACCCAAGACAAACCAGGATTTGGTGAGAGGGAGGGAGGGAGGAGTGAGGGAGGCGAAACGAGAGAAAGAGGAGGGGGGAGGTAAGGAGCGAGGAAAGGATGAGGAGGGTGTGTGTGTGTGTGTGCGCGCGCGCGCGTGTGTGTGTGTGCGCCTCACCCGCTTTTGCGCACGCGTCCGGGAGAAAGGGAGTCACGGAAAATAATAACTGACAGCAACTTAACAAACATGCTATTGATTTTGTTTGTTGGTTTCCATTAATGGTACCTTCGAATGCCTCTGGATAGAGCCCAATCATCTGCCTGGCTGCCCCTCTGTGATGAGGGTATTTTTGAGACGTCTCAAAAATACCCTCATCACACGTGGCTACTCTTTATCTGCCTGGCTGCCCCTCTGCGTTTTGAGATGTCCCAAAGCAATCCCCTCTCCCCCCCCCCACCCCCCCCCCCTGGCTCCCTCTCCCCTCCCCCCCTTGTCCTCCCACCAACGCGCTCTTCGTTTTCCAAAACTGGTACCTTCGAACGCCTCTGGATAGAACCCGAGCATCTCCCTGGCCGTCCCTCTGCGTCTCATACATCTCAAGACAAACCCCCAGGCCTCCCTCCCTTGTCCTCCCCCCAACACCCTTTCTGTTTTCCAAAAAAGGTACCTTCGAATGCCTCTGGATAGAACCCAAGCATCTCCCTGGCCGTCCCTCTGCGCAGCATGGCCTTCACATTCTGATAAGGGAAGGGGGGACAGATAGGCAGCAGGCACACACACACAGAGTGTGAGCATACAGCCAATCAACGCACCGCAAGTGAGGCGACCTATTTAGCACCTTGTTGAGGCTTCACTAAATCGCCTAACACACACAGAGAGGGTGAACATACAGCATGTCGATGCACCAGAGGTGAGCACACAGCAGACAAGACACAGAACGCAGAGAAGGTTCCAGGAAAACAGGGAGTGCAGTGAGCGTAAAGGAAGGACGGGGTTGTGGGGGGGGGGAGGGGAAGGGGAGGGGGAGGGGGAGAGAGAGTTGAGTTGGAGAGAATATTGTCTCCAATAGTTGCTGCTGGGTCTGTTGCGGGGATCTCACCTTCTTGTCGAGGCTCAACGCAGCTGTGCAGTCCGCCTCCACTTGCTCAAAACTGGAGAGGAGGGTGGGGATGGAAGAGAAGGGGGGCGAGCAGGAAAAAGAGAAGGGAGAGGAGAAATGGAGATGGGACAGAGTTGCTCAACAAAGAAAGAGGAGAACAAAGAATGACAATCCTCTGGCTGCATTCGTCCAGGCTCAGTTGATGTAGGGCACTGTGCGGTAGGGGTACTCTATGCTCCGACGACGTGACTTATTAGTCGACTCAAAAGTCACCTCGATGTAGGGCATTGTGCGTTAGGGGTACTCTATGCTCCGATGAACCACAATGCCCCTATGAGACTACGAGCCAGTCCGACTCACTTGTGCAGGTTGAGGTATGCCATGGCTCGGTTGGAGTAGTAGGTGGCGTTTGAATAGAACAGAAACTAGTGGTCGAAATGGAACTATGATGAGCCTGTGAGCCTGTGAGCCTACGAGCCTGTGAGCCTACGTGCCTGTGAGCCTACGTGCCTGTGAGCCTACGAGGCAACGAGCCTATGAGCCTGTGAGCCTGTGAGACTGCGACCCTGTGAGGCAACCAGCCACTGAGACTCACTTGTGCAGGTTGAGGTAGGCCATGGCGCGGTTGGAGTAGTAGGTGGCGTTCTTGCTGTCGTGCCGGATGGCCGTTGTGTAATGGTCCACTGCCTCCTGGTACTTCTTCTGCTTGTACGCCTTGTTGCCCTGGGACAGTTGAAAAGGGGATGGGGGAATGTGAGGGCAATAGGAATGGAAGGGAAGGATGGGGGATGGAGGGTGGTGGTGCTATTGTTGCTGTCGTGCCGGATGGCTGTCGTGTAATGGTCCACTGCCTCCTGGTACTTCTTCTGCTTGTACGCCTTGTTGCCCTGGAAGGGGGGGGGGGGGGAGGGGGAATAGTGGGGCCATGTTGGGACAATGCGGGTGGAATGGAAGAAAGAAGGGGCGGAGGGTGGTGTTTATTTTTGCCGGATGGCCGTTGTGTAATGGTCCAATGCCTCCTGGTACTTCTTCTGCTTGTACGCCTTGTTGCCCTGCTTGGAAAAAACAAGGGTAAGAGAAAAAGGCGGGAGAATGATGGAGGCAGCTAGGGAGGCAGGCATAATTCAGGGGAGAAGTATTGAGAAAGCTTAGAGGATGTACACACCTTTTCTTTGGCGATTTCAGCTTGTGAAAGAACAGGCTGCGCTGCTGCTGATGAGGATGCAGAGGCTTGTGACTTGTTGAGCTTTGGCAATACCGCCTGCAGCGAGGTGGCACGGTGGAGGGGTGGAGGGGCGGAGAGGAGGAGAGGGAGGAGGAGAGGGAGGAGAGGCGAAGGGGTGGAGAGGGGGAGATGCAGAGCGGGAGTGAGGCACACAGGCAGAGAGGCAGACACGCACACAGGCAGGGAGGCAGAGGGGCAGAGAGGCAGAGGGGCAGAGGGGCACATTCATCGATTAGGAATGATAAATGCAAGCAGGAAAGCAGAGATATGGAAGACTAGAAAATGCACACTCACATGAAGCTGCGCATGCACAAACACGCACAAACACACACACATGAGTATGTCTCTGCACACACACATACACATGCAAACACCTCTCACCCCTCAACCATCACCCTTTCCCCATCGCCCTTCACCCTTTCAAACACCCCTCATCCCTCACCCCCCGTCCCTCACCCCTCACCTTATACGCGTCTTGCACGGCCGGGGCAAAGTGTGTGACAGAGTCGAGGAGAAACCGGTCTGCTCCATGTCTCGCCATCAGCCCCACTGCCAGCGGCAGCCCCGAGGGAGAACACTCCATACGCCCTATAGGCACAGTCACCTGTGGAAATGTGCGTCGACAAAGGGGAACGGGACCAGGCACGGAGAGACAGACAGGGCGGGTGTGGTGGGTGAGTGAGCCTAGATGGGTACTTGATATGAAAACTGCCCTGCATGCCCTGTTCCCCACTCTACACAGCACAGCACTGCATCACACCACACCGCACCGCACAGCACAGCACAACACAGCCCATGGCAAGCTTACCCCCCACCCGCCCCGCCTCCCACCTTCTGCTCTCTTCCCCGGCAAGCACCTGGGGGCAGCCGGACATGGACACGGGCGCCATGAGCAGCATGGCAGAGGCTGCATGGTACCATACCAGCACACTTACCCATTCACCACACGCAGCACACCACAGGGAAAACGTCATATCCTTCCCACCACAGGCCAACCCTCATATCCTCCCTCCCCCCCACACCACAGCACCTGCGGGCAGCCGGACATGGACCCGGGGGCCACGAGCAGCATGGCAGAGGCTGCATGGTATGAGCATAACAACCATTCACCAAAACAAGGCAGCACACCACAGCACACCACAGCACCGCACACCACAGCGTGCACCAAGCAAGCACCTGGGGGCAGCCGGACATGGACCCGGGGGCCACGAGCAGCATGGCGGAGGCTCGGAACGCGTCCAGCACTTGAGGCTTGGCGCGCAGCTTGGGGGGGAAGTCTGGCGTCACTGGCAGCGCTATCAGCCCGTCGCTCTGAGGGAGGAAGAGAGGCGAGGGGGAGGGGGGGGGAGGGTTGGCAAGAAAGAAGGGGGGAAAGGGGAGAGGAAGGGAAGGTGGAGGGAGGGCAGAACGTCTGGCTTGAGGCGCAGCTTGTCAGGAGAGTAGAGCGTATGGCGTCAATGGCAGCGCTAACACCCCCCCCTCACCTTGCAGAGGTCTGTGATGGCGGCTCGCAGTTGTTCCCGCACCAGTTGGGCCTGGGCAGCATGAGCTGCGAGTGCCTCCGGCTCCGCTTCCATGGCTGCCTGCACGCGCACCTGCACGTCTGCCTGCAGCTAAAACTCCTCACTGCGAGCCTAACCCTTCAAACTCCAACCCCCTAAAACCCCAACCCCTGAAACCCGAGACGCTGAATTCCAGACCTCTCAACTCCACCCTCCTCACCTTGCAGACGTCTGCGATGGCAGCTCGCAGTTGTTCCCGCACCAGTTGGGCCTGGGCAGCATGGGCAGCGAGTGCCTCCGGCTCCGCTTCCATGGCTGCCTGCACGCGCACCTGCACGTCTGCCTGCAGCTTCGGCTGCACCTGCTGCACCCACGCCTGGTGCGCCGTGCGGAACTCGTGTCTGTTGGCAAACGCAGAAATTGGGATCGCAGGGTTTTGGGGTTTTCAGGGAAAAGGGGTTTCCTTGACTTCTGCATGCAGTATTGGCTGCACCTGCTGCACCCACGCTTGGTGCGGAAGTCGTATCTGCAGAGACAAGCAAGGGTTCAGAGAATGAAAAATTATGGTGATCAAGGGTTTAGGGTCTGGTAGGGGTTTACGAGGAGGTAAACATTCTGACTGTGGCAAACAAACCTTGCTGTACGGCGCCTTTGTCTCACAACAGCACGTTCCTTTGCAGCAGCTTCATGGCTTCTGCCAGTGCTTGCAACGCCCTCTTCCCCTCCTCTGCTGCTTTCTTCCAGTCGACTCAAAAGTCACCTAAACCCTAAACAAGCTGCCTCACAACAATACATACCTTTGCAGCAGCTTCATGGCTTCTGTCACGCATGTCTTTTGAGAATTCCCAACAGCGTATGTTTTTTGAGAATTCTCAAAAACATACACAACAATACATACCTTTGCAGCAGCTTCATGGCTTCTGCCAGCGCTTGCAACGCCCTCTTCCCCTCCTCTGCTGCTTTCTTCGCATTGCTGCTGCTGTCCGTGCTGCTGCTGCTGTTGCCCTGCGGTGCTGCTGGTGGCGGCAGGAGGTTGAGGAAGTGTTGAATCGCTGGTACCCTCTTCAGCAGCAGGTCCTGCCCCACTTGCACGTACTTCACTATGGCTGCACGCACAGGAGGTTAAGGGCAAATGAAGGGCAAGACGGAGGCCAGAATTTGTGCTAGGTGGGAGGCAATGCTCATGCACGCAGCAGCAGGTCCTGCCCCACTTGCACGGACTTCACTGTGGCTGCACGCACAGGGAGTTGGAGTGCAAGCAGGGGGAACCGGGGGGGGGGGGGGGGGGGAAGGGGGGGGTACGGTATAATCTACCCAGCAGCAGGTCCTGCCCCACTTGCACATACTTCACTATGGCTGCACTGCACGGACAGGGGGTTAATAGGAAAGTGGCGGAGGAGAGCAACTGAGAGGCTTGGCTGAAAGTGAGTTAGGAGGAAAGTCGGTCGGGAAAGTAGGGGGACCTACTACCATACAACCCACGCAGCAGCAGCAGGTCCTGCCCCAATTGCACATTGACAGCGGATTGCACATTGACAGCGGAAGGAACGGGACCCTATTACACTTGCACACAGACAGCGCGGTGAAACTTGGAAACGGTGGAAGGAACTTGACACACTCACGGCCAAAGAGCTGCTCTCCTGCAGACAGCACTGCTTCTGTGACGTGGCGGCGGGGGATGGAGCAGAGGTCAAAGAGGTCGTCTGCTAGGTAGAGGGAGAGGCAGGCAGACAGCCCTACATCCCTTGTCCCCCATCCCGCCCTGCTAACAACATCAACACTTACGGCCAAAGAGCTGCTCCTCTGCAGAGAGCACGGCTTCAGTGACGTGGCGGCGAGGGATGGGGCAGAGGTCAAAGAGGTCGTCTGCTAGGTAGAGGGAGAGACAAACCGCTCTACATCCCTCTCAACCTTCCCCTCCCCACATAAACACTCACGGCCAAAGAGCTGCTCTCCTGCCGACAGCACGGCTTCAGTGACGTGGCGGCGGGGAATGGAGCAGAGGTCAAAGAGGTCGTCCGCTAGGTAGAGGGAGAGCGGGCGGCGGGCGGGTGTGAAGGGCTGGCGCAGCAGAATGTGCCCCACGTGACGCAGCACTGCTGGATCCGCTGCAAAGACACCTGGGGAGAGAGTGGGTGGGGGAGTTTGGGCGGAAAGGAGGGGAAGAGGGCGAGGGGTAAGGGGCTGGCGCAGGAGAATGTGGCCCACGTGATGCAGCACTGCTGGATCCGCCGCAAAGACGCCTGGGAAGGGGAGAGGGGGGGGGAGGGGTGGGGTTGGGGGTAGAGGGGGAGGTGAGCTTGTGCCGGTGTTTGATGCTGGTGGCGTGGCATGGCAGGCGGGTGTGAAGGGCTGGCGCAGCAGAATGTGGCCCACGTGGCGCAGCACTGCTGGATCCGCCGCAAAGACACCTGGTAAGGGGAGAGGGGGGGGAAGGGGTGGGGTTGGGGTTAGAGGAGGAGGTGAGCTTGTGTGGGGTTTAATGCTGGTGGCGTGGCAGTTGGCGGGCGTGAAGGGCTGGCGCAGCAGAATGTGGCCCAACGTGGCGCAGCATTGTTGGATCTGCCGCAAAGACACCTGGGGAGGAAGAAAAGAGGGGGTGGGAATGCAGAATAGGCGGAGCGGAAAGGAGGGAGAAAAATGGGAAAGAGAAAGAAAGGGGGAGAGGGGGAAGAGGAGGGAGGAAGGGGGACGGGTAGTGGGGATAGGGGGGGGGATGAGAGACAGGATAGAGACGTGTGGTAGATGGAGGGGAGAAGAATGGAGGGCATTGCTGACCGTCCAATGGTGTTCAGAAAGGTTCATTCTTGTGCTGAGTAATAACTAATGGAAATGTAGGTGAGGAGTGAACAGGAGGAAGAGAATAAGATCACGCATACCCGCCTGCCTGCCTGCCTGCCTGCCTGCCTGCCTGCCTGCCTGCTTGCACACCCGCCTGGCTGCATGCCTGCATACCTGCCTGCAAGCCCGCACGCCCCTTACCGACGGTGTCAAGAGAGGGGGCCATGGGGACGCAGCCGGCAGCGGAGATGGCTGGTCGCTACCTGTACACGCGTCAAACACTATCAAGAGGCACTGATCCTCGTGACACGCAAGCCCGCACGCCCCTTACCAACGGTGTCAAGAGAGGGGGCCATGGGGACGCAGCCGGCAGCGGAGATGGCTGGACGCTACCTGTACACGCGTCAAACACTATCAAGAGGCACTGATCCTCGTGACACGCAAGCCCGCACGCCCCTTACCAACGGTGTCAAGAGAGGGGGCCATGGGGACGCAGCCGGCAGCGGAGATGGCTGGACGCTACCTGTACACGCGTCAAACACTATCAAGAGGCACTGATCCTCGTGACACGCAAGCCCGCACGCCCCTTACCGACGGTGTCAAGAGAGGGGGCCATGGGGACGCATCCAGCAGCGGAGATGGCGCCATGGGAGGGCCGGTACCCCAGCACGCCACAGAATGCTGCAGGGATGCGGATGCTGCCCGCTGTGTCCGTGCCTGGGGGTGGGGAGGAAGGGGGTGTGGGAGCGAGAAGGGGGAGTGAGAGGAAAGGAGTGCTTTAGAGACTGCATGTGGTGGCCGGTACCCCAGCACACCGCAGAACGCTGCTGGGATGCGGATGCTGCCCGCTGTGTCCGTGCCTGGGCGGGGGCGGGGGTGGGGGAGTGGGGGTGTGAAAGGAGAAGTGAAAAGTGAGGACGAAGGGCAGGGATTCCAAGACGTCTCAAGAGATGGCGCCATGTGATGGCCGGTACCCCAGCACGCAGCAGAATGCTGCTGGGATGCGGATGCTGCCCGCTGTGTCCGTGCCTGGGCGCGAAAGAAGCAGCGAGAACAGCGGACGGAGAGGAGAGGAGAGGAGCGGAGCACTTGAAGAGTGCATGAGAGGGCAGAGGCGGGCAGTGGGCTTGCAGTACAATGGAGGGCAGGCGGGGCATGGATGGAAGGGAGGGACATAACGGGGGCCAAGTCAATCAGATCGGCAGATCCGCTTTAATTTTTTTTCTCAAAAGTGATTCCAAGTGATAAAACAGGTGGCGCATGGGCGGGAGGGGCATACCAAGGGAGGGGCATACCGAGGGCAAAGTCAGCTAGATCCGCCGAGATGGCGACAGCAGAGCCGCTGGAGGAGCCTCCAGGCACGTGGTCCGGACACACTGGATTCACTGGCGTGCCCAACGCCTTGTTCTCGCCGAATATGCTGCCGTGGAAAGAAGGGGGGGTGGGGGAGGTAAGTGATGGGGAGAGGTGGGGGGACGGGGGGGTATGGGAGGGAGGTTGAGGGTGGAAGAGGGAGTTACGGAAGAAAAGGATAAAAACGGAGAGAAAACGCTTGGAAGGAATGGAAGAAGCGGTTTTCTTTTAAGCGCCTCAAAAGGTAGCAGAAGGAAGGGACTCAGCACAGCACCATGCCACTGCAGCACTGCCTTCCAGGGTGACTCACCTGTGCGCCATCTCGCCCATGTGCGTCTTCCCCACCAGCTGCTCACTTCCCCGTGAAACTTACAGCACACTGCCTCACAGACTCAGAGCATCCCATCCCACCGCCTCCAACCGCCTCCCACCATCGCTCACCTGTAAGCCATCTCGTCCATGTGCGTCTTCCCCACCAGCTGCGCGCCTGCCTCCACCAGCTCTCTCACACACGGCGCCGTCTGCGCCGCGGGCGCGTGGCTCGCCTTCCACAACCGCACCTCCCACCCTCCCATCCTATCCCCTCACCACCTCACCTCCTCCTCACCTGTACGCCATCTCGTCCATGTGCGTCTTGCCCACCAGCTGCTAATTTCCTCATCAGACTTACACCACACTGCCTCACAGCACACAACCTCACAGCATCCCATCCCACCGCTTCACAACCCCGCATTGTCAACTCACCTGTACGCCATCTCGTCCATGTGCGTCTTCCCCACCAGCTGCGCGCCGGCCTCCACCAGCTCTCTCACGCACGGCGCCGTCTGAGCCGCGGGCGCGTGGCTCGCCTTCCACGCGGGACTCCCAAACCCTGCCACGTGGCCCTCCACGTCGAATCTGCCAGCAACGGAAGGGCGACGGGTGGAAGGGTGGAGGATGGAGGGGTGGAGGGGTCGAAGGGTGGAAGGGTGAAGGGTGAAGGGTGAAGGGTGAAGGGTGAAGGGTGAAGGGTGAAGGGTGAAGGGTGGAAGGGTGGAAGGGTGGAAGGGTGAAGGGTGGAAGGGTGGAGGGTGGAATGCAGCCGCCTGAATAGAAACGGTCACTAAGGGACATTGGTGGCAGTGGTACCACAGCCTTCCCGTACCACCACCACCACCACCACCGCCATTGGTAGGTATAATTCAGTTGCAGGTATAATCAGCATTTGATCATCAAGACTTAGACGCTTATCTGTCAAGAACTTAACTAGCTGTGGACTTGCCTCCTTTACATTACATGTCCTTAATCACGAAGTCAACTAGAGTTTAACTTGCCTCCCTTACATGTCCTTAATGACGAACGTCAGGCCGGTCAGCGGGTGCGGCGCAGCCGGCGGCGGCGGCGGCGGGGGCGGCAGCAGCTCCACCTTCTCGGAAATGGCGCCCCAGTCCTTGGGAATTCCCCGGCGCCTTCTGCGGAACATCAGCAGCGCGCCGGCGATCGAGAGGCCGAGCAACGGCACGATGGCCAAGAGCTGCTGACCCATGATTGGGTGAGCGCTGCTGCAGGGATATCACGAGACACGAGGTCAACGGGAAGGAGCGGAGATATTGGGGAGAGGGGAATGAAAGGTCGAAGCGAAACATCAGCAGCGCGCCGGCATTTGAGAGGGCCAGCAACGGCACGATGGCTAAGAATTGCTGTCCCATGATTGGGTGAGCGCTGCTGAGATATCACTAGGCCGACGGGAAGGAGCGGAGACAACACGGAGCAAAGGATGAAAGCTTGTCGGTAGGAGGAGGAGATAAAGGGGATTTTGGAAAAGGGAAGGAGCCGGGGTGGAGGGGGAGGGGGAGGTAGGGGAGGGTGAGGAGGAGAAGGGGGTGAGGAAGGCAAGCAATAACTGAGAGCGAGACAGGTTGCGGGAACTGGAGAAGCAGCAAGACAAATTAACCGATCGATCGGAGGCACGCCCCCCCCCCCCCCCCCCCCCCCAAAAAAAAAAAAAAAAAAAAAAAAAAAAAAAGCATTTTGGCGTCCAGCACCAGAAAAAAAGGAGCGACAATCAACAAGCGGCGATGACCATTGCCCAAACGAACAGGACATGGCGGCGAAGACGCACCTAGAATCGGATTTCAAACTTCAAAATACTGAATGATCAGTCTGGAAACTCCTTCCTCCTCCTTCAACGCCTTATCAACTTCTGGTGCGAAAAAGACGGTCCAGTCTTTAACTTCTTCGCCAGAGAAACGCGGATCTGAGGCGATCTTTGCAGCAATCAGCTACTACTATCAACGGCGATCGGCGTCGGCGCCGATTGAAGGCTAATACGGCAATCCACGGTGATCAACGGCTGACAATGAAGATCAACTCAACGGCGACACCGATTCTGAGTCTAGAATCCTATCGCGTCGCGAAATGCATGCAACTTGTATTAGGGGATTTTAGTAGATGTAACTCACACCGCGCGCATCGCGTTACAACACTTTCCCACCCAACACGAACCGGCGATCAAGCGACCAGCACTCCTGCTAACGACGAAATAATCGGACGGAATAAAAAAGTACACTGTGGGCCAGGGGCAAACTGAACGGGCCAGTCAGAACGGACGGAATCTTCTAGAAGAACCGACATAGATGAGCAGAATATGCTGCAGAAACGGTGTTCAGCGCTAGAGCAGTAGAACAGTACGGTACCGTACTGTAATGTTCGCAACCTCCCACATTCTCGTGTTTGTCGAAACCAAACCAGCGGAGGCAGCAGGCAGGCTTGGTCTGGGGTGTGGTTTGGGGGATCTGGTGTGCGGAAATATTTGCGGGCACGGCTCCGCGGGCATGGCTTGATGTTTGGTTTGGAATGCAGCTTCGGCTGTGGGGAGGTTTGGCCTTGAGGCATGTTGGGAGTGTGGCGATTGGGTGTAGAATGCTATCCACCAATCTGGGAAAGCTGATTCGTTAAAACGCAAGGTCATTATGTCTTTATTATTACTACTTTCTTTACAGTATAAAAGCAGATCGTCTTGTGGATCAGTTGTACAGTACTTATGGATAGAAAGAGGAAAAGGGAAAGAGGGAGAAGGAAAAGGGAAAGAAAGACACCAGAAACAACTCAAACGCAACACCCATAAAAAGCCCCATAAAAATACTCCATAAAGAAAAAACCCAACCAGGATCCCCTACCAGACGTCCCATCTCGCACACCATTCCCCCTCGCCCCCCCCTCCCCCCCAAGTCACATCTGCACATCCACCATGTAGGGGGCCTCCACCCAAAGAGGCCCGCCCTCCACCTCGACATCGTCCCTCTCCCGCCGCCCGAAGCAGGATGACACGAGCTTGCGCCCGTTGTAACGCCACTCCGATGAGCGCCTTCAGAGACCCCAAAAGGTAAGCCGAGAACGAAGTGTCATCCTCCCGACAAGCCCCCCGTGACACAGCTAGCCCCACGTGCGCGTCCCCCTGCTGTCGAAGCCACCGCCGGAAGCGACCGCCGAGACACCCCCACGTCTCCACTATCAAAGGGGTGAACTGCACGCCTCGGTTCCGTGCAAGAAGAGGCGCGTAATCCCCCGTTTTGCGACGCTCCCACTCCTTTGCCGCCACGCCTATAGACCGCCCGCACTGCCCTAGCAGAGATGGAGACAGTGATAGCGGGTCCGCGACACTAATCTCTAAAGCATGAGCCTCCCCAGCCATTGGTCGTCGCACCGCTACGTCAACCCGCTTCCCCGGCAGCACCGCACTATCCTCCATCGTCACCACCCCCCCTGACGCCTTAGCGATCTTTGCCACCGCAAACTTCACCTCATCATGCACCCGAGATGGACCGTGTTGGTGCTTGCATCTCAGCGCATGATGCGGGTCTGCTGGGTCATCATACGCTGTGCCACAAACACACCTCCCCGCCACTTGCAGCTGCTGGATTGGGAGACCAAGCCGTATAGCAGCAGCAATGCCCCACTCCGCTGCAGTGAATGTGAGATCTGAATGAGCCGGAACTGCCGAAACCCATGCACCAGCCCCCGGGCCCTGAAGGGATGTGAAACGGGCCAGGGTGGCATCGTCACGAGCCAAGCGGCGGAGTGCCTGGAGCTCCTCAACAGCCAACTGCCGCTGCCGCGCCTGGAAAAGCCGAAGAGGAGGGGCCGCCACACACAGGGGTAAGTCCGGCAGCTCCTGGCGTATAGTCGCGGGCAACTGCTCAATGGCCTTGGCAAACCACGGGTCAAGAAGCTCCGCCCCCGCCGAAGTGGTGAGGTACTCTGCGAACATCGCCTCCTCGCCCGCCACCCCCAAATGTGCAATATCCCGTGCGGCCTGCGCCCACCCACAAATATAGGAGAGCGGACTCACGCAAGGTCATTATGTCTTGATATAATAATTCTACGCAGCATCTTTAGTTCATCATTTCCTTTTATTCATAATGAGCAATCAAGAATCGCATGCTGACGATTATCCTTCCGTTATTAAAAATCTTTCCGTTATTTTCCTCTAATAATTTGCCAACAATTGAGCTCAAGATTACCCTTATCAATAATTTTCAAGTTCAGGCACATACACTATTTCCGCTGTGTAAATCAAGTGGTTCCACCCGACTAACTCACGTTGTGCGGTTTGGGTGGGATCAACCTATCCATTCGCCACGTCAGTCTCTCCCGCCAAATCCCACTGCTGGTCTTGCGCTGCCGAAAAGCCTCCGCGCCCCGCTCTTTCCCCACGACGTACCTTCTTCGCGGGCCAAGTTCCGCGGCCTAAGGTCCCCGCCAGAAATTCCCCCACCCCCAGATGCTCCCTAGATATTTCATTCAAAGCATGCTTCCCTGTGTGTGCTGGATATGCATCTCATAGCTTTCAGGATGCCTATCTTGACATTGTACTTTTTCTAGCTGAGACCGTCAGTCTCGCTTATGTCTAGCATAGGATGCGTTTTAGCGTCTTAGGTGCTCGTGTAGCGACGTAAGAGACGGGTGTTCCAATATTTTACGCGGTTGCCTTGCTCTTATGCACCGCTTAGGCTTTTTGCTTTGCAGATCGGGTTCGTAAGTTCGCTTGATACACATTTTCCTGTGTAGTCATGTTCACACAGAATACAAAGTTTTAGATGTTGAAGTTTCGCCTTTTAGTCTCGAATTAGTTGCAGCCTTTTTTTCTGTGTTTGTCTCACACTTCTTTCTTAAACTGATCGCGACGCAAATCTCGTTCTCAAACGTTCTAGGTCAAACTTACAGGAACTCTTCAGTTTCTCATTCTTACGATCAACGTTATGTCGACGCCCTCAGCAGAATCGATTAAAACGACCATCGATGAATCGTCAGATGCAGCTGCTTCTGCCGCTCCGTCCGCACCTGTAAATGCGTCCTTAGCTGAAGGAAATGCTCCTGAAGAGAGCGCCGAGCAGTTACCGTCAGAAACGACTGGCAAAGTTAACGGAACCACGAAAGTCGGCGAAGCTGGCGAAACCGGAGAAGCTACCGAAACTGGCGAAGTTGCGAAAGCTGGTGAAGCCGGCGAAAACGAGCAAGCCGGCGGGGCGGAGGAAGAGGAGGAATACCACAGCGATTTGGAGGATGACGTGGAATTAGTTCCGAGACGACGCGGCGCGAGCGATGATGAGGGTGAAGAGGGAGAGGAGGACGATGAGGAAGGGTTTTTGGACGGTGGAGAGGGGGAAGGAGGAGACGAGTACGAGGAGGCTTATGAAGAGGTGGAGGAATCGGAAGGACTTGATGACGGCGCAGGCGGTTATGCAGAAGAAGATGCCCGTCTCAGCGCCGCTGACGTGGCAAGTTCTGACGGGGAGATGCCAGGGTTTGGTGACGTGGCGGCAGCGGGAGGAGGGGTGGCAACAGGTTCGGAGGCGGGCGCGGAGGGGACAGACCGGGCGGAGGGGGAGGCAGCGGGGCAAGGCGCGGAAGCGGAGACACCAGCGGAGGGCCAGGGGGGAGCAGCGGAAGGGGCTGCGGCGGAAGGGGTTGGTGCGGAAGGCGGTGCCGCGGAAGGGGGTGCTGCGGAAGGAGCAGCGGAAGGAGAAGCGGAAGCGGAGGTGAAGAAGGAAGCAGAGCCGTTCGTGGTGCCGACTTCTGGCGCGTTTTACATGCATGATGACCGCTTCGGTGAAGGCCCAGGCGGGGGGCGGACCAGGTAGGCCCGTTCTCTTCATATTTAGTCGCAACAAAACTACTTCTGGCGCGTTTTACATGCATGATGATCGCTTCGTAGAAGGCCCAGGCGAGGGACGGTCTAGGTAAGCCCGTTGTGTTATTTTTTGGGCGCGTTAAAACTACTTCTGGCGCGTTCTGCATGCATGATGATCGCTTCGGGTTAAGGCCCAGGCGAGGGAAGGTCCAGGTAAGCCCGTTGTCTATTCCTAAGGCGCGTCAAAGGTACTTTTGGCGCGTTCTACATGCATGATGATCGCTTCGGTGAAGGTCAAGGCGGAGGACGGTCCAGGTATGGATTTTGTGGTACTTGTCATTTCTGCCGTTTCAAATTTCAGTCTGATTTTGGTGTTGGAGTACCGATGACTTTTTGTCCGTTGCCCAAGCGCAGGGATCTCGACACTGTTGCTCGAATCCGTTTAGGTTTGTGTGAGGTGTCCGGTCGTTTATTTGTGTGTTCAACACAGAGGGTCTAGAGGAATGCACGGGGAGAACAGCGGGATTAAGAGCCTTTAAAAAATGAGGAGAAATAAATCAAAGCGGTCTGTGTGCTTAGGGTTACGTGTACATGGATTTTTGTTCTTAGGGTTGCGTGTCGAGTGAGCGTTAAGCGCGCTTGCTCGCCAGCCTATTCCCGTAGGCTGCTTGCAGGATGACTCGGCAGGTCAGCTTGCAACTTGAGCCTTAAACGCATTTGAATCTTAACACATGTTGAGGCAGGTCAAATCAGTTACAAGTAAATCTGGCAGTTCAGTCTGCTGACTTGCCATACCGTTTAGATGATTTGTTGTTCCAGATAGGTTTGCCCTTTTTATTTAAATCATCAAGTAACGCTTTTTTTCTTTCTTTCGTTTTTTCTTTTTCTTTTTCTTTTCCTTTTCTTTTTCTGGCGTGTTGCTCTGCCCGTCTCTGGTCCGTATTTCGCTCGCGCAGGGGCGGCAGGGGCGGGCGTCGACTGTGGGAGTCGGGGCGGGAGGAGAAGAAGTGGAAGCACGATCTGTTCGAGGAGCTGGAGCAGGAGGAGAGCAACGGGTTCCGGGAGCAGGGCGGGTGGGAGCACCAGCAGTACTCGGTGAGATGCCGGGGGGGGGGGGGGGGAGGGAGGGGGGGGGAGGGGAGAGGAGGGAAGAGGAGGAGGGAGTGTGGGGGGGTTTGTGTGCGATGTCCAGATCCCTTGATCGTTTTCCTACAGGAGGGGAAGCGCGATCGGTTTGAAGGGCTGGAGCAGGAGAGTAATGGGTTTAGGGGGGCAGGGCGGGTGGGAGCTGCAGCAGTTCTCGGTGAGGTGGGAGGGTAGGAGGAGTGTGGGTTGTAGAGAGGGTTTGGTGTGGGATGGAGTGGGATGGGGTGGGATGGAGTGGGATGGAGTGGGATGGAGTGCAGTAACTGGTACATCACTTTATGCACGGTTTTTTCAGAGGTGTATGCACAGTACCCTGCGAGGAGGAGCACTTCTTTTCCTATGCGCGCGTGACTGTTGCCCCAACTGCCCTCGTACCCACCACCCCAACCTCGTCTTCCCTCCCCTGTCCCCCCTTGTCCACTGCAGGGACGTGGCGGAGGCCGCCGCGGCAGGAGGGGAGGCAGGGGCGGCTTCTTTGGCGCAGAAGGGGGCGGATGGCCGCGAGGGGGAGGGGGAGGAGGGGGCGGAGGCGGAGGCAGGGGGCGGGGCAGAGGAAGGTATGCTAACTTCAACCTGAAATAAATAGGAATTAGGTCTGTCTTGCATCTGTTTAAACCCGAGGGTTGGGGAAGGCTGTATGATTCAGATCAGACCGGCATCCTTCTGTGTGTTGCCTGCGCTCAGTGTTCTCTTTTCATGCGTCCCGCCCCAGTCTTTTCAACCTATCCGTTCCTGCGTACTGCTCCGTTTCAGGGGTGGTTACGGCGCTGGAGATCCCTTCTTTGCTGCTGCACCGCAGCAAGCAGAGAGTGCAGCAGGAGCAGGAGGAGTGGCAGGAGCAGCAGCAGGTGGTGCTGCTGCTTCAGGTGCTGCTGCTGCTGCTGCTGCTGTTGGTGGTGTTAGTGGTGCTAGTGGTGCTCCAAGCGCATGGCGTGGCGTTATGGGGTCTGCACCAGCAACGGCGCCCATCCCCACTACAGGCATCCTCGCTAGCTCTCCCTACGCTCCGTCTGTGTCAGCGGGAGCAGGAGCAGGAGCAGGGGCAGGAGCAGGTGGAGCAGGCTTGGTGTCAAATCTGACCCAAGGGATAGGGGGTATGTCAGTAACCTCTGCTGGAGCTTCTGTTGCTGCCCCAAGTGCAGGTGGTACAGGGGCAGGAGGGGTAGGATGGCAGGAGATGGGTGCGGAAGGAAAGGGAGGGGGGGGCGGAAGGGGGGGCGCAGCAGCAGGGTTGGGAGTAGGGGGGCGCGGGAGAGGCGGAAGAAGGGGGAGAGGGGGGCGAGGGTACATGGGGACGATGAGTTCTGGTGCGGGAGCAGGGGGAGGGGGAGCGGAAGGTGGGGGGGATTCCGGCAGTTTTGCAGCTGTGGGGGGAGGAGTAGGGGGAGGGGCGGCAGGAATAGCAGCACCAGCAGCTGTTACGGCAGCAGCAACCGGAGTTACCACTAACTCGGCGGCTGTAGCCGCGCCTGGAGGGACGACCGGTCTGCTACAGCCGGGTAGCGCTGCTGCTGCTGCTCCCGCTGCTGCTGCTGCTGCTGCTGCTGCTGCCACTGCTCCTGCTACAGCTGCTACAGCTGCTGGTGCTACAGCTCTGGCTCCTACCGGTTGGGGTAATCCCATTCCCCAAGGGGCGGGTCAAGGGACGGCAGCAGGGGCAGGGGGGGTTGGAGGAGGAGGAGGAGTGGCAGGAGGGGGAGTGGGCGTGGCAGGGGGGAGAGTATCAGGTGTGGTGGTTTCAGGGGCGGTAGTGGGAGCGGGAGGAGGAATGGGAGGAGGTGGAGGAGGAGGAGGAGGGGCAGTCAGGGGCAGGGGGTATGGTGGCGGGTACGAAGGGAGGGGAGGAAGAGGAGGGAGAGGAGGGAGGGGGGGGCGAGGAGGAGGGTATAGGTATCTGGGTGGGCAAGGTATGGGGGATGTTGGGGGGGGCTGGGCGGGGGGAGGGGGAACGCAGGGGGTGACAGGAGGGGGTGCGTCTGGGGGGCGAGGGCAGGAGCATTTTAACTGGCAGCAGCAGCAGCAGCAGCAGCAGCAGCAGCCGCAGCCGCAGCAGCAGCAGCCACAGCAGCAAAAGAAACTGACAGCGGTTGGGGTGCGTGATTTTGTGCCTGCCAGCCAGCAACAGCAGCAGCAGCAGCAGCAGCAGCAGCAACCGCAGCAATATTACCATCAGCAGCAGCAGCAGCAGCATTACTACCAGCAACAGCACTATCACCAGCAGCAGCAGCACTACCAGCAGCAGCAGGCGCGGTGGCAGCCACGATCCCAGGTCGCATCTGGTGCAAATGGGACTGAGACAGGGGGAGGTACATATGGGGAAGGCTCTACTCAGGTGGGAGCAGCAGGGGCGGCAGAGGGATCAGGGGTCAAGGGGCGGGTAGATGGGGTTGCAGGGGGGGGAGGAGAAGCAGGGGGAGCAGCAGCAGGATCTTTAGCTGAGAATGGAACCGGAGGGGGTGGTGATGTGGGGAAAACGAGCACGAGTGCAGCTGCGGCAGCAGCGGAAGGGGCAGAAGCAGCAGCGGGAGGGGGAGGAGCAGCAGCAGCAGCAGGAGCAGCAGCAGGAGGAGGAGCGCAGGCAGGAGCAGCGCTGGCAGGAGCACAGGCAGGAGCAACAGCAGTGGGGTATGCGGATCAGGCTGGTAGCAGCAGCAGCGCTGGCGGGTTAGACGCCGCGGACATGCATCAAAACGCTGGGATGGGAGCAGGAATGGGCGCAGGAATGGGTGCGGGTATGGGCGCCGGGATGGGAGCAGGGATGATGGTGCTGGGAATGGATGGATCGACCATGCATATGGATGGAGGAGTGCCAATGGGGGGTCAGGCTATACAGAGTGGGGCAATGCAGGGAGGGGCGATGACGGCAGGCGGAATGGGAGGAGCGGCGGGGAGTATGATGAGAGTGAGCGCTCCGGATTACACTCCCAAGGGCATGCAGATGCAGCAGATGCAGTATGGTCAGCAGCAGCAGCCAGGAGGCGGCGGCGGCGGCGGCGGCGGCGGCAGCGGCTGCTGCTGCTGCGATGGGCATGGCAATGCCGGCTTATTCAATGGGGCAGGCGCCGCATTACGCGTATGCGAGCACCGAGGTCACATGGTGAGTTTGGAATGGGTGGGGTGGTGTTGTGGAGTGCTTGAGGAATGAGCAGCGATGGGCATGGCGATGCCAGCGTATTCCATGGGGCAGGCGCCGCACTATGCTTATGCAAGCACGGAGGTCACTTGGTGAGTTAATAGCGGGGTTGTGCTGTGGAGTATGTGCCTGTGGACACAGGGCGGTGCAGCTGGCAGGGGAGGGGCTACGAGCAGCCGAGTTGACTGTTGAGACGACTCAAGAGTCAGCTAGTAGGGGAGGGGCTGCGTGCAGCCGTTCATAGGCGCGGTGGATCCCTTAATGCGCTCTAGCTTAAATTCCCCCTCCAATCCTCTACCCACTCACTCCCACACTCTCTCACCCACTCACTCCCACACTCACCCACTCACTCCCACACTCTCTCACCCACTCACTCCCACACTCACCCACTCACTCCCACACTCCCTCACCCACTCACTCCCACACTCACCCACTCAATCCCACACTCACTCCCACACTCTCTCACCCACTCACTCCCATTCTCACCCACTCACTCCCCCCATTCCCCCCATTCATCCCCTCACGCCTCCCCCTCATTTCCACACCCCCCCCCCCACAGGGTGCCAGTGCTGACGCCAGGGGGAGTGGGAGCGGCGCAGCTAGCAGCAGGGGGATACGGACAGCCGTTTATAGCAGCGGTGGATCCCTCCAACCCCACTGCCGCGCTCTACTATACGCCTGCTTCCGCTGCGGGGCAACAGGCTGCTGTGTACGCCGCTGGGGGCAGGTGAGGAGGGTTTGAACGAGATTGGGTTGTAGGGGGGAAGAAGGAAAGGTAGGGTAGGGGGTGAGGGTGGGAGGGAAGTTGGGGAGGGAGGACGTGGGGAAAGGGAAGGTGGGGAGGAATGGAGGAAGGGAGGGGGTGAAAGAGGGGAAAGGGAGGAAGGAGGGGGCTATGGGCAGCCGTTCATAGCAGCGGTGGATCCCTCCAACCCCACTGCCGCGCTCTACTATGCCCCTGCTTCCGCTGCGGGGCAACAGGCTGCTGTGTACGCCGCTAGGGGCAGGTGAGGGCTGACAAGACGGGATGAAAAGGGGGAGGGGGGGAGTGGGGTAGGAGGGGAGGGGGAAAAAGGGAGGAAAGGGAAGAAGTGGTTACATGGCAGCGGCTTTTGCTTAGTAGAAGAAGAAACTGAAGTGAAAGTAGTAGAGGATGCTTAGTAGAAGAAGAAACTGAAGTGAAAGTAGTAGAGGATGCTTAGTAGAAGAACCTGTTGCACACCATTGCAAAATTTGCACGTTGGTGGTAGTAAAATTAGTCGGGGATGGTGTGCAATGGTGTGCATTTCCGTTTGTCTGTCATCTGCCCAGTAACAGACCCGTGTCAGTCTGCCTCCTCTTCCTTCCTCCTGGTCTTCCTTGTCCCCCTCTTCCTCCTCCTGCCCCTCTTCTTGTTCCATGTTCCCCCCTGCCCCATGCCATCAGTGCTCCTGTTGACATCACTGCTTCGACTGCCCCTGCATTTTCAAGACAACCTCAAAAGTCTTCCGTGTTCCTTCCTCGTTCCCCCCATCCCATGCCACCAGTGCTCCTGTTGACATCACAGCATCTATTGCCTCTGCAGCAGCGCTTTGGAAACCACCACAGCAGCAGCAGCTGCCATCTGCAACAGGTGAGACGGTTGTTAAGAAGCACTTTAAAAGACATCGCGGCATCTATTGCCTCTGCAGCAGCGCTTTGGGGACCACCACAGCAGCAGCAGCAGCTACCGTCAGCAACAGGTCAGTGCGCTTTCGACTGCCACCACTGCCACTACTATGCGTTTCAACAGCAGTTACCATCAGCAACCCTGGGAGTGCCAAAGTGCAATTCTGAATCGAGTCAAAAGCTGGCTGTGCATGTCTGTGTGACATGCTTGTACGGAGGTTATAGGAGCTCGTTCATTCAGAGAATGATGCACTCTTCAACCCTTTTGATGTGCCCGCTGACTGCTTTTTTTCTCTGTCTCTCTCTCTCCTTCGTATTTTTTCCCTCTGTTTGTTCCCCCTCTGCCATGATTCTCCCTACCCACCCTGTCCTCATGCCCCTCTCTCTTGCATGAATTGCCTACCCACCTCCCAGTCACAGAAGTGCTCCCTGGCGATCAGGAATACCACCCGCCTCAGCAGCAGTAATTTCGGCACCAGTAATTTCGGCAGCTGTAATTTCGGCACCAGTAATTTTCGGCACCAGTAATTTCGGCACCAGTGATTCCAGCACCAGTAGTTCCAGCACCAGTGACGTTAGCAGCAGCAGGGGCTTCAACCTTCAGGGCAGATTTTCGAGGTATCACTGGAGAGAGTGTTGCCACAAACCTCCCTTCACAGCTACCAGCTACCACTGGGAAGCGAAAGCCGAACAGAGCACAACAGCTCTCGCCCGCGCTTTTTTCCCATACCGGTAAATGCCTAAATGCCCGACCCGATCCCCTTAATCAACAAAAGAGACTCTAGAAGAGACTGCACTGCACTTTAGTCCAGTTGGTGGTCCTAAATGCCCGGTGTGCCTTGGCATGAGAGTAAGAGTCTGTGAGAACAGTGCGGTGGTGCGTACTTTAGCCTCTGGGTCGGACCTCAACGCGTGGGGCTTGCTTACGGGTCTTACAGGCATTCTTGAAAGTTGGCGGCTGCTTTTGTGGGTCGTGAGTGGAGGGATTTAGAGGTGCCGAAGGTGGAAGCTTTTGAGATGTCTCAAAAGTTGAAAATCGGCTGCTTTTGTGGATCGGCTTGGAGGGTTTAGAGGTGCTGAAGGTGGAAGCTGAGGGGTGGTGGGAGTGGCAGTTGGGTGGGTCATGCGTTTGCGAATGAGATACTGAACGCAGTTGGCTAGGGTTGGGAGGGATTGGTTCTAGGAGTGTGCTGTGATGAGATGGGGCGGGATGCGATGAGATGGGGGGGATGGGATGGGTTGGGATGGGTTGGGATTGAACTGAAGGGGTGACGGATGGCTTGGTTGGTAGAATCTGCTTGGATAAGTTCCATTAGAAACTCCCTGCACAGGGATGTGTTGTTGGGCTGGGAGTTGGGGGAGGGCCGTGCTCAGGACTAGGGGAAAGTCTGAGTGACTGCAGGGCTGTGCCGGGGCTTTCGAAGTTTCTTGAGAAGTACCGTTCTTCAGCTGTGATGCTGGTTTGAGGGGCGCAATGCAATGCGCTGAACCTCGCCTCACCGCGCTTCACCGCTCTGCACTTAGTCGGTGTGATGGCGTTGAATTCTTGGGAACAGACTGGTGGAGAGATTGTCCTTGTGTAGAAGGGAGGTAGGTAGACAAAAGCAGCAGGTGGGGGTCTAGAAATACCATGGCTACCGTACCGTAGTGTTCTGGTGGATTGGGGTGTTGCACTTTGTTGTGATACCGTATCGTACACTCAGAAGAGTTTGCTGTGGAGTGCTAGTTACAGGTACTTGCATATTGAGAACTGTGTGCAGCTGACAGCTGTGCTCTTCGCTCTGGTTTCAGTGCGTGCTAGAAGGGCTCCCAGAAATGACAATGGTTCGATTGGATCATCGGAGGTCAATCACGGTACCTGTTGCACCCTTCCATGTGCTCTATTGCGATTAGGTTTCGAGTTGGGCCTGCCCCTGGGATCAGCATGGTTAATCCGCATGCAAGCGCTACTAGACGAGTAGGACACACACAACACAGCATATCATGCAGCATTGAAAAGGTCCAAGCTACCCTACCAGTTGTAATTTTCATATAACGGTAGCAGTTGATGTCAAACAATATGTTTAATATATACCCTGAAGAGTGGTCATCTTCGGGGTGGGCGCGAAGGTCTGAAAGAAGTCAACTCCCTCGCGCTGACTGAAACCTCTAGCCACGTAGCGCGCCTTGAAGACCGGAGGAGATCCCGGTGGTTCCTACGCAGAGCTTGTGGGTTGCCTCATGTACCTGATGACTTGTACTCGCCCGGACCTCGCCTTCCCTCTCAGCGTTCTTGCGCGCTTTGTTGCGCCAGGGAGACACCGTCCTGTTCACTGGACAGCAGCTGTGAGGGTGGCGAAGTACCTAGCGACGACGTCAGGCGTGGGGCTAGTTCTTGGAGGGCAGCAGTCTGTCGTACTTACTGGTCACTGTGACTCCTCTTACGCTGACGACGCTGAGACTCACAGGTCTACTCAGGGGTACTGTTTCAGCCTGGGTTCTGGAGCTGTTTCCTGGCGGTCCACGCGCTCCTCTTCGGTCTCGACCTCTACAGCTGAGGCTGAGATCTACGCTGGTGCCATGGCGGCACAGGAGCTGCGTTGGTTGACCTTCTTGCTCACCGACCTTGGTGAGCGGCCGAGCTCTGCACCGACCTTGTTCACTGACAACAAGGCGTCTATTCTCCTTTGTCGAGAGCCACGACTGGAGAGCAGAGTGAAGCACATTCACGTCAGGTACTTTCTTCTGCGAGAGTTGCAGAGGCGTGGACAGGCTCGCTTTGAGTTTGTGGAGTCCGAGGCCAACACTGCAGACATCTTCACCAAGGCGCTTCCGCCTTGTGACCACCAGAGGTGCTGTGTGCAGTTAGGCCTTGTTGACACTGGTTCTCGTGTTGCTTAGACTTGAGTGTACTGTTTACTTTGCTTTCTATATACCTCTGTTACTTCTTGGACTGGCCTTGTGGCCACTGTTGTTTGTGCTCAGACTGTGTGGTGACGTTGTGATCCACCCTGAGCTTCGTTTCTTGGACTGGTCTTGTGACCGTACTCGTTTGGTTCTGCTAGACACCCCTCACTTAGGCTATGGGGGTGTGTCAAATGTTGTAGCCTATAGTGAGGTTTGTCTTAGGGGGTACAAAACTTAGGGTTAGCTATATGTACCCCAACCAACATCAATGCATCATCCATTCCTCATTCTGACAGTAGGTACTGTAGTTATTATTATTAAGAGTTGGTGGTGCACCTTCTTTGTTGCTTTGCTATATGTACCTTGTGTGCTATAGTGAAACCCCTCTCCTTTCTCGTAACACAGTCTTGGCACAACTCCCTCGACACCCCTTGGCCTAGGCTCCTAAGCCTAGGCCCTCCTAAACTCATACGTCCCTATCTTGACATGTTATCAGAGCCACCCGTTCCTCGGGTTTAAGTCTTCTTTCTTTACCCATGGTGAGCGCCTCGCTGGCCCGTCGCGCTACGCTCGCCTCGTCGCACCCTCGCTGGCGAAATTGCGCTTTCCTGCCCGTCCGTCGTGCCCCGTGCGCTCTGCCCGTCCATCGCGGCCCCCCGTGCGCCTTGCCCGTCCGTCGCGCCTGTCGCCCTGCCCGTCGATCCGCGCCAGCGCCAGCACCTGCGACTGCCACCAGCCACAGCGCGGAACGCAAGCGCCAGCGCGGACGCTGTCGACGAGCGCCAGCGTCTGTGCGGACGACAAGCGCGAGCGCCAGCGCCTGCGCCAGCGCGGAGCGCAAGCGCCAGCGCCCGCGCGGACGCCAGCGACAAGCGCGAGCGCAAGCGCCAGCGCCCGCACGGACGCTAGTGACAAGCGCGAGCGCGAGCGCCTGCGCCACTGCCTGCGCCTCCGCCAGCGAAAACAGCAGCTACCGCCGCCCCACCCCCGCCCTCCCTTCCGCTGCTTCCGTAGAGGGGGGAGGGGATGGGGGAGATGTGGGGGTGGCGGGTGTGAGCAGCCATCAGTCCAGCTGCAGCTCCTACCGCTATTGCTCCTCCTCTTCTCTCTCTCTCTGCCGCTGCTGCTACTGTGGGGGGGAGGTTCAAGTCCAGCTGCAGCATCAGCCGCCTCCTCCTCCTCTCATCCGCGGTCTTGTGCCTCTTGTGCCGTATGTGCCATTTCTTGCTGCTCCGTGTTTGTTCGTTCTGCTCGTGTTCGTTCGTTCTGCCTTTGTTTGTTCGTTCTGCTTGTGTTCGTTCGTTCTGCCTTTGTTTGTTCGTTCTGCTTGTGTTCGTTCGTTCTGCCTGTGTTTGTTTGTTCTGCCCGTGTTCGTTCGTTTGGCTCATGTATCTGTCCGTGCTACCCGTGCCCGTTCATGCCTCATCCCATGCTGCCCCGTGCTTCCGTGCTCCCGTGCTTCCGTGCTCCCGTGCTACCCGTGTCCGCTCGTGCCTCATCTCAAGCATTGCTGACCGTCTTCGTTCGTGCGTCCCGTTGGTGAGGCTAAAGGGGTTGACTGAAAAGGGGGGTGAGGACTAGGGGGTTCTTAACGGGGGGGGATCGCATTGAGCGTGCGCGCTCATGCCCGCCTAGCCCACCTCCTCTCCTCATCGGGACTTGGGGGTTCTTAACGGGGGGGGATCGCTATGAGCTTTCGCGCTCAAGCCCGCCTAGCCCACCTCCTCTCCCTTCCCTCTCTCACCTCCCCTTTGTAAAAGGAGGTTCGTAAGCGGGTCCGCCGGTCCTGGCCCCCCACCTCCTCTCCTCTCCTCTCCTCTCCTCTCCTCTCCTCTCCTCTCCTCTTCTCTCCTCTCCTCTCCTCTCCTCTCCTCTCCTCTTCTCTCCTCTCCTCTCACCTTCCTCACTTCTCTGCCTTCTTCCACAGCGCTTGGTTTGCTCGTTCAGGGGGTGCTGGCTGCACCAGTTTCTACCGCACGCAGGCTAAGGGGGTGTGTCAAACAATATGTTTAATATATACCCTGCGTGCTGTAGGTACTGTAGTTATTATTATTAAGAGTTGGTGGTGCACCTTCTTTGTTGCTTTGCTATATGTACCTTGTGTGCTATAGTGAAACCCCTCTCCTTTCTCGTAACACACTCTTGGCACAACTCCCTCGACACCCCTTGGCCTAGGCTCCTAAGCCTAGGCCCTCCTAAACTCATACGTCCCTATCTTGACAGTTGAACCCAAGGCTGATGACAGGTGCGATAACTTGATGCTAGGAATTCGGCAACTAGATGGCAGGCAAGCATCCATAGGAGGGCAGGTGAACATGAAAGTGCCTGGGTAATTACTAACTTCGCGAAGAGGAATCCAGTGGCACAAGGAAAGAGGACAGAACAGCATGGAGAGACATTGACACCAGGGAGATGGTGTTCCAGGAACAAGGAGACAGGGAGACTGATGGGTTGGGTGGGAAAATGCTCAAAACAAAGGTGGCTCTTCTGTATGGAGTTTTGCCGGCGATGCGGACACAGCCGGGGCAGAAGAAACAGCAGTAGGAGCAGCAGCAGGGCCAGGCGAGAAAACATCGTCCATGAGAGACCCGACAGGAGCAGGTGTGGGGGCAGGGGCAGGAGCAGAAGCGACAGGACCAGCAGCAGCAGCATCAGATGACGCAAAGAGAGGAGGACCGTGGTCCAAAGCACCACCACCTGAGCCTGTAGTACCAGCGGTAACCCCACCACCAGCACCAGCAGCGGCAGCACCAGCAGCAGAGCCAGGCTTATCGTCATCGTAACCAGCTGCACCCGAGACGGCACTGTAACCGCCGGGAGCAGTTTTCGAACCACCATCGACAGAAACGGTTGGGACCTCCCCTCTCTCCTCCTCTGCCTGATGCACCTTCTGTAGCGTCTGCTGCTTCACCTCTCCAACAATCTCCCCAAGCTTCCCAAACGCCCCGGCTAACCAGCTCGCACTAGACGCCACATACTGGTTTTTCATCAAATACTGTCCGGCCTCGGAAATCGACGCCTCTGCTGCAGCCGCTGCCCCCCGGGCAGTTTGCGAAACTTTGTACTGCTCGTCGACAGACGTCCAGGAGCGTGCGACCGTCTCCTTGGTCTCGGAAAACTTTTGCGAGATGGCGTATTTCTTGTCGAGCGTGGCAGCGGTTTCGACCGTCCGCTCTTTCAGAGCAGCGACCTGGATGGCGGCTGTACGGCTGAGATCGTGCTTGGTGTCAAACTCCTTGGCCTTGCTTGCTGCGTCCTTCCCTAGAATGTAGCCTGATGCGAGAAGGGACGCCACTACCCCTTCTGCAGACTTGATGTCTGGAGCTGTGAAGCTAGGGACTCCAGACTTGGCAGGAGACTGCTTGGGAAGAGGGAGCGGAGGGCAGGGCGGACGGGGGAGGGAGAGGGGGGTACAGGAGAGTGGGGGAGGGGGAGGGGAGGGGAGTAGGGAGAGGGGAAACAGGTTAGGGGGATGTGGAGAGGCAAGGAGGCAGGAGACGTGGGGGGGAGTGGATGGGGTTTGGATGGGCGAGGAATGCTGCGATGGTACAATGTGTAATTTTCATCTTAGCTTAGGCATCTGCAACAATTATCCCTGTCTGTGACTTCCTCAGCCTCTTTTCTCTCTCTTTCTTCGTAATAAAAAAAGGTTTTCGTATCATGTGTGAAACACCCTGGAAAGTTCCTTAACCTGCCCAAGGTGTATCTTCCCAAGCAAACAACACACCACCACATTCAAGCACCGCATCCCCCCATTCAAGCACCTCCCCGTTCAAGAACCGCATCTCCCGAAAAGGCAATTACCTGAGCGGAAACAGCCCGCTGCACCTCCTGCGCCACGTGGGAGGCTCTCTGAGGGGGTTCATACCCCTCCGCCACCTCCACTATGATTGGCTCGTCCACAATTACGGCGCCCTGCATGGGGGGAAGGTGAGGGGAAGTAGCACAGCCATAGAAGAGTGGGGGAGGGGGAGGGGGGTTGGGTGGGTGTGGGGGAGAGGGAGGGTGGGTGGGGGGGGGGAAATAGGGACAAGGGAGGCGGGACTGACGAAAAGTAGTATAAAAGGGGGCGGAGGAAGGGGTATGGGGAGAGGGGGGGCGTGGGGTGGGGTGGAGGAACGGCGAAAGGCGCCAAGAAGTGGAGGTGCTGGGGTATGGAGTTTGCGAAAAAAAATATTGTTCAGGCACAGGATGACGTCAGAAGGCGACGCACGCAACGACAGTGTTGTTTCAAGGCATATCAAGGGATACACAAAATCTTCGTACCGTCAGAAGCAGAGCTGTTTCCAACGCCCTCTCATCCGCGAATGTCACGTACGCCACCTGGCCCTTCTTTAGATCCCTGTCACCCGCAAATCAGGGAGATGAAACAGGGTTGGCGTGAAAGTGGAACATCAACGACGGATTTCTTATAAACGAAACAAGTTGCTTGGCGGGAACGACCCCACGAACGAAGAGAGTAATTCCAGAGTCAGTGTCGGTGCAAACCGGGAAACCATGAATAGAGATCAATTTAAATTCTTAAGTCAGTCAGTCAACCCACTTCCGGAATCATCAACGGGGCGAGAAAGAAGCTTCTTCCAAATGACGGTCACTAGACAGTTTAAGCTGACTCGCGTAGGGCTGTTTCCGAGTGGATCCAAAACGGTTGATCCTATCCGTTCTGAACCCCATCGCAATGACCTACTCTACCATTTTCCACGTGTGGGCTTCAGAACGATGCGGTTCTTCCTCGCACGCAATTTCGTTCGTCCCTCTCAATGTCAACGTATTCAGTTCTCCGATGCGACTTTTGTTTCGGGATCTTACGTTTTCGTCTCAATGCCAGTGATCTCTCCGGAGAAGGAGAAAAACTCGTAAATGTCCTTTTCTGACGCTTTGTACGAGATGTTGGACGCCTGGATTGAGAACTGCTCGTGAGGAATGAATTATACACACAAGTGGAAGGATACAAACAAGTGGAAGGATACACACAATGTCATGCGAGTGATAAAGAGAAGAAAACACGGAGATATTAGAGAATGTGGAAATTAGGCGAGGGATGAGGGGGGAGATGCAGGGCGAGGTAGAAAGGGAGATCGAAGATCAGACATAGTACATGAGAAACAGATGAAGCAGGAAATCAAAATGCGCGGAAATTAAGAGCTGGATGACGGTGCGTACCCCCATGATGTCCGCCTGGCCACTAAACTTGACACAAATGAGGAAGCAAGCCGATGTTCGATAAATAACAGTGTCTCGTTGGAGATCGACGCTAGGGAAGACTTTCCCAAAGCTTCTGAATCGTTAGAATGTCAAAAACCACGGCAGGTCCTTCGAGATCAAGCAACGGCTTTCTGCTTCCCCGCAAATCGCGGAGCAACTCGATAGACCACCACAGTGGAGTAAATGCTCAAGAGTGAAAGAAGTTTCGAGCATCAGCTGATGCTGAAAGGGTGGAATATGCTTGCTGGTAGGTGGCTTTGAATATCAGAGAATACCAGTGGGAATTACAGCCTCTTACCGTACAGTACTGCAATTCACCGTACCGTATAGTGCCGAAATGCATCTGTAAGCGGAAGGTAATCCCTGTGTGGGTGCAAACTGAAAATGCTGATGCGTGGGGCGATGTGTCCTCGGAGCGGGGAAATTAGCAGGTGTATGGAAAGAGCGGAAAGCGGAAGTATGGAAGTGCGGAAGTGGCCAGGAGGTGGGGGGGTGGAGAGGGGGGGGCTGGGGATCCCGCCTTGGTCTTTAGGGTCATCCCGCCTGGGTCTCCAGAGGAAGCTGCGCTCCAGGATCACTGAAAACCAGCCAATAGTGTGCAGGCTTGAAACGCAAAGCTGTACAGTATGCATTGATTTGCCGAGTACCGCAAGTTTGATGGAGTATCAAAACGGAACCGTGCTCTATCGGGGAAGTTCAATGAGTCGAGGCACGCCGCCACTCTACATGACTTGTAAAGACAGTCCCTATATACAATTACACTACTTGCAACATATCAAAACAAGAGGGACACTCATTGCTACAAACCCCTATCGCCAATCCTCCACTACCCTTGAGCATTTCAAAACGTTTCACAAACAAGATCTGTACATCCAGCACCTGTATGAACAAGCTTCTTCTGAACTCCAATCACTGCTCCATACCGCATCATTGCAAGTCCTTCGGCGGGGGAGCAGACACAGATGAAGAATCAACCGCAGTCATCTCCTCTTCCTGATCACTTTCTTCAACATTGTCTTCCCCAGTTATTTCTTTTTCGAACTTGAGTTGCAGCAGCATGGCTGAGAGGATAGCAGTATACGCAGCTACCTTGGAGAACCGCATTGTATGGCCACTTACGAATGCTGCACCATGGGGAGAAGTGTGGGTGAGGGGTTGTGGTTTGGGAGGAGGGGATCGAATAAGGGAGATTTCAGGAGAGAGGGAGACGGGTGGCAGCGGAGCAAGAGGCCTGGGTCAGGGAGTATAAACTCAAACAAGTATAAAACACTAGATTCTCTTTTCACTGATACTGATGGCAATTCAGGGCCAACTCAGTCTTCGAAACCAGCTTTCCTCTGCTATCCTTTACATGTAAAGGAGAAGAAAAAAATATATATAACAATCGGGGAGAGAGTGGGGCGGGGGAGGGGAAGAAGGCGTACCAGTTGTGGAGCTCCAGAGGAAGGACACAAGCACGAGCGAGATACCCGCATGGAGGATACGTCTGTACATGGATACTCCTCCCTCCGCCCGCCCCTCCTGCTCCACCTCGCCGTCACAAGCATCATCCCACAGCCCCTCATCCCCATCCCGCGTGTTGATTCTGTCTGAGATAAGGACCCCATTAGACCGCAACCCTCCAGCACCACCACTGCTGCCACTGCTGCTGCTCGATGCAGGGGAGTTTTCTAAGAGAGCAGCCTCTGCAGCAGTGGCAGACATGGCTGTTGCTGCAGCGGCAGTTCGGGACTTGGCAGCGCGGGACTGGCGAAAGGCAGGGGAGGACGGAGGCGCGGAGGAGGACGAGGAGGAGGACGGGCGGCGGCTGAGGGGGCGGCGGCGGCGGGAGGAGAGAGAGGAGGAGGAAGAGGAGGGGGAGTAGAGGTTCTTGAAGAATAGACCCTCGTTGCGTGAGGAGTAAACGCGCCGCTCAAACTCCTCAAAGTCCTTCTGCTGGGCCTGGTGAGCGGAGAGGCATGGAAAAGGAGCAAAAGCAAGAGGGGTGGGAGTGAGTGAGTGGGTGAGCGAGTGAGTGAGAATGGGTGCAAAGGGTGTCTTAAGAACTGTGGGGCTGAAGTTAACAGGTATTGTGATTGTCCTAGTTATTGACTTCATGCGTCCACCTTCAAATTTCATATCTCTCGTAAACCCCACAACCCCCAACCCCTCCACTCGGAAACCCTTCAGACCCAGGTCGCACGGAATAAAGCTGCAATTCACAATTCAATTTCGGAAAATTTTTCCAAAAGCTCTAGGAGCCGAAACCTTTGCCACGCAGCGTGCAGCGAGGAAGAAACGAAAGGCCAAGAAAGGAGCACAGGGTAAGGTAGGGCTGGGTAGGATAGGGTCCGGTAGGGTTGGGGAGGGTGGGGTAGTGTAGGTGTAGGGTAGGACAAGGGAGCTCACCTCCATTTCCTGGCGTGCTTTTTCCAAGTCTCTCTCGATAGCGTATGCCCCCGCATCCAGCTGGCGCAGCACCTGTCGGTGGATGCCACGTGGAAAAACAAACGTTCCGTGTGAGAGAAGGAAAACGCCTTATTGCAAGAAATCAGAAGGCAAGAAGTGAACGCAAGAACCCCCTGGTACAACCTCTTGAAACAAGAGATTTATGGCCTATCTCTTGACGGTGAATTATTCCGACAGAAGGAACCACAATGACCGTCGCAATCGCCCAGTCGTCCGCGAAGTCAGCGATGAGGGTTAACGGCGACGAGGACGAACGGCGGCGATGATGATGTATCGCCCATGCCCACGACTCCTCACGACAGCTCGCGACGACTTGCGACGACGACTCGCGACGACGCGCGACGACTCACCCTGTCGCTCAGGTCGTCGACGCCTTTCATGGTACGATCGGCGATGCGATCCAGCTGCTCGTGGCTGTCGCGCGCGATTCTCCTCAAGCGCGCCGAGCGCTCCTCCACCAGCGAGTTCATGCGCACCTCGCCCATCTGCGAACGCAGTCGCCGTGCGACACCGCGAGCGACAGAAAAACGACGTGAGCGACATCGGAGCGACAGCGGGTAGCGAACACGTCCCGCAAAGTCGAATCGAGCAAAGAACACGGGAGGAATCAGCAAACTAAAAAGTACGCGAACAAGAAAGTGAGATGAAGAGATGAAAGGCACGCAGCCTTACCTGGAGCCGCACGATGTCCACGAGCATGCGCTGAACCTCGTCGCTCCTCCTCGATTCTTCGCCCGCGTCGTCCCACCCCCTGCTCCGGCGACTGCTGGCGCTGACGACGAGACTCCGGCGATCGCCTCGGGTTTCGTCGGCACCGCCGTGCGACGGATTGCGAAAGCCGCGACGATGGGCGCGACACGCTGGCGAGGGCAGCGCGAGAGGTTGTCGACGAATCTTGGATGCCGACGGCACGAGGTGATGGGACGAGCGTAACGGCGCGGCGGCGTAAGCGGCTGTTGAGCTACTGGAACCCGATAACGAGGACGTAGTGTACACGCGGCTGGTGGTGTAACCGGTTGCGGAAATAGATTCCATCGCTGCGGATGAGGTGAGAGGGAACGGACAGGTGGACAACGGGCGAGTGGTTGTGTCTGGAGTTGTCGGTACGTTGGAGGTGCCTTGAAAGGTTCTTGGCGACTCGAACCGTTGAAGGCGCCCGTTCGCGAGTGAACTCGCACCGCCCTTGAGCGTTTCTTGCGTCGAGGAGAAAGAGACGTGCTGTCACAAGACGGCCGTTTCTGCTTCTCACTCGGAACGGTTTAAAAAACAAATGTCATGCGCGCAATCCAGCATATGCCGCGTGAAGTCGTCTTCAAGAAGAGTAAGGAGGTCCCAGTCACGTGCCGCGAGGTGTGTTAAGTAATCCGCGTATTCCACACAAGAAGACAACCCGCGTGAGAATGAGTGAAATCCGTTGAGAAACCTTCGACTACTATGATCGAAAACCGAGAGGCTTCCAGAACGGCGGAGAATGATACACGATGTTTGAATTGTAACAAGCAAAGAGGATGCACGGAGGCGTAGGAGATGGGTGTGACGAACCACACGGCGCAGGTGGAAACGAGAAACCAAGGCAGCGGTGCAGCAAAATCAGCAGCTTGTGGGAGATCAAGAATAGTTGAGAGGTGCGATGAATCGATCAACTGGGACAGATTCTCTGGAGATAACGCAAGGACGTAGTAGGAAATGAGCGGTTGAAGGTGAGGAAAAGGTTGAATGGAGAAGTGAGTTGGTGGTTGGGGAAAAGGAGAGCACCAAGGCAGGAATTGGAGCATCCAAGTATGCGCGACAGGAAAATGTTTCTCCTTTCAAATCCCAACCGAATGAACTTGGAAAGCAGCCATTGCATGGCACATAGCGCGCTTCGAGTTTACATTGAGGAAACCCTTGGGTGGAGGTTCTACAGCTAAGAGCGTGTTTACATAGGCGATCCCAGGCTCTTAACCAGAAACATGTTCAGTGAGCTTTGCCAATAGCTGCGCGCCGTCGCTGTGACACTGCGTTTCGAATTAACGAAGCCAAGTATCTCGAATGGGGCTGTTTGAACCTGAGTTCGTTTCGGGCCGCGAATTGTGGTGAATTGATGTTACCGATCTCCTCCCATCTTCGCGCTCTTTTGTTGTCCACCTGCGATCACCTAAAAACACTCACCATCATCCAATAGCATGTTATCTCCGGGTTTGATTGACCTATGAAATTTCCCTCTCTGAGAAATCTCCACTTGGAAGGCGTTGATTCGGTTAGCAGCTCACTGAGCTTTGTCACGTGGTTCGTGATGCGTCACTACCTGGCAGGCATGCCGCGAGTCGCACCTCCTCACAAAGCTTGTAGACTCATGTCCAATGTGTTCCACGTCATGAGAATCGGAAAAGGTTCACTCGCCAGAATGGTTACCTGCCCTTTCAGTTCTACCAGAGGCCAAGCCGTGAATAAATGGAATTCCGCCGAGACACGTAGGACCACGTCTATTTTTTCAACGCACCAATGGCAAGACTCTTTCGCATTGTTTGCGGAACGATTTTGGGGCCCAATCCCATGTTTCCTTTGCGAATAGTGTTACGCAATTAATAAAATTTGTCCACAGAATATGTAAAATACTTGTAGCAGCCATGTACCTAAATGTTCCAAAGCAAATATTACTTATTTTTACACCGCTTCATGACATTATTATGCACAAATAGCATTGAATTAGGCTATATGCATTATGTATCTTTATGCATCATGGGTCAGGATATTAAACCTGTACTAAAAGCGTTGTATTAGTAATGAGGCTGCATTTGTGCAAACTGTCCGTTCGAGGACCAAACCAGCCTGTTCAGACTGACATTTCCGTCATTTTTCTCTTCGGCCATTTTTCCCTTGAATCTGTCCTGTCAGTCCGCTAATCTTCGCCGCACTCTCACTCCGATAACAGTTTTGCCGCCGCCAGACGAACAGCTGCTTCTTCTATCCTCCCACTGGTTCTCTCTACGGGCTTTCACCCGCTTCTTGTGAGTGTGACTCTTCAGATTCTAATCAATTTGATCTACCGCGCAGCTAGGCGCTTTAGGATCCGTGTACCAAGTTGGTGGTTGCGCGTTTCATTTGAATTGGCTGAGGTGTTCCTTTCCCCCCTCCTTTACTATGCAAAATCTGGGCGCAGAGAACTTAAACAGTGCTTTTTTAATTACCACTGTCGACTAAGATCTGAATAAGTTCAGATTTATAATTCCGGATCTTGAATTCATTTGACGCGGGAGATTCTGTCCTAATCTAAAAGGAAAGGGCCTAGTCGGAGGGAATTGGTGATCCTCTTCGCGCTTTGAAACCGCTGATCGAATCTCGTTGCTTTTAGAATCTCGTAGCTTACAGATTCGTGAAATCTGTAACCTTCAGTCACGCGGGAGCCTGAAAAGAGCAAATTCACTCTGAGGTCAGATCGGTCTGATGATGTTATGTCACGCTGATTCGTGTCATGGTCTTGTGACATCCAGATCGCGTGAGATGTGGCGTTTCTTTTAGGCGCTTTAGAAATTGGCTTATCTATCATGATGGCATGCTGATGATGGTTGATGTCTTGATCTTAAGATGTCAGAATCGCTTGGAATCCTGAGCCCTGGAATCGCTGATCAGGCAGCATTGGTAGGATTATAATAAAAGGAACCGCAAAACATTCATGCTTGGGTTATTCGGAAATTCCTATTTACTACAACGTCATTCCCCCCACCTCCATTTTCATGCCTACGTGGTTTGAGTCAACTCATAACACACTTGTGAGAATAGGATTCTGCACCGCATTCACGCTTCAGTCACTCAGACACCCCTATTCACCATCCCCTCGCTCCTCCCTCTCCACTCCCAATCATGCAGAGACAGAGTTGGCGCTGCAGTGCAGTGCAGTGAAGAGCAGAGGAGGAGGGAGCATGGGGGACGCGGGATTGCAGGCTGCTGTGGTGGATGGGTTGCGGGCGCACTTGCAGCGAGTGAGAGTGGCCGATGGCAGCACGCGCGTGTTCAAGGAGGAGTGCTGCATCACCTTTGACACTCCGGTCTGTCCCTCTCTGCTGCTGCCTGCCTTAGCTTTTTAAACGTGCATCTTTTAGGCACCTGTAAATAGGCAGCACTCAAGGGGGGGTGCTGCATCACCTTCAACACTCCGGTTCATCCCTCCTCCTGCCCTTGCCTTCCTCTGCTTTTCTAAAGTACCCACCTTTAAGTTGTAGAGCTGGCTTATAATAAAGCACGCATGTTCAAGGAGGAGTGCTGCATCACCTTGTCACTCCGGTTCGTCCCTCCCTGGTTCTTCCTCTGCCTTCCTGAAGTGCCTTTTTGTCTGTTTTGAAAGAAATCTTTGATGCGCCTGATAAATAGGCAAGCCCACGTGTGTTCAAGGAGGAGTGCTGCTTTGCCTTCATGATGCCGAATTGTCTCCCCCCAACCCCTCCCCCCCACTCCCCCCCCCTTCCCCCTTTCCCCTGCTTTATTGAAATTCCTCCTTTTCTCAACCTCCTTGCCATAATAACGCACCTCTCTTTATCGTTGCCTCCCTTCTCTCCCCCCCCCTCCACCCCTCCCCGCGCTGCCCCATTTCTCATCCCCCATCAACAGCAGTCCAAGGCGGGTCTGCTGGTGGATCTCAACTCCGTCCTGGAAATTAGTGTACACATTGGTGAGGCACTGAAAAACGAGCCTTCTCTTCTCCTCCCTCCCCCCTCTCTCCGCCCGCACCAGCGGTCCAGGACTGGTCTGCTCGTGGATCTCAACTCCTTCCTGGCGTTCAGCGAGCGTGCAGCGGCATGGCAGCACGCCAAGTCAGGCAACGCCGTGTTCCTGCGGATCCGGGAGGTGGAGAAAGAGAAGGAGGGGAAGGAGGGCGAGGAGGGCGAGGAGATGGATAAGGAGCCGCCGTCTAAGAAGCCAACGCTGCTGGCCATAGGTGGGCATGTTGTTTGGCTTGGTGTTTCAAGCCGTAGCTGGGTGGGTGGGATTGGTTTTTAAAACGATTGGAGAGTTTCAGGGACTGCACTTAGTGAGTCTTATGGTTTAGGGATGTTGTTTGACGATTCCCTTTTGCTCCATCTCTTCTCTGCCCTTTACAAAAACGATTTCTCCGCCGATTCTCCTTTCGCATCCGCCTTCCCTCTACCGATGTCTTTCATTTGCCAACTATCTCACCGCCCCTTGTTCGTCGTCGTTTCCCAACCAAGTTCTTTCATACCCCAGGTGTAGAAGGCGGATTCAATCCAGAGAAGGAGGTGCAGTACGAGACTCGTTACAGTGTGGTTCTCTTACCGGATAAGCTCGAGCTGCCCTACCCCAACAACGACCTCCCTGAGATTGTACGACAATTGCACAGTTAAGGGTGCATAGGTCTGTCAATAAACCAAAAAAAAAAAAAAAAAAAAAAAAGGATTTATACAGGGTTGTGTGTAGGGTACAGGGGTTCAGGGCTCAGGGTTTAAAGTTCACTGCACAGGTTCTTAGGTTCAATGAAAAGGGCTTCAACTTCAACGTGCAGGCTCAAGCTGCTGTTTAGGGTTCAGGGCTTAGGCCTCAAGGTTCAAAATTTGGTAGTCCTTGGGAATGCCTAGCTTCCTTGTGTTTGCACCTTGTTGCCCCCCCTCTTACCCACACTGCAGATCGCATGTCTGTCGCGGCGTCGGTAATAGCAGCTGTCCTCTGCCTCGCCTCAAAAGTCAGAAATGTTGAGGCGCTGCAAGAGCCTTCGCTTCCCACTTTGTTGCCCCCTCTCTCCACTTCAGATCCGCATGTTGGTGGAATCCGAGATAGCAGCAGAGGGCGCAGTGACTTTTCGGTTGACTCAGAAGCCACCTTGTTGCCCCCCTCTCTCTCTCTCTCTCTCACTGCACAGATCCGTATGTGTGTGGAGTCCGTGATAGCAGCGGAGGGAGCGGAGCGGAAGCAGCAGGTGTCGGCATGGGTGGCGGACAAGAAGCGTTTCGCCAAGAGCGCTCTCTCCCTCGTGCAGCTCCACAACGGAGTCACCGTGCCGTCTCTGCCCTTTTTCACGCAGTCATCTCCCGTCCTTCCCTGTTCCTCCTTGCCGCTCCCGGTCCCTGCCTGTCCTTCCTGGCCCCTCTCTCCCTCTCACTTGCACAGATTCGCATGTCGGTAGAATCCGTGATAGCAGCGGAGGGAGCGGAGCGGAAGCAGCAGGTGTCGGCGTGGGTGGCGGACAAGAAGCGAGTGGCCAAGAGCGCTCTCTCCCTCGTGCAGCTCCACAACGGGGTCACCGTGCCGTCGCTGCCCGCGCTCTGGCAGTGCGCCAAGTGCGACAAGAAAGAGAATCTGTGGATGAATCTGAGCGACGGGACGATTCTGTGCGGGAGGCGGAACTGGGATGGGACCGGCGGGAACGGGCATGCGCTGATGCATTACGAGGAGACCAAGTTTCCTTTGGCGGTGAAGCTGGGGACCATCACCCCGGATTTGGACACGGCAGGTGGGTTTTGGGTGGGTGTTTGGGTGGGTGGGCTTTGTGTCACGAGTAGATGTGTGTTAAGAGGAAGCAGGGGGGTGGGTGGGGGGAATGGGCACGCGCTTTTGCACGCGCTCTGGCAGTGCGCCAAGTGCGACAAGAAAGAGAACCTGTGGATGAATCTGAGTGATGGGACGATTCTGTGCGGGAGGAGGAATTGGGATGGGACCGGCGGGAACGGGCATGCTCTGATGCATTACGAGGAGACCAAGTTTCCGCTTGCTGTGAAGCTGGGGACCATCACTCCAGATTTGGAGACGGCAGGTGTGTTTTTGGTGGGTGTTTGTTTGTCTGGCTGGGCTTTGTGTCACGAGTAGATGTGTTGAATCGAAGTGGAAGCAGTGGGGTGCGGGGCGGGGGCACGCGCTTTTGCACACGCTCTGGCAGTGCGCCCAGTGCGACAAGTGGGAGAACCTCTGGATGAATCTGAGCGACGGGACGATTCTGTGCGGGAGGAGGAACTGGGATGGCACGGGGGGGAACGGGCACGCGCTGATGCATTACGAGGAGACCAAGTTTCCGCTTGCTGTGAAGCTGGGGACCATCACTCCGGATTTGGAAACGGCAGGTGAGTCTTGCGTGGGTGTTTGGATGGGTGGGTGATGAATGCAACAAGCACTTGAATCACGCGGCATTACAAGGAGAATGGCACGGTAGACGTGTGTGAGGTGCTACAAGGCTCTTCCGGTGCTCTTATTTCTCCTTCAATGCTCCTTCAATGCCTTGGTTCCTCTTCCCATCCTCTCCTTCCTCGTCTGCCTGCCGCCAGACGTGTATTCATACGAGGAGGATGACACAGTTGAAGACCCGCTGCTAGCCAAGCATCTTGCTCACTTTGGCATCAACTTCTCCTCGCTCTCCAAGGTAAGCACCACTGCCGCACAGCTTCCCCTGCTAGCTATTCAAGCACCTTACACACGTTGGCATACACACGCCCACACACAATTTTTTGAGTCGACTCCAACTCATCTCCTGCCTCCTTTGCGGCCTACCCCTCTTGCCTCTCGGCCTGGCTCTCATCCCTGCCTACGCGCACCAGACGGAGTAGACGACAGCGGAGAGGGAGGTGGATCAGAACATGAGCGTCAAGCACAGAAATACATGTCTCCGACCCACAGCGCGCGCGCACACACACACACACACACACACACACACAGAGTCTCTTCCTATCCACACTGTCCTCCCACCGACCCACACACCAGACGGAGCAGACGACAGCGGAGAGGGAGTTGGTTCAGAACATGAGCTTCGACTGGAACCGCATGCATCTCACCCCCTGCCTCTCCGCCCACCTCTCCTCCCACCTCCCCCCCACCCTCCCTATTACCAGACGGAGCAGACGACAGCGGAGAGGGAGTTGGATCAGAACATGAGCTTCGACCACAGTCCTGTCTCTCACACTGTCTATTGTGCCCCCCTGCCTGTACTGTACCCCACCTCTTGCCCCCTCTACCACCAGACGGAGCAGACGACAGCAGAGAGGGAGTTGGATTAGAACATGAGCTTTGACTAAAGAGCTGCATCTCATGCACCCACCTCCTCCCCCCCCCCCCCCCCGTCTCTTCCCCCGCCTCTTCCCCGCCTCTCCTCTCTCTCGCCCTCATCAGACGGAGCAGACGACAGCGGAGAGGGAGTTGGATCAGAACATGAGCTTCGACTGGAACCGCATGCAGAGCAGGGCAAGACGCTGCAGCCTAGTTCATTCCGAGACACACAGACATGCGTTTCTTGCGTCAGCTCCAACTGCCATACCCCCTGCTCCCCCCTGCCTCCTCCCCGCCTCCCGCCCTGCCTTTCCCCCCACCTCCCCCCTCGCTATTTCCCCTCCTTCCTCCCTGTCTCGCCCTTACCAGACGGATCAGACAACAGCGGAGAGGGAGTTGGATCAGAACATGAGCTTTGACCACAGACCTGTCTCTCACACTGTCTAATGTGCCCCACCCGCCTCTTGCCCCCTCTCACTGAGACCAGACGGAGCAGACGACAGCGGAGAGGGAGTTGGATCAGAACATGAGCTTTGACTGGAACCGCATGCAGGAGCAGGGAAAGACGCTGCAGCCTCTCTTCGGCGCTGGCTTCACCGGCCTTGCTAACCTCGGCAACAGGTGTGTTCTTGCCTTGTTAACAGGTGTGTTCTTGCCTTGTTAACAGGTGTGTTCTTGCCTTGTTAACAGGTGTGTTCTTGCCTTGTTAACAGGTGTGTGCTTGCCTTGTTAACAGGTGTGTGCTTGCCTTGTTAACAGGTGTGTTCTTGCCTCGGCAACAGGTGAGCTACTCTTGGCAACAGGTGTGCAGCGTGCTTGCCTCTCTGTGACTTGTGATATGAGTCAACTCAAAAGCTTGTCTCATTTCAAGCAGGTTTGCAGGTGTGCAGCTGCAGCCGCTCTTTGGCGCTGGCTTCACGTGCCTTGCACTCCTCCCTTTCATGCATCTCCCAGTTTTTTTTTTGCGTCCATCCATTTTCCATCCCTCTCTTCTGTTCTCCTAGGGAACTTTTGAGAGAACTAAAGAATCTCCTCCCTCCCTCCCATCTCGCTCCTTCTGTCTCCCTTGCTCCCCATGGCAGTTGCTACCTTGCGTCAGTTATGCAAGTGCCATTCTCATTTCCTTGTAATTAGCTGTTTTCTGAGTCAACTAGAAAATCTCCTTCTGTCTCCCCTGCTCCCCATGGCAGCTGCTATCTTGCATCAGTCATGCAAGTGCTCTTCTCAACTGATCATTTCAGCAACAGGTGTGTGTGTCCCATTGCTGTATGTAAAGGCGCCTCATAAGTCAATTGCCCTTTTGTCAATATTTCATTGTTGTTTCTCTCCTCCCCTTCCCACCCCTCCTCCCACCTCTTCCTCCCCTCCCTTCCTTCTTCCGTCCCCTCCCCGTCTTTCTCCACCTCTCCCCTCCCCTCCTTTTCCCTCTGCTTGCGAAATCACAGTATGCCTTTTCATTTCCTCTGCCCTCCTCTTTTCCTCCCCTTCCCCCTCCCGTTTCCCCTTTCTTTTATCTCCCTCCCTCCCTATCCCCCCACCGTTTGCCTTCCTTTTCTCTCACCATCTCCTCCCCGTTCTTTCAAATCTCCCATTTTCCCTCCCCCTCTCTCAGTTTTTTCAAGTCTGTGTCGTTAGAGGAAGCATTTGCAAAGGCGCCTGCTGACCCTACCGCTGATTTTGCCACTCAAATGTAACTCTCCACTTCTTCTCTCTTCCATCCATTAGTGAGGCTTTCAAATAAACATTTGCTAATGCGCCTGTTGACCCTACCGCTGATATTGCAACCCAAATGTAACTTTTTCTCTCTTATCCATCCTTTTATTGATTTCCATTAAGTGCGTTCGTTCTTCCTGGAAGGTATTTTCCATCATTCTGTGTTTGGAGTAGCAGTAGGGGCAGTGCTTTCCATTCATTTTTCTAGGCGCCTGAAAGAACAAGTGTCGTTCTTTTGTTTGCTACAGCAGTTTTTTTTTTTTTTTTTTTTAGTGGCGCTTGAGTGTCTTTCTGAGCTGACTCAAGACGCACCTTGAGTAGCAGCAGTGAAGCTGATGCATGCGCTGCTGCTTTCACGTGAGAACTCTCACCCAATGAAAGACCAAGGAGCAGCGAAGCTGGGCAAGTGAAACGTACTCATGCCCATCTGCCCCCCGTCCCCTTTCTTCCCCACCCCACTTCCCCCGCCCTCCCCGCCCTCTCCTCCTGCCAGAGTGAAGCTGGCGCATGGGCTGCTTTCGGGAGAGTACTCTCACCCAGTGGAAAGTGGTCAAGGGAAGGAGAAGGAGAAGGAGAAGGAGCCGTATCAAGTGGGCATCCCCCCGCGCATGTTCAAGAATGTGATTGGCAAGGGGCATGCGGAGTTTTCCACTTCCAGACAACAGGTGAGAGGAGAGGGGCAGTCGGAGGAGAGTTCTATCAATACCTTCTCGAGAAAATTCAGAAGCTGCCGTAGCACCAGCACCAGCTTTTTCCCTACTCCTCTCAAACCCAACCCCACCACCCCGTTCACCCCGTTCACCCCTTTCAACCCTTTCCACTCCCGTTCCCTTTCTCCTTGTCAGGACGCCCTAGAGTTCTACCAATATCTTTTGGAGCAGATTCAGAAGCTGCCCGCCCCACCAGCACCAGCTTCTCCCTTACTCCTCTCAAACCCAACTCCACCACCCCTTTCAACCCTTTTCTCACCCATTTCGTGTCTCCTTGTCAGGACGCCTTGGAGTTCTATCAATACCTTCTGGAGCAGATTCAGAAGCTGCCCGCCCCACCAGCAGCAGCAGCAACAGCACAGCAACAAGCAGAAAGCACAGAAGCTGGGAAGGGACCAGAAGCAGCAGGCTCGGAAGGAGGAGGAGGAGGAGAAAGCGGAGGAGGGGGAGGGAGTGATGGTGTGAGTGCGTGGCGCAGTGTGGAGTATGTGGTGGAGGACAGGATAGAGTGTGGGGCGTCGCAGCAGGTCAAGTACACAAGACGGCCTGACAACGTGCTCTCGCTCCCCATTCCCCTCGATGCCGCCACCAACAAAGGTGATCCTTCAAGCTGGAAGAGTGCCCCATATCTTTTTGGGATGGGAATGGCGTGAGCGATAGAGCCCCAGACTGGAGCCAAATTTTGTTACTCAGTACTTGACAGTCGCAGCCACATAAAGACATGACTGCAGTCTGGGGCTCTATTGGTCTTGATGCCGCCACCAACAAAGGTGATCCTTCAAGCTGGAAAGAGTGCCCCGTATCTTTTTTAGACAGGAGTGGTGTGAGCGCGCCTCAAGTCGGCATTGGTTCTTGGCGCCTTGAAGAATCGAGAGGCGTGGGCATGCCGCATGTCGGCGTGCAGTCATTGTCGTCACCCACGTGGGTATCAGAACGCGAGAGTAGCGTAGCAAAACAATTGCTTGCATTCCTTTGAGCCCCGCAACATCTGCTGCTGCTGCCTTCCCTTGTGTATCCTTGTTCGTACGTACTCTGTTCACCCACGCCCGCAGCCTTCCCTCATTCGCAGTCTCATTTCTGTGATTTTGCCTGTTGTTGCGCTGTGGCAGATGAAGTGGCAGCGTTTGAGGCGTTGAAGAAGGAGAAAGAGAGCCGAGGAGAGAAAATGTACGCCCTGCTGCTGCCCTTGCCTTGCGCCCATGCTTCTGCATTCGCCCATGCTGCTCCTTGTTCCCTCCCCCCATGCACACTCATTCCTCAGCCTCATTCTCATTGTCTTCCTCTTCCTTTGCTCATCACTACACTAGTTTTTGCTCTTGTGATCAGTCACTCCTCTTGGCGCGCTGCTGTCTGCCTATCCACCCAACTTTACTCCGCGTTTCCATCCCACCACCTTCGTTTCTCTCCAGGGGCAATGAGGATGTGGTTCGGTCGCGTGTGCCGCTCGCTGCCTGCAGAACCACTCACCTAAACGAGCCTTCTCCTTGGCTTAAAAGTTGCTTCCTACCCTTCCAACCTTTCCCCCCAAACCCCCCCTCACCCTCTTTTTCCCCAAGGGCAATGAGGAGGTGGTTTGGCCGCGTGTGCCGCTCTCTGCCTGCATCGACCGGTTCACCTCACCTTCATCCTTCCATCAAAGCCATCCCCTCTCCCCCTCACCCTCTGTCTCCCCAGGGGCAATGAGGAGGTGGTTTGGCCGCGTGTGCCGCTCTCTGCCTGCATCGACCGATTCACGTCACCTTCATCCTTCCATCAAAGCCATCCCCTCTCCCCCTCACCCTCTGTCTCCCCAGGGGCAATGAGGAGGTGGTTTGGCCGCGTGTGCCGCTCTCTGCCTGCATCGACCAATTCACCTCACCTTCATCCTTCCATCAAAGCCATCCCCTCTCCCCCTCACCCTCTGTCTCCCCAGGGGCAATGAGGAGGTGGTTTGGCCGCGTGTGCCGCTCTCTGCCTGCATCGACCGGTTCACCTCACCTTCATCCTTCCATCAAAGCCATCCCCTCTCCCCCTCACCCTCTTTCTCGCCAGGGGCAATGAGGAGGTGGTTCGGCCGCGCGTGCCTCTCTCCGCCTGCATTGACCGGTTCGCTGCACAGGAGAGCATTCCGGGGTTCTTCAGCACAGCTATCAACGGCCACACCACAGCACTCAAGTAAGTGTTTGCACCAACGAGTATTGGGTCGTCTCAAAGCCCACAACCACCAATTTGCTGCTCAGGAGAGCATTCCGGGGTTCTTCAGCACAGCTATTAACGGCCTCACCACAGCACTCAAGTGAGTGATTCAAATGTCAACTCTGAAATCAGCACTTCAAGGCTCTTCGGCACAACAATCAATGGCCACTCCACGGCAGTGCACTATCATATCACAGCAGTCTTGAAAAACCCTGGGTGGAAGTGAGACGTCTCCAATCTCAACTTCTCCAATTTTCACCGTGCCTCTTGCTGTTACAGAGAAGCCTGATGAAAAACGCTCGATATCCTTCTTTTTTCTGCATACCCCTTTCTCCCAAATTTCCGCAACACTTCTCCACTCCTCCACTCCCCCTCCACCCCTCCCCACCCTCTTCCCTCCCCTCGTGCAATGGACCAGAACGACACGTTTTGCCATGTTCGCAGTTGTGCTAGTGGTGCAGATCAGACGATGTTTTAGTTGACATCAATCATCCATCCTCCCCCTCCATTCCTTTCCCTTCTTCCCCCCAACCCCCCCCCTGAACGCCAACAGGACGACACGCTTTGCCACGTTCCCGGTTATGCTGGTGGTGCAGATGCGCAAGTACGTTCTCGAGATAAATCTATAGCCTCCAACCCCGCTCCGCTCCCCACCCCCTTTCCCTTCCCTCCCTGCCAACTCACCAGGACGACGCGCTTTGCCACGTTCCCTGATGTGCTGGTGGTGCAGATGCGCAAGTATGTTCTCGAGTCTGGCACCTGGGTGCCGAAAAAGCTCGGTAAGTGTAGGAGTGAGAGAGTGAATGCATTGTCTGCCGCTTGTCATTGCCCTCCGCTCCTTCCCCTCGTCCCTCCTCTACCCCTCTCGTGGATGTTAAAGTGGGGGGTACACATTTCTTGGTCCATTTTGGTGCATAACTTGGGTTAGTGAACTTGAATCTTGCCCTGAACACTGAACAAAATCACTTCACGCTGGCAAAACAGTTGGGCAAGTGATAAACCTTCACCCTACCACGACAATTCTGAACCCTCTCTTGAGCTTCTTTTCTTACGCTCTAGCTTATATCCCTCTCCTCTCCCCTTATCCGCCCATCCACCCCTCCCCATCCCCCTCTTCCCACGTGCAGACGTATTCCTGGATGTGCCTGATTGCTTGGACCACTCTCATCTGTGGGGGGCTGCAGCGGGGGGAGCAGGGGCCTTTAAACGTCTCAACGCTCCCCCCAACCCCCCACAAACCCCTCCTCCCACCACCCCAATCCCCTCACTCCCCCCACTCCCCCCGCTCCCCCCACTCCCCCAGCTCCCCCCGCTCCCCGCGCTCCCCCCGGCCCCCCGCGCTCCCCCCACTCTCTCGCATGCAGACGTTTTCCTGGACGTGCCTGAGCGGCTGGACCTTTCGCATCTGAGAGGCAAGGGGTTGCAGCCGGGGGAGCAGGAGCCTTGAGTCGTCTCAACGCTCCCCCAAGCCCCCCCACTCCCCCCACTCCCCCCGCTCCTCATGCTCCCCCCACTCTATCGTATGCAGACGTTTTCCTAGATGTGCCTGATCGGCTGGACCTTTCGCATCTGAGGGGCAAGGGGCTGCAGCCGGAGGAGCAGGATCTGCCAGAAGGTAAGAACGAGGGCGGAGAGGGGGTGGAGACCACTTTTGAGACGTCTGACTAGCCACCTCTCTCATCTGCGGGGCAAGGGGTTGCAGCCGGGGGAGCAGGATCTGCCAGAAGGTAAGAACGAGGGGGGGGAGAGGGTGGTAAGGGAGGGTGGGAGAAGAGAGGGAGGTGGGTGAAAACAGGTTTCCAAACCCTTTTGGATGTGATGTTTAGGAGGGTGGGAGAAATGGGAGGAAAGGAAGGAAAGGAAGAGGTGAGATGTTCCGGTAAGGCCATGCCTGCAGCCAGGAAAGCAGGCGCTGCCAGAAAATGGCATCTTTTTTTTTTTTCTTTCTTTTTTCTTTTTTGTAGGTGCCCTTCTGTTACTTCTATAGTCGCCTCAACAATATTGCTCCCACACACACCCTCCATTCTCCTCGCTTCCTCTGTTCGTCTCCACTCTTTGTCCACCAGACACAGCAGGAGAATCAGCAGGGCAAAGCATGGTCGTAGCAGCAGCAGCAGCAGCAGCAGTGGAGCCAGGGCCAGCAGTGCTGCAAGCGGACGAGGTGGTGGTGGCATCACTGGAGAGCATGGGGTTCCCCCCTAACACACACCCTCCTTTCTTCTCCCCATCTTCCTCTCTCCTTCCGCCAGACGCAGCAGCAGGAGGAGAGGGCGCAGGGCAAGCAGCATCGGAGCCAGGGCCAGCAGTGCTTCAGGCGGACGAGGTGGTGGTGGCATCGCTGGAGAGCATGGGGTTCCCGCGCGTGCGCTGTGAGAAAGCAGCTGTGCTGACAGGCAACGCGGGAGTGGAGGAGGCGGCTAATTGGATCTTCGAACACATGGACGACGCTGGTAGGGCTCTGCTTGCTAGGGTTCCAATTTGTAGGGGTAGCGGGTAGGGCTCCACGAGTAGCGTTTGGAATGTAGAAGGCGGCGGTGCTGACAGGCAATGCAGGGGTGGAGGAAGCAGCCAATTGGATCTTCGAACACATGGACGACGCTGGCAGGGCTCCGCTTGGTTGATAGAGCGCGCCAGCTTCAACTGCTTTTGAGCATTTTATCGGGGCTTTCTTGTTCTTCTTCGGTTTTAGGTCAGGTTTATTGTGCCTTTATTTGGTTCTCCTGATTCTCATTCTGCTCACAAGACTGCGAGGTTCTGGCCTGACTGCTGCTTAGTCCATTTCACACCCTTCTACACCTGTTTCCCACCCTTCCCATCCTCCTATCCCTCGCCCTACCCGTCTCTGCTGCAGACATTGACAAGCCACTTCCCCCACCTGGAGCCCCCTCCACCGCTCCAACAGCAGCAGCAGCTTTTGAGTTTCTTTCACAAAGCCAACTCAGAGATCTTCCCAACCTTCCGCCCCTCCACTCCCTCGCCTTGCGCTCTTCTGCTGCAGACATTGACGAGCCACTCCCCCCACCGGGAGCCCCGTCCGCAGCGCCGGCGGCGGCGGCGGCAGCGGCGGTGGACGAGGTGTCTCTGGCAACGCTCATGTCCTTTGGTTTCTCCGACACTGCTGCTCGCAACGCACTCGCGGCCACTGTGAGAGCCCTTCTGTACCTTTCTCTCCCTCACCATCTCTTTTTGAGACGCCTCAAAAGTGGACGAGGTGTCTCTGGCAACGCTCATGTCCTTTGGTTTCTCCAACAATGCTGCTCGCAACGCACTCGCTGCCGCTGTGAGCCCTCTTCTGTACCTTTATTTTACCGTGACTGTTTGACGCGCACCAGCGGTGGACGAGGGTGCTTTGGCGACGCTCATGTCCTTTGGTTTCTCTGACACTGCTGCTCGCAACGCACTCGCTGCCACTGTGAGCGCTACTTGCATTGCACGCAGTGGTAGAAAAGATATCTTTCATCCTCGTTCTCCACTGAGGGTGTTTCGTCTGCCTGCCGTTGCGTTTCAGCCGACCATCTACTCTCCCCGTAGTGTTTGTATCGCCCTTCGTCCCAACCCTTGTGTGTTCAAAATGATTCCGCTGCTTGTAATGCTCGTTCTCACGTCAATGCAGCGAGGGAATGCACCGAGGGCAGCAGATAGAATCCCTGAGCAACCCAGAAGAAGGGTTTTGGGTGTCCACTTGCTGCTGCCTCTTTTGCTCTCACTTCACTCCCCCGTTTCCCATATTCTATTCACTGCAGGGAGGCGATGTGGAAAGGGCAGCAGATTGGATCCTGAGCAACCCAGCAGAAGCGGAAGCCCCTCCTGCTGCCGCTCCTGCTGCTACATGCAATGCTCCCTCGCCTCTCTCTTCCCTTCCCTCTCTCCCTTCGACTGCAGGGAGGCGATGTGGAGAGAGCAGCAGATTGGATCCTGAACAACCCAGCAGAAGCGGAAGCCCCTCCTGCTTCCGCAGCTGCTGCGGAACCCACTCCCATGGATGTTCAGCCTTCAGGGGGAGCAGCAGCAGCAGGAGCAGGAGCAGCATCAGCTGTTGATCCCACAGCCAGAGTGTCTGATGGCCCGGGAAGTGAGTCACAAAGCATAGCATGTGTTTCTCCTTGCCTTGTATCGTATGCTTTCTGTCCATTCCCCAACACATTCTCCCCTTTGTTCGTCTCACTTCTCCTCGTCCTCCCCAGGCTGAACCTCCCACATCTTCCTCTGCCGCCTCTTCCTTGTTCACTTTCCCCCCTCCCCCCTCTCCCGGCTCTTCTCCCTCCCGCTCTCCTCTCCCCCGCACAGCCTACGAGCTATTTGCATTTGTGAGTCACATGGGCGCCAACACGCAGTGCGGGCACTACGTGACGCACATCCGCAAGGGGCCGGGGGGCGAGTGGTTGCTCTATGGCGCACAGATGGCGGCTGCTGCACTGCCGCACACAATTCTTCCCTGCGTTTGCCCATCTATTCCTCCCCTCCTCTCTTCCCGTCTCTTCCTCTCCCCATCTCTTCCTCTTCCCCGTCTCCCCCTCGCCCCTTCCCCGCACAGCCTACGAGCTATTTGCATTTGTGAGTCACATGGGCGCCAACACGCAGTGTGGGCACTACGTGGCGCACATCCGCAAGGGGCCGGGGGCGAGTGGGTGCTGTTCAACGATGCCAAGGTGGCCGTGTCCCAGGACCCACCCAAGGACATGGGCTATCTCTACTTCTTCCGCCGCTGCCCTGCTCCTGCTCCTGCTGACGCTGCTTCCAGCTAGCTATATGCAAGCGCAATGGGTAGGGTAAGGGACGGTGTAGGGGATGTGCTTGCCGGGAGGCGAGTGGGTGCTGTTCAACGATGCCAAGGTGGCCGTGTCTCAAGACCCACCCAAGGACATGGGCTACCTCTACTTCTTCCGCCCCTGCACCCTGAAGGAAAGTTCCCGCTGTGCTGCACCCTGTTGGCAGCTGCACCTGTCTGTATTTTGTGACTGATTGGTACTAGACGAACGAGGCTGTTGTTTATGGCCGAGATGGCATACCGTTAACCTCTTCACCCTCATGTCCGTACAAACGGATGCTCCGCATTAGTGTGACGGGTCTAGCCACACACAACACGTATGGAAATGTTTTTCCCTATTACCGTAAGATGAGTACGCTGATGATTAAAGCCTGGGTACAGCATGGTTTTTTTTCAAGTTCAAGATTCTTGAACCATACTGTAACCATACTGTATGCCTTGTCCACTCAACGACAAACCAGTACCCTCACTAACTTATACCGTATTAGCACAACAAACACAGCAACCGCACTTGCACCAGCTCTAAAATGTGTAGTCCTCTTCACCTTCCCATCCGCACATGCGTCCTTTCACTCCTGCTTGCTCGCCTTGGCTGATCTTAGAGTTGCCTTTAGCTCTGCGAAGAACTTCCTCTCCCAATGCCACCTGAAGGGGGAGATGGGGGGATGGGGGGAGTCAGGAGGCATGGGAAGAGAGATGGGGGGAAACGGACCTCCCTCCACTCCGCTTTGGCTGATCTTAGAGTCGCCTTGAGCTTTGCGAAAAGCTTCCTCTCCCAGTGCCCCCTGCAGGTGGAGATGGGGGGACGAGGGGAGGTGACTCTTGAGTTGAGTCAAACGTCGCCTTGGCTGATCTTGGAGTTGCCTTTAACTCTGCAAAAAACTCCCTCTCATTGTCACCTGGAGGTGGAACCGTGGGGGAGGGAGGGGGTGGGGTGAGGAAAGGGGAGATAAGAGAGAGACCAGGGGGGCACGGGGAAGGGAGGGGGACCAGGCAGAATTGATTGAAAACAGAAAGGGCACACTTGCTCGACTCGAAAAGAGGGGATGAGGGAGGGAAAGTGAGAGAGCGAGGGAGTGCAGCCTCTTCACCAAGCCATGACTTGGTGGAGTGCAACAACAAAGCCATGACATGCAACAACAAAGTGCAGGGGTGGGGGACACGTGGCTTAACAACATTTTACCGCATGTCCCTCTCTTAACATTAACGCGCATGCCCTTCCCCCTCCCCCTCCTCCAACCCTCGAGCTCTTAAGCCCCTCCCACAGCAACATCTCCGCCTTCTCCCTTTTCCCCGAGGCCTCTCTCTTCGCACTTACGATGCGCAAATGCCAGCAGCAAAGCACAGCACGCCAAAAGTAATGTTACTACATGCCCCATGCCCTCCCCTCCCCTCCACCCCCCCCACCCTTCTTCGCCCTTTCCCCCATGGCCTCCCTCTTGACTCACAATGCGCCAATAACAGCAGCAAAACACAGCGCGCCAACAGCAATGTGGGCAAGGGAGGCCGGGGAGAGGGGCGAGGGAGGGGAGGAAGGAGAAGTGTAGCTGCCTCGGAAGAGGAGGAGGTGCTGGGATGCGAAGGAGATGAGGGAAGCTGCTGCGAAAGATGATAGGACGGGGAATGAAGGCAGCGAATGCCATAGGGAGAAGTTGGGCGTTGTCTGTAGGGAGGGAGGAAGGTGGGGAGAGGTGGCGGTGGATAAAAAGGAAGAGAGAGAGGAGAAAACGGGATGTTGTATACTCTTAGAGAGGATGAGGTGATTGGGCTGTGAAGGGCTCGATTTGACTGAGAAGGAGGAGAGAAGCGGATGAGGGAACGATAGGAAACAGAGGGGGTTTGTTTCTTAGATAGTAATAATAAAACACAGAGAAGAAGGCTGAACGTTCTACCTTGAAGTATTGATTGATGAAGGTGGCCGAGTAGGCAATCCTCATTGCCATGTCTGCAAGGGGCGACACACAACACACCACACACACCACACACAACGCACAACACAAAACACACAACAAGGGAAACAGAACACGTTGAAGCGTCGTGCGATCTTGATTGATGAAGGTGGCCGAGTAGGCAATCCTCATTGCCATGTCTGCGATGGGTGACACACAACACACAAACACAACGCAACGCAACAAGGGAAACACACCACGAGAATGCATCTTGCCCTCTTGTTACGAACACTAGAAAGGAAAGAAGAACAAGAAATTGACGTGTGGGGGGTAGAGTGGGGAGGGGAAGAGGAGACATTCGATGCACTGCAGCAATTGGCGAGTATGCGCCCAGGAGAGGAAGCGATGCGGAAGTTTTGAGTCGACTCAAAGACGGTACATACACGTGCACACAATCTCCCTCACACACACACAGGCATGCACACCCCCAACTTGTTCCTCCACCACCCCTCGCGCACTGCAGCAGTTGGCGAGCATGCGCCCGGGGGGAGGAAGCCACGCGGATGCCTACATACACGCGCACACACTCAGACACACAGACACACAGGCATCCACACAGGCACGCACACAGGCATGCGCACACCCCACTTGTTCCTCAGCAGGTATCCCCCCAAGGCAAGCCCCACGCACTGCAGCAGTTGGCGAGGATGAGTCCGGGGGAGGAAGCCATGCGGATAAGTACATACAGGTGCACACACTCAGACACACACACACTTGTTCCTCCAGCACCCCTCACGCACTGCAGCAGTTGGCGAGGATGAGTCCGGGGGAGGAGGCAACGCGGATGAGCAGCGCACTGAGCGCCATGTGCAGCAGCGAGAAAAGCAGCAGCCATCCGTTGGACTGCGCCAGCTGCCTCTCACTCAGTACTGCATGCACAAATGCCTCCGTGGTGCCTGCATGAAAGGCAGGGAGGAGGTTCGTGTGGGTGCTATGTTGGATTTGAGTGTGGGTTTGAGTGTGGGTTTGAGTGTGGGTTTGAGTGTGGGTTTGCTTGAGAACTCAGCCACCCGTTGGACTGCGCCAGCTGCCTCTCAGTCAGCACTGCGTGCACAAACGCCTCCGTGGTGCCTGCATGGAAAAGGGGCAACCGTGTTCCCTTCTATGGTTACGACTGCGCCAACTGCCTCTCACTCAGCACTGCATGCACGCACGAACGCCTCTGTGGTGCTTGCGTGTAAGGCAGGGAGGAGGTTCGTGTTGCTGATATGCTGCGTTTGAGTGTGGGTTTGAGAAATCTGCCACCCGTTGGACTGCGCTAACTGCCTCTCTCACTGTGTCAACACTGCGTGCACTAACGCCTCTGTCTGTGGTGCTTTTGAGTCGACTCAAAAGCACTGCGTGCACTAACGCCTCTGTCTGTGGTGCCTGCATGGGAGGAGGGGGAGGAGGTTCGTGTTGCTGTTATGGTGAGAGTGGGAAATCTGCCACCCGTTGGACTGTGCTAGCTGTGCCTCTCTCAGCACCGCGTGCACTAACGCCTCTGTCTGTGGTGCCCGCATGGAAGGTGCGGAGGAGTGGGGGATGAGGGATCATGATGTCGGAGAGGCGGGAAAGTGCCTCATCATGATCCGGGCAGTAGCAGGCAAGGGAGAGGGGAGCCTCAGTGGCGGTCCAGGTGGGGCCGTAGAGCAGTGAGAGCAGCGAGTAGGAGAAGGGCGGATTGCGAACAACTCTTTGACAAGCAATGGAGAATGAGGGAGATGAGACTTATCACTCACTCTCTACACTGCTCCGCTCTTCCCCTCCACCCCTCCTTCTCCCCCCCCACCACATTTCCCACCCTCCATGCCCTCCCCACAATCTCTCACCGTTGAGAGCGAGTGCCATGATGTAGGGGCAGTAGCAGGCAAGGGAGAGGGGAGCCTCTGTGGCCGTCCAGGTGGGGCCGTAGAGCAGTGAGAACAGCGAGTAGGAGAAGGGCGGACCGAACGCCACGAATATGAGCCCTGCGGAGGGGGGAAGGGGGAAGCAGTGGGGGAGGGAAGAGGGAGCAGGAGGGGGAGAAGGGCGAGAGTGAAAGAGAGAGCAGCGAGCAGGAGAAGGGTGGACGGAGCGCCAGGAACATGAGACTTGCGGAAGTGGGGAGGAGGGGGATGGGATGGGAGGGGGAGGAGAGGAGATGAGATGTGATGGCAGGAAGCGCGAGCAGAGAAAAGGAAAATCGGGAGGCGAGCACCGCATTTTGAGAATTCTCAAAAAAACACTTCAAAATCGGGAGGCGAGCACCACAAACACGAAATGTTCTCGCTAGACGAGCAGTGGAAGCAGATAGCGGAAGATCAGGAGGCGAACAAACAAACACGAGGCAAAGGGCATCCCAAGGCCCTATTCGCCACCTCATTCTCCGCTATCTGTATCCTCTGCTCGTCTAATGATGTACGTACACGCACCCAGTCAGACTCTGAGAACCGGGCAGCCAGGGAGTGATAAGACAGACGCTTGTACATACGGCGACCTTTTAAGTCGACTCAGAATTTAACCTTGAGTGATCAGACAGAGGCTTGCAGATACAGGTTGGGTTGCCTTTGGCATACGAGGCCATGCCAACCCAACCCTACCTTGCCATTACACGTTACTTTGAATCCGAATGGAGAATCAACCCAACCCAGCTCATCTAGCATGTTCACAGCCCTTCACTGCCAGTAGCAGCGGTGACTTTTGAGTCGACTCAAAAGTCTCCCAACCCAACTCATCTAGCATGTTCACAGCCCTTCACTGCCAGTAGCAGCGCAGCACCACTGACTACTGCCCCACCTTTGCATTGCTGCCTGGGGATGGACGTTCTTTACGTGCCCAAAACATCGGTCAATCTCAACAGTTGAACCAGCCAAGCCAACCCAGCGCACCTAATACGTTCACGGCCTTCACTGCCAGCAGCAGCACTCTAGCCACTGATTCCTGTCCGGCCTTAGTATTGAGGTAACTCATGTGCTGAATGGAAAGACAACCCACCTAATACGTTCACAGCCTTCACTGCCAGCAGCAGCACTCTAGCCACTGATTCCTGTCCGGCCTTAGTATTGAGGTAACTCATGTGCTGAATGAAAAGACAACCCACCCCAGCTTACCTAACACGTTCACAGCCTTCACTGCCAGCAGCAGCACTCTAGCCACTGACTCACGACCCGACTTGGAAGTGCTCCCTGGGAAGGGGGCGTATGGGAGCAGCGGGACAGGGGGGGGATGGGGAGCAGGGGGGGGATGGGGAGCAGGGGGGGCATGGGGAGCAGGGGGAGCATGGGGAGCAATGGGGGGTGACAGAGGGAAAAGAAGGAAAACAGGAGGTGAGGAGGGGAGAGGGGGCAAATGGGGGGGGCCGACGGGGAGTGGAACGATGCGGGGAGAAAGCTAAACATTTGCAGCAGGAAAAGCGTTCAGGTGGCATGGGAGAGGGGTACGCGGAGGAGGGAGGGGGAGCGGGATTGGAGTGGCTGGGCTGGGGACCAAGGGCAGAGCTTCTAATGAGTGGACGGGGGCAGGCGAGGCACACAGCGGCAGGCGAGGCACACAGTACAGAGGCGAAGGCGAGGGTGCTTGAAAAAGGTGTTGAGAAGGGAGAGGAGGAAGACGAGGGCCGTAGGGTAGTGCATGCTTGAGTCAACATCCTCATCTCTCATACTCCATGCTATCAGAAGGTCTCACCCCATCCCATCCCACCCCATCCCATCCCATCCCATCCCATCCCATCCCATCCCATCCCATCCCATCCCATCCCATCCCATCCCATCCCATCCCATCCCATCCCATCCCATCCCATCCCATCCCATCCCATCCCATCCCCATCGCACAACCCCCCCACTTCTCCGCCTCACCTTCTTTCCCGGCAGCATCAGCAGCATGAGGGGTGTGAGACGCGGAGGCAAGGGAGGGAGCAGTGCGCGCGAAGATGATGAATGCACTCTCCTCGAATGGCTGGAGGACAGAGCGCACCACGAGACTGCCTGCCATGGCGTGGTGCAGTGTGGTGCAAAGAGGTGTGGAGTACAATGTTGCATTGCAATGTGTGAGAAAAAGAAGGAACAAACAACGGGTTTTTTTCCGCCCAGAAATGGGCGGAATGACATGCCATGGGATGGCATGGGATGCTATGGCACGGTGTGCTTACGCGCACACCCCTTTACCAATCCTTATGCGTGAGTGGATGTACACACACAACCCACTAGCCACGCACCCAGCTTGACGACGAGTCCATACACGCCCTGGTTGTACGCGCTCTCCATGGCCACGAGCACCATCTCGTCGCCCTTCCCCAGCACCTGCTTCACCATCGCCTGCAGCGCGAACGCCCCGCACAGCCGCAGCAGCGGCCAGTGCAGCAGCGGACGCTCGGGGAGCCTGGGAGGAGGGACGATATGGGGGTTTGGTTGGTGTGGAATTAAGGAATCAGGGAGTTGACAATCTGGAAACTTGGAGATTTATGTTTTAGAGTTAAGAGGTTTGGGAGAAGGGGAGAGGTCAGCAAGTAGGGGTGGGTGTGGGGCAAGAGGGTTGCACGAGAGGAATGATGAAGGGCATGGGAGTTGTGAACATCCTCCTGCCTCAAGGGAGCCATGAACACCTCAAGTTGAGTCAACTAAAAAATTACCTCGTTACGCGGGGTGTGCCGCGCGGGGCGTGGTCGAGAGTTGGACGTGAAAAACAATAAAGGCTATGGGTGTACTAAAAACTCACTTGCACGGGAGCGGAGGATTCATGGCACCAGACCCTTCACCAGCACTACCTTTCTCCCCTTCCCCTCCCGTCCCTGTCTCTATTTGAAGCTGCTCAGAAAACATCCTGCCTCTCCAGGAACTCACTTGCAGGGGAGCAAAGGAATCATGGCACCAGACCCTTCACCAGCACTGCCTCCCTCCCGCCCCATTCTCTCCTCCTCCCTTCCTGCCCAGCCCAGCACTCTTGGGACGTCTTTCAAAAGTAAAAACTCACTTGCAGGGGAGCAGGGGAATCATGGCACCAGACCCTTCACCAGCACTGCCTCCCCCCGCCTCATTCTCTCCTCCTTGCCTCTCCTGCAATCCCCCCCCATCGACTCCCTCCTTTCCATCCCTCCCAACTGCTCGCCTCCTAAGCCCTCCCTCTCCCTCTCCTCCTCCTCCCTCTCCTTTCCCTTCTCCCTCTCCTCCCTCTCCCTCCTGCTTCTTGTTGCCTTTTGCCACATCTCTCTCCCCCTCTCCATTCTGACTGGGACCTAGAGCACGAACGGAGGGGTGGAGGAGGAAGAAACCCCAGTAGCCGATGACCAGGGTGGTGCTAAAGGCCAGCTCCGCATAGGCAAACACCAGCCCTCCCGTCTGCGCGGGGGGGCGTGAGAAGGTGGGGGACAGGATGACGCAATGGGGGACGATCAATGGGGGACAATGAAGAGAGAATGAGGGGGAACTGGGATGTCATGTTGCCCAGTCACCGATGACCAGGGAGGAGCTGAAGGCCAGCTCCGCATAGGCGAACACCAGCCCTCCCGTCTGCAGCAGAGGAGCAAGGGAAGGTGGGGGAAATGAAGGGGAGAGAGAGATTGGGATTGAGATTGAGATTCGTTGGTGCCTTAGCTGATTACGACAGGGAGCTAACGGCCAGCTCTGCATGGGCAGGCAAACACCAGCCCTCCCGTCCCGTCCAGCCATTCGTCCCAGTTACCCCTACCCTTGCCACCACCCCATGCGAATCACCACTCACTCACCCTGCCGATCCCCCCTAGCACCAGCAGCAGCGTCACGACACACCGCACCACCGTTGCAACGGCGTCCAGCACCGCTCTCAACCGCACCAGCAGCAGCGCCTGGGAGAGAATATACAGCGGCTCAGATAACAGCTCCACTGCTGCTGCGACGCCGTGCAGGAGAATGGCTTGCGCGTAGGGGTCGGAGAGAGGGAGGTGCTGGTAGTGCAGCACGAAGGCACAGGCTGCTGCTGCTAGGGCGATGCCTGTGGGGACGACCAGCCATGCTGCTGACACCATCCGCGCCCAGTAGAGAGGGGAGGCGGAGGAGGAGGCAGAGGAAGAGGAGGAAGGGGTGTTTCTGGTGCCGTGGGGGAGGAAGGGTTGTTGTGGGGGATTTGGGGGGGGGAGAAAGAAAGGAAGAAAGGGAAGAAGAAGAGGGTAAGAGAGGGGGAGGTGCTGGTAATTCAGGACAACGACACATGCTGCTACTGCGCTGCTAGGGCGATGCCTGTGGGGACGACGAGCCATGCTGCGGATACCATCCGCGCCCAGTAGAGGGGGGAGGCGGGGGAGGAGGCAGAGGAGGAGGCGGAGGAGGAGGCGGAGGAGGAGGAAGGGGCGTTGCTGGTGGCGGTGGGGTGTGGGAGAAAGGGCAGGCAGAAGGGAAGAAGGGAAACGAGAGAGCAAGAGAGAGTGAGGTGTGCAAAAAGAGAAGGGGTGAGGGGGGAGGAGGAGGAGGAGGAGGAGGAGGAGGAGGAGGAGGAGGAGGAGGAGGAGGAGGAGGAGGAGGAGGAGGAGGAGACAGCAGAGGAAACGGGAAGGGGGGTTGAGGGGGAGGGAAGAGAAAGTGAAGGGGGAAAGTAGAACGGGGGGAGAAAAGCGGAGAGAAGAGTATCGAAGAGGAAAGAAAACGACAGAGTAAGATAGAAGAGGAGAGGTGAGTGCAGAAAGAGAGGGGCTTTTATCCAGGCTGGGATGGCTCGTCTCTCACCCACAGGTGTGATCCGGTTCCCCATCAACTCGCAGGCGAAACTCACCCGTCAGCCCGCAGGCAGCCTCTACGAAAGCCCTCTCTGCTGACAAAGAGAATGGTGGATGTGAGGAGCTGGAACTGCACCGCTGCCATCTGATGGCCCGGGGAAGGGGGGGGAGGGTGGGGGGGGGGGGGAGAGGGAGTGGAGCAGCGAGCACGTGTCATAGTTAAAAGAGAATGGTGGGTATGAGCAGCTGCCATTCTGATGGCACCGCTGCCATTCTGATGGCACCGCTGCCATTCTGATGGCACCACTGCCATTCTGATGGCCAGGGGAAGGGGAGGGGTGGAGAGTGGAACAGCGAGAGGAGCGGAAAGGAGATCGTGTCATGTCTCAAGGTTGGAAGAGAATGGTGGATGTGAGCAGCTGGAACTGCACCGCTGCCATCTGATGGTCAGGGGAAGGGGGGGGGGTGGGGTGGGAGGGGATGAGGGGGATGGGGGAGAAAGTAGTGGAACAACGAGCACATCTCATCGTTAAAGGAGAATGGTGGATGTGAGCAGCTGGACCTGCACCGCTGCCATCTGATGGTCATGGGAAGGGGAGCGGGGGAAGGGGAGAGGGGGAAGGTTAGCGGGGGAAGGGGAGCGGGGGAAGAGTGGAGCAGCGAGAGGAGCGGAAAGGAGATTGTGTCATGGCTTAAGGTTGGAAGAGAATGGTGGATGTGAGCAGCTGGAACTGCACCGCTGCCATCTGATGGGAGGTGGGGGAGGAAGGTGGGGACGGGAGGGGGGTCAGTGAGGGGAGGGGAAAGGAAAGTGCGTCTCAACAATGAAAGGGAAGGGTGGATGTGAGCAGCCGGAACTGCCATCTGTTAGAATCGGTTCAAGAGGAGGTGAGGAGGAGGTGAGGGGGGTGGGGGGAGAGTGTGTAGTTTGGGTGGAAGGAGGGAGGACAGCGAAAGAAGAGAAGAATTTGGAGTATCAACAGAAGTCTGAATCGCAAGAGCGGCGGCGGGGGGGTGGGGGGGGAAGAAACGGTGCGGTCAAAATAGCAGCAACGGTGCGGTTGGACGGCAAGTGCAGAGCAGCAGGCAGGCAGGCAGGCGTACCCCAAACTCCTGTGGCGAGAGGCGTCTGGCGATGACGAGATTCATGAGGAATGTTACCACTCGCGACGACACCTGTGACACTGTTGCAGGGGGGAGGAGAAGGGAGGGTGAAGGGGAAGGGAGGGTGAATGAGAGGGAAGGGTGCAGGGGAGAAAAGGGTGAAGTGAAGGTGGGAGGAATTGGGAAGGTGGAGGGAGCGCGAAGAGGAAGGGGAGGGTGAGGGGGAGGAGGAGGGTGACGCAAGGGACGAAAGAGGGAGAATGTGTGCTTTTTGCAGTTAATCGAAAGCCTTCCTATTGCCCACTTGGTCCAAGTGCAATAGAAAGAAGCAACGGAGATCTAGAATCACCGAGACGCAAATGAAGGAGAGAAATTCGCTGAGAATGCAAAAAAAGGGGATTCTGCTAAGAAGAAAGGAAGGCAAACGAGGATTCTGCTGAGAAGAAAGGAAGGCAAACGAGGATTCTGCTGAGAAAGGGCAATGGCGGCAGCTAAGTCAAATCTCAGAACTTAGGGACTGTTGATGAGCAGAAGGCACTGAATTCGTAAGCACCATGAAAGTACTCATGTAACCAAGGGAATCAACCCAGCAGTCCCGCACTCAACTCATTAGTTGAATAAAACCGCTCACGAGCATACGGCCTTCTGTCGACCCGCCCGTAGCACCGTCACCAACAACCGCTCCTCCCATCTTTCCGCCGTCCTTGCCCGTCTTCCCAACAATGGAACCAGCAGTATCAGCGGCGAGCTTGCGTAGCCTCCGGGTGAGCCTTGGGCGGGCAGCGGTAGCAGCGCACCGTGATAGTGAAGGCTAACGTTTCTTCAGGAATTGATCGTGTTAAGGTAAGTCAATTGTATTTAGGTTATGTCGTGAGAGACGGAGAGATAACAGGATGCAGCGCGGGTCCGAAGGTGAGTGCTTGCTTGCTCGAATTAGAAATGGTTCTATGCGCGCAGGAAGACGGAATCGCGCTACTCTGTCGCACGTAGTATGTCGCATGCAAAACGTCCCAACACGGCACGTCGCACGTAGCACGTCGCGCGGACGCCTGCTACTGGTGTCGCATCATGCTGGCGTTGCCCTGATCCCCATGAGCTCTCGATGTTGTTGGAGCAAAACCAAGCAGGCATGACGCGGGGTGGGTGAGCAGATTGGCGGTGAAATCAGGGTGTGTTGATCGGGGGGCTCGCTATAGATTGTTGTGCTACACCTTGATCTTCCATATAGTTTTGCGTGTATTTCCAGCTATGACACGTACTCCGTAAGAGCGGAAGAGATTTTTGCACGCTTGAGCACCAGTCACAACTGCTCTCCTCCTTACGCAACAGATCAGGAAATTAAAGCTGCAAATTTATCAGCTCAGCTCCAGAAAGAATATTACAAGTAACAAAATTTGGAGTAGCATGGCACTGAAGTATCACTATGCATCATGTAATCAGTAGCAACTACGGTATGACGAAAGGGCCTTCCACTAACCTAGTGTCAGAGCCTCGTGTCAGGAGAATCTAACCTGGCCTTGTATCAAAGGCAATCACGCTGCTGCAAGTGACGCCTCCTGACACAAGACTCTGACACGAGGTAGGGGGGATCCGATTTGAGGGGTCGCTCCGGTGTACAATAGCTGCCCTAATAATCAAGCAGCATGGCAATCAATAACCCTTTAGTAACCCTTGGGCCGGAAAAACACGGACAAGCCGTGCGCCTTGAGGAACTTCCCCGTGTAGAGATCAGCGGTCAGCACAACCCCTTGCTTCGCAGCAGGTGCGCTCTGCGGACCCAGCACGATTTTCCCCGCATTCGCGCCGGTGGAGGGATATCGCATCAACATATCCTTGGCTTTCGTTTTAAGCAGCGTGTTCGGAGCGAGCTTCAGCAGCTGCGCGCCCGTGAATTGCTTCACCAGGACGTTGTATTTCCCGATGGCCTCCATGGCTGTGTCGTTCTTTAGGGTTGGGATGCCGAGGCTCAATATGGCTCTGTTGGTAGGGATGAACAGCGTCGTGTTGAAGATCTGAGGCAGCAACGAGTCGGGGTATTTGACTGTATCGGAGACAAAAGGAGCGGGTGGGTTGGGAGGGAGATAGAGACGGTGAGACGCGGATACAATAGACGTGATATGTTCGATGCGGCAAATGGAACGAAAGGATGAGGAGATACGGGGTTTGGGAACGACGTAACGCAATCCATCGTGGAGGAAGACTTGAATAAAAAAGCGACCGTGCGTCGTTGCAAGCTCGCATTGTAAAACTTCGACGCGCATTATAGTGTGTCTTGGACAAGATTTGTGCGTGTAGTCGCGCTAAGTTGTGTACTTAATTGAGCATTCATCCAATATATGCTCGTCGGGCATGCGTGCGACATAACGACACCACTCTTTCGCACACGTGCATCGAAGCACTCACGCATTCTGTCGATGCCTCTTGCAAACGCCGAGTAGTTCTTCTGCTGCTTTACCACCGCCCTTAGCGCTGTGAGTTCTTGTCGGAATTGCGTCACCGTTGGAGCTCCGTTTGCGCAAACAGCCAGCACCAGCAGAACCGCGAGTAGAGTCAAGGTGTGTGAGCGTGAAAGCGCCATTGCCTCGACGAGACTTGCTCCACTGTAAGCAGTTCACGGCTATAAGGAAACTCCGACCAATTACAATGTAGGGAAGGGCGGGGTGTCCTGCAGATAGTTCAACAGGATACAACTAGACTTCTGCGTCCTGATCAGGTAACTATCTGCGGTTGAAGATTTTAGTCTAACGAGGACACCACAAGGAGAGAGTGAAGAATCACTTCAAACTCAACGGTAATAGGTGAAGGCGATGAGTTGAGAGGCTAGGTATTGTGGGCTTCTTATAGACTGCTATGGCTTCCACGAAGATGCAGGTGACACGAAGGTCTTCGGTTCGGTGGCCGTCAAACGGGTTGTAGTGGTGGTGGTCAGAAGGGTAGCGTGGTGTGTGCGGCACGGTGGTGGTTGTCTGGGAAATTGGGTTCGGGTTTCTGTTCGGTGTGGGAAGGGTGGTTCGTTCGTGCGGCGTGCAATGGGAGCATGGATGGAACGAGACGGATGGTCAGGAGATGACGGACGGAACGCCAGTCGGAACGTAACAGTACGAAACGCCTGGCGGCTCCGTGTGGTCGGACTCCGTGGCATCGGGTGAAGGACAAATCTCCGTGACAGATTGGGGGCGGTTCGATTCTCCGACGAGCCGTACTCCGACGTGGTTTGGAATTTGTGGCTAAGAATGCTGGACCAATGACGCGATCTCACGTCGGCCTACGGTGGACCCTTGCAAACTCCCTGCCGCCGACACCCATGTGTACAGTAACAAGCGCCGACAAACCGCCTCAAAGCGTCAATGCTGACGTCGTTCGTTTTCCTGCGTTGAAACTTCAACCACAAGATGCGGGATGACGAGTATGAGGAGCCGATACAAATACTTGATTGAAACGATACAACCATCCATATCATTTCTATGATGCCTGCTTAGGTAAGCTGCAAATGTCTCACATTCCATTTGGTGCACAAACAAGATGATGGAAAACGGAATCAAAGGTGGCACACACTTCTATTTACTGTAAAAAAAATCTTAAATAATCTATAATATAAGGTTCTCAAACGCTTTAGCTAATCTCAAAATGATATTATTTTCATATACCTTGTAGTTTTCCATGGCTAAGATTATGTCATCATAGATTGAGAGACTAAACAAAATTCCCGAAGCACTCACAAAACAGCTTCATGTACGGGTGCGAGCCTGTGGCTGGTACGCTTTGCAAAACCCGGCTATACTGTTCATTTTATTCTACAGGATCAGAGGGAGAGAGTGGCGGTGAGATGGGGTGGGTGGGGGGTAGCTGCGAAGCGACTCCAGCCAGCGAAGCGGCTCTCCCCCGATCAAGCCTTGCTAGGCTCGTGTGTCATCCCAAATCATGCTGTCCATTTCCAGTTGAACCTGTTAGTATCTCTCTATCTTCGTACCGCACCTTTGCGATTCTGCATTTTTCGCTTTGACCAAATAGCGAGCCAGCCCAAAATCGCAAAGCTGGTCACATCCCGAGCCTCCAGCCGACAATGGCGCACGCGACATCGCCACGGCGATCTCTACAAACGTCGTCGCTCGCTGTCGCGTGTGCGATGCTTCTACTATGCGCCTCCGTGACCCAATCGCACGCTGCCCCGACTGTCGCACAGATAAAGGCGGAGCTGAAGCAATGTCGCGCTGCCGTGGCAAGACTCCCCCTGTACAAGGCGTCCCTCCAATTGATCGACGAGATGCGTGAGTGTGCTACTTTTCATTACTATCAACAAATGTGACAATGCCACAATGTGATGCCAAAATTCGTCTATAATAGGCGCTCCGTCAACAAGGCGCGCCAACAAGGTCAACAGAAGCTACTTGAAGCAAACGCGGCGTGCGTCCCCTGAATCTAAATCGCCGCATTTCGCCACACACGGGACTACAACCACAAGCGCGCGCTCCTAACCGGTAGGAGTAATCGCCATGCCAGTAGTCATATTCAGGGTGGGCCTAATCCTACTTCAGTACAAAGCGTTCTCAGTCGCTTTTGCGATTTCGAGTCTTGAAGGCGTTCTTCAGCGAGCGTACATGAACGGACGCGTGATCGTCAATGCGTCGAATCTCTGTCAATTAAACCTCTCAGTGTCCTCCTCCTGCGAGCTGGAGCCGAAATCCTCTAACTCTTTTTGTCAGCATTCTCAATTGTCGTTCACGCCGTAGTGTTCGTGTCAGATGTGTTCTTGGGGTGCTGCTTTCACACTCACAGCTCCAATAACTATGGACAATGAATCGCGTCTGAGTGGTCTCTTCCTCACTCGTCCACAAGCCGAGCTTGTTCATGCTGTCTGCTTCTGTCCCCCACTCGTCCTCTCTGCCGCCAATTCCCTTGTTATACCAATCGATATTTCCTACACTTTAATTCCTTCCTTTCGTTTCCACCATTTTAGTTAAACATGAAGTCAACTTTACTCACCTCCCCCCCCGACCAGACCCTCTAGAAGCACAGATGCATCAGACCGCAGAACAGCGTTTGTAATCCTAAACCCACTACCCACCCCAATGATAGGCAGCTTCTGTGCGCAATCCCATCACTTACTACCTCTTTCCACCCCCACCTTTCCCCTCCAACCTAGAAAACATGCAACACATCATCTCCCTCTCTTAAAAATCCCGCCCTCCGTCCCCTCTCCATTTCCCTCACTTTACCCCCCCCCCCCCCCCCCACACACACACACACAGTAAAGAGTTCTCCTGCTGACTTACTCTCAATCGCCAACACCACCCTCCTGATCCCCACTACCAAGGGCCTGTACGCCCTGGGATCCAGAACTCTCTACAACCTGACTGCCATGTATTACATTAGCGGGTACAACGTGCTGACCAAGCGTTACACTTATCCGCAACTAGCAGCGGTAGTTACTGGGGTAAGGCTCAACTCCATGTTGCCAGGAGTGCCAGTCCAGGTGTATCCGAAGATTCGAGGGAGCGTTGTTTTGGGGAAAGCGGGAGCAGCAGTGAAGGCACGGGCAACTGTTGTTATGACGGACCTGTGTAAAGGAGTGTTTTTGAAGGGGCATGGCACGTCGTTATACATCAAGCCACCTGGATTTTGATGAGGGAGGTTCATGGTGAACTAGCAGCTCGTGTTGTGATGTGGAGCTGTGGCTGTGGCGGTGGTGTGTAATGTCAATGTTCCTGCGGTATGCTTGGATACCACCTGTCAGCAGTACGCGGACAGTCTCCCATTGTGTGCGGGGCAGCAATGTTTGAGAGGAACCAGTGCCTGTAGATGGTAAGGTAGTGACGCGTTGCAGCAGCTACACAGTGACGATGTGAAAGGGAGATTGTAAAATCGCAAACCTATAGAGCCTACACACGAACTAGGAGTCGTTCTTGCTGTATGCAGAAAATGTTTCTTTTAGCATGCGAACCACCACCATATTTGGATATACTACTACCTTCTCTCTCCACTCTCTTCTCTTAGCATTGTTCAAGCTCCCAACCAAGAATGAGACCAAGTCACCAAGTTATCCAGATTTCACATCTCATTAGTGATGCACAATTGCAATTGCAACTTAAATCGAAACTGAAACTCTGTTATTTCTGTCCAGTGTACACTGAAACACCTGTTTAGGAGAGTCGAACATCACCCCAAACAAAGGTAGTTCGTGCCGAACCAGATCAAAGACCAAGGCTATCTTCTGCGCCGCCATTTTTCAGAACCAGCACAGCAGCTCAACCGACAACCCTCGGCTGCCCCTCCCTATTGGAGTTTCGTTAGCAAAGTGTTTGTACAGGCGAAATAAGAATTCATAGCCTGTAAACACGTTTTGGCGATAGCGACTAGGGGCAGGCGCTTTCATGGCGCCGCCGCACACATCTCGCCGACAAACCAAGGCAACCCAATGGCGCGCGGTCCGACCGAAAACCACCACACCACACAGGTGGGTTTGTTAGAGTTTCAAGGGCGAATCACCCAGTATTCCGAAAGTGGTGGCATAAAATGTTTCCAATTCCAATTTCAGTAATTTCTCTAAGCAGATGGCCCCCTCTCTCCCTTTGCCCGCAAGGGGGTTCATTCAGTAGGAAAATTGCAACTCGTTCACCACAATCCGCATCCCTGCTGTCCCTCTCCACAAATTTTCATATCTTTGCTTTTCTTTTCCTCCCACATCCCCTTCGCACTCGAGGTCTTGTTTTCTGCTAGGGCGTTCAAGCATAATAGCTTCCCAATCGATTAGACCAACTTGGACGTACAGTCACCAATCGCGAGTTGGGCTTTGGTCGAGAGAATTCTGATTTCTTAGCCAGAGCGGATACCAAGCAGGTAGAAGCGGAACCCACATCCATTGCATCCTGTCACCAATGGCGCACGCGCGACGCCTGTCAGTGTTGTCGCTTGCCGTCGCATGTGCGATCCTTCTCTGCGTCGCCGTCACCCAGTCGCACGCTTCACCGACTATCCCACAGATAAAGGCGGAGCTGAAGAAATGCCGCGCGGCCATGGAGAAACTGTCCGACTACAAGGCGTACCTCCAAGGAATCGACGAGATGCGTGAGTGAGCTAGAAACGTGTGCTTTAGTCTAGCTCCCTGTCGACGAGACGCAACTGCAAGCAATTCCGAGAACGCGCATGGCGTGAGTACCTGTTCGCCGAGGAGGAACCGGAACCATGCGCTGGACATCGTGAGCGTAAAGTGCGGCCTCCTCTGCATTATGAACGGTATCCGGGAATCGCGTCGGGCGTATTCCATGTTCTACCGCGCGGCGAGGTAGTAAGGATTGATAGAAGCAACCACGCGAAGCAACCACACACACAGCCGCACCGTGTAACACGAGTGTGTGCATTTGCGTATACCGTCATCAGGACCTTCAGCCCTTCCGGCGCTGCGAACGTCCGTGGACGGAACTGCATTAGAGTCGCTTCCCTTCACGAAGCTTCGAGCCCAAAATAGAAGGCCGTAAAGGTTATACGCGACTTGCTAGATTTCTCAAAGGCTATTCCCAAAGCCTGGGTGTTATTGTATCTATCTCTTACCTCGTTGGCTCCGGCATAGCATATGCTTCCAAGCCAAGCTCACGCCTTCGGTCCAGCAAATTCCGCTGCGCGGAGTTAAAACCGAGAAATCGGTCTCTCGCCGTAATGTGCGCTGCGTGCCTATTACTTTTTATGCGACGCATTGCTCCACGTCCCCCTGTCATTCCCCGCTTGTCATTCCTCTCCGCGTGCGCTTCGGTTTCGCCGCGTTTGCCCTGGTAGACTCCAGTTTGCTCCCTTGAAACGTGACGAATGTCTCCCTCTGAACCTCTCTCCTCCATCCCAATATGCTCGATACACGGAGGCATTTACTTGGCCTGTAGCATTTGCAACCCTAAGCCCACACGCGACTATAGTCCACGCACCAGCAGCTGCTCTCCATGCAACACTCATGTCGCTTCAACACCTTACACACATCTGACCTCCAAAGTGCATGCAATAACCCTCTGTTCCCTCACAAACATCCCCCCCCCTCCCTCTCTTCCCATTCCCTCTCTCTTCTCGCCCATTATTTTCTCCCATTTCTTCCTTGCACATCCTCACTCGCAGTGAAGCGTTCTCCTGCGGACATGAAGGGATTATTCAACACCACTCTCCTGATTCCCACTAACAAGGGACTCTACGCGCTGGGACTCAGAACCCTCACCAACATGACTGCCATGACCGTCATCGGCCAGTACAATGTGTTGACTAAGCGCTACACTGCTGCACAGCTGGCAAAGCTTGCTTCCGGGGCCAAGATTCCGAGCGTGCTGCCAGGCGTGCCAATCCAGGTGTATCCGAAGCTCCAAGGGAGTGTTACGCTGGGAAAAGTAGGAGCAGGACCGAAAGCGCGGGCAACAATAGTCACACCAGACCTTTGCAACGGAGTGTTTTTGAAGGGCCATGGCATGTCTCTTTATCTCAAGCCCCCTGGGTACTAGCACGGAGGGAAGTGGTTCGTGATGGCGATGGCACTTGGTGTGATGTAGAGGTAGCTGAGAGTATAATCATTGATTGGCAACAATGGTGTTTTTATTACAAGTAATACTCATTATTCCTGGAGTAAGAGTGGGCCGCTATATTCCTATCTAGTGTTTGCGTTTTCTACGCTCTGAAATACACCCCGTCCTTCCCTCCCAATCGGGCATGTACGCGACCCAGCTGATGTGGCATTACACGTGCCCCTCGGATGCCACGCAACAGTACACCTTGCATCTCCAGTTCGGTGGAACACCAAAACAAGAGCTCCGAGATATTACTGTAACCATACTCCACCGTAATCCACCCAATCCCATCTCACCCGATCCCATCTTGTTTGCGTGATCCCCAAGCAAGGTGAATTTACTCCCAACACGGCTGGAATCCCATGGAATTGAATCAGACAGAGATAGCAGAAGAGCAGAGAATCCACTTTGCATGTTTCATTTTACGCAGGATAGAATTTGCCTTGGATTGATTACTTCAGATAAGGCACCAGCGAGTCGCGCCGTTTCGTTTTCTGAGCCATACACGGCACTTGCGAGGATAGCGAGCTGCATTGCGTGTCCCTTTTAAAGACCGTGTCTGGGCTGCCCGTGTAAAGAGGCCACATTCCCATCAGACTACCGTTCCCGCTAGCTCGAGGCTTCTGTCGTGATCGGATTCGGTTGCGGTCACATTCGGTTACATTCGGTTGCGGTTCTGCCGGTTTACCCGCATCTGGCGCTTACCATGGCTGCCGCATCTGCGTGCGCCATCTCTCTTCTTCCCGCATCTCCCGCCGTGAAATGCGCTCCATTACGTCGCGATAGCGGGCTGCTTGGCGGATCGTTAAGCCACAGCGCCTCGACCTTAACGCCTCTCAGACTCCACACGCCGCGGTTCGTCGGCAAACGCGTCGCGAGCTCAGGCCGCGCCGTCGCCGCGGCTGGCGCCGGCGGCTCGAGCGACAGAAAGAACGCTGACGTCAACAAGGTGGCGGTGCTCCGGGAGCTGCTGACGTCACCCGGGATCAAATGCGCGCCGGCATGCCACGACGGACTGAGCGCGCGATTAACGGAAGCTGCCGGTTTCAAGCTGGCGTTTATGAGCGGTGCGAAACGAGGGTGGGGGGAGAGAACGGGGGGAGAGGGAAAGAGCGGGTAGGGAAGGGGGTGAGGTCTGTGACGCTTCGAGCTGAGCGCGCGACTGACGGAAGCAGCCGGTTTCAAGCTGGCGTTTATGAGCGGTGCGAAACGAGGGGTGTCGTGGTGTGGGGATGATGGGGGATGAAGGATGACGGATGAGGGATGAGCGGGCACCCCACCGCATCCTACCCCACCCCACTGTACCGCACTGCACCCCTCCAGGCTTCGCCGTGTCGGCCACAGGAGCTGGTCTCCCCGACACGGGCTTGCTCTCATACGGCGAGATGGTGGAGACGGCCGGCTCATCGCCGCTACCACTCTGCATGCACATCCCAACTTACTTTCCCCACCCGACCGCACTGCACCGCATCACTCCCCAGGGTTCGCCGTGTCAGCCGCACGTGCTGGCTTGCCAGACACGGGGCTTGCTGTCATACGGCGAGATGGTGGAGGCGGGCCGGCTCATTGCCTCTGCTGCCTGAACATCCCAGCTTCTTTCCCCACCCCACCCCGCTGTACCACACCCGGCCGTACTCCACTCCCCATCCCTTCCAGGCTTTGCCGTCTCTGCCACACGAGCAGGTCTCCCTGACACGGGCTTGCTGTCATACGGCGAGATGGTGGAGGCTGGCCGGCTCATTGCGTCCGCTGCCTGCCTGCATCCCATCTTCTTTCCCCGCCCCACCCCACCTTACCTCACCCCACCGCACTCCACCGTATGACATCCCACCGCACTGCTCCACTCCCCAGGCTTCGCCGTGGCAGCTACACGAGCAGGTCTCCCTGACACGGGCTTGCTGTCCTATGGCGAGATGGTGGAGGCTGGGAGAATCATCCCGTCCCGCTGCCTGCTTGCATGCACATCCCAACTTTCTTTCCCCACCCCGCCCCGCTGTACCACTCCCCACCGAACTCCACTCTCCATCCCTTCCAGGCTTTGCCGTCTCGGCCACACGTGCTGGTCTCCCCGACACGGGCTTGCTGTCGTATGGCGAGATGGTGGAGGCTGGCCGGCTCATCGCGTCCGCTCGTGATGCCTGGCTGCCTTCACATTCCAACTTCTTTCCCCACCCCACCCCAACGTGCCGTACCCCATCGCATCCCATCCCCCCCCAACTGTACCGCACTGCACCCTTCCAGGCTTCGCTGTCTCGGCCACAAGAGCAGGTCTCCCCGACACGGGCTTGCTGTCATACGGCGAGATGGTGGAGGCTGGGAGACTCATTGCGTCCGCTGCTCCGGGCATCCCGGTGATAGGCGATGGCGACACGGGGTATGGCAACGCTGTGAACGTGCGGCGCACCGTGCGCGGGTATAGAGAGGCGGGCATGGCTGGGATCATTATTGAAGACCAGGTGAGGAAGGGTGGGCGGGGGTGAGAGGGTGTGGAGGGCAGGGGTGGGAGGGGAAGGGCGGGAAGAGGGAGGGGAAAGGGGAGGCAGAGGGAGGTGGGGATGCGCGCACGTACAAGTGAGGTTGGGGGGAGAGTGTGCTATGTGCTGTGTGTTGGTGTGCTGCTGCTCCGGGCATCCCGGTGATAGGCGATGGCGACACGGGGTACGGCAACGCTGTGAACGTGCGGCGCACCGTGCGCGGGTATAGAGAGGCCGGCATGGCTGGGATCATCATTGAAGACCAGGTGAGGAGTTGGGGGGGGGGGAGAGGGGGAGAGGGGAATGGGGGGAAAAGCGGGGAAGGGCGAGAGAGGAAGGAGCTGCGGTGTGCGTGTGAGACAAGTGAGTGTGCGCGGATATATGGGCAGGTTTGCATGGGTAGAGAGGGTGTTTTTGAGACGTCTCAAAAACACCCTCTCTACACGTGGTGAGGGGAACATGCGGGGATCAGCATTTGCTGTCTGTGAATCCCCGTTGGCCCTCCTGTGCTTGTTCCTCCTGCTCACCCTAATGCTCTCTTGCGCACCCTCGTGTGTGTGACAGGCGTGGCCCAAGGCGTGTGGGCACACGGCAGGGCGCAGGGTGGTGGACCTGGGTTACATGTCCCCCTGTCTCCCCTGATCTCTCCACGCGCCCTTTGACCCTCCTGTGCTTGCTTCTGCTGCTCACCCCAATGCTCCCTTGTGTGTGCGTGTGAGTGCACGGCAGGCGTGGCCCAAGGCGTGTGGGCACACGGCAGGGCGCAGGGTGGTGGGGCGGGACGAGGCAGTGATGCGCATCCGAGCAGCAGCGGACGAGCGGGACGAGGGGCAGGGAGACATTGTCATCGTCGCACGGTGAGCCATCGTTGCACGGTGAGCCATCGTTGCACGGTGAGCCATCGTTGCACGGTGAGCCATCGTTGCACGGTGAGCCATCGTTGCACGGTGAGCCATCGTTGCACGGTGAGCCATCGTTGCACGGTGAGCCATCGTTGCATGGTGAGCCATCGTTGCACTTTGTTTGTAGAGGGCTTTGTTGCTCCCCAGGGGGCGTGTTTCAAAAGCGCAAGCAGCAGACGATTGGGACGAGGGGCAAGGGGACATTGTCTTCGTCGCACGGTGAGCAGTTGTCTTATCCACTTCATTTACTCCGTACTACACGGGATTGATGCTCCTCAGGAGAAGTTGAGTTGACTACGGAGGCGGCGTGGCTGGCTTTCGAAGTTGGATTCGGAGCAGCGTGGCTGGCTGGCCAGCGTGGCTCATGGGTGCAAGGATCAAAATGACGGTTATCGTATTATACGGCCCAAAAACCAAAAATACGCCGTATTTTTTATAGACTGGTTTCCAGATTTTTTTTGTGTGTTTTTTTTTTTTCTTTTTAATCCTTTCTCCTAGCAAGGTTCTCAAAGGTACACACTACACTAGCCTAGCATAACAACAGCACAGAGTGTTACAACACAACTCTACCATTCCCACTACTACCTAACCGTCCACTACTACTCATTTCTCCTACCCTATCCTATCCTTCCCTATCTCTCTCTCATCCTCCTACCTGTAACCTCCTCTCTTCTTTACTCTTCCTCCTCCTCATCCTCCTCCTCATCTTCATCCGACTCCTCTTCCTCCCCACTAGACCCGTCACTAATGTCCCAAGGATCCGAGCCATTTCGAGCCTTGGTGGGCACGTCCTCCTCCTCCTCCCCTCCACTGCTATCCGCCGCCTCCTCCTCCTCACCCTCTTCCCCTCCCACAAATGTTGCCTTTCTCTTTCCCTTGGTAGGCTTCTTGGCCTTCCCGCCCCTCTGCCTCTTAGCGGCCTTAGGCACCTTCTTCTTCCGCTTCCCAATGTTCCCGAATAGGTCCCAATCAATGGTGCATAGTTGCTCATTCCCCTCTCCCTCCTCCTCGTCGTCGTCCCCCACTTCCTCTTCTTCCGCTGCTGCCGGTTCAACGGCACTCCCTTGCTTGAGGGTGCCGTTGGCCAGATCGGCATAAAGCTTCTCCCTCTCCCGTGATTTCCTATCGAAAGCATCCCTGGCCCTCCTGGCGAACGCCAACTCAGTCACGTCCATCATCTTTTTGGCGCTGAGGCGGTTACGGTCCCGCCTCTGCACCCGTGCAATGGCGGACCAGTAGCGTTCGACCTCAGAAGACGTGACTGGCTGTGACAGCACCGTCACAGCCATCCCCATGAGCGCTTGCAATTCCCCCCCATACATCAGCCACCACTCTGCCTCCGTCAAGCGCCCACTCGCCACCAGCACCTGCGCTGCCCAACGGGCATCATCGGACCCTATCAGCCCCTCTCCCAAATGAAACCGCGTCAACTGCGCCAACAGCAGCGTGCGTTGAGCGACATCCCCCCCACGTGCCTGGATCACGGCTTCCGCCCCACGCCTTACCTCGGGATCGTTCTTCACCTCTCTGCCGTACTGATTGCGCGGGTTTAGAAGCCACCCCATAGCATGGAGTGGATTGTGGAGCTGGACGTCCCACCTCCTGGCTATAATAGCCTTGATGGCGGCAAGAAAGGCCGGCTTGTCTTTGGCCGGCAAGAGAGCTGTGCGTTTCAGCATCATTTTGGCTGCCCATGGGGAGAACGAGAGAGCACGAGGTGAGCACAATGTGCGGGAAGGGTATATAGTAGCCGTGAACGTGCAGCAATTCACAGCTTACCTGCCGCCTCTGCCGCAATGTTTGTCTTCACCGTGGCATCTAGCATGAGGCCATAGATCTGGCCCATGACTAGAGCACGGGTGTCAACCACCCGCAGCACTTCGTACACGGGTGTCATGAGGCGGAGGACCGCTGTCGCGCAGTCCCAAAATACCTCATCCAAGAGGAGCAGGCGGACAGCTCGCCCCTCCTCAGACCGTGCCACCGCCACCGACTCCCACTCCTCACTAATCACCATCTCCTTGAGCGCTTTCTTCACTTCCAGGAAGCGGGTAAGCATGATAACCTGCGTGCCGAAGCGTGTTGCACCGGGCCGCACCAAGGACAATGTGCTAAACAACTCCTCGAAGAGCACGACGGCAGACGCGCTTCCCTTGACGATCATAACCACCCTGTGCACCTGGTTGAGCACCCGCCGCACAGCACGGACCTTCCCGATGTCGTGGAGCATCAGATCCAGGACGTGCGCCGCACAGTTGTTGAAGAAAATTGCTGGAAAACCGTCACGGAGAATGTCAGCCGCCCTCCGGTTGTTGGAGGCGTTGTCCATGACCACCTGGACCACGTTCGAGTCTCCAACATCACAGATCGCGCGCTGGATGAGACCGGCCAAGTATTCCCCCGTCTTCTTCGCGGTCTTGGAGTCCACGGTCTTCACGATGACAGGCGCCGTGTCATTGTGGGCCATGACACACACGAGCCCACGACTCTTCATGCAGGTCCAGCCATCCACGGAGAGGGTGCAGCCAGTAGTCTTCCAACTCTCCTTCAGGGGCCGTACAATGTCCGCGGTATCCGCTACCAGTTTTTGAAGCAGCACACCCGAAACCCTGAAGGGGGATGGGAGGGTGTACTGTTTCCCGAAGGCAACAGCCGCATCCACGAAGTTCTGCACGGCTGGAGACCTGGACGTGTGGAACGCCCAGTCGTTATCAGCCACTGCAGCAGCCCATAAATGGTCCAGTCGAGCGCGTGCAGTGTCATCCACCATGTCGCGGATGTCCCGCTGCCGTGCGCGCCGAGTGGGTTCGACGTCTAGGGTTGAAGTGGAGCCAAGGGTTGACAGAGTGGCGCTTCCGTCACGCTCATTAGCTGCTGCTGCTTCCGCTCGAAGTTTGATGGCGACTTCGTGATCGCACGGCGTCACATTCTTCTCCTTGTCCTCCGGCGTCCCATAAATGTGCTCCCCTATGCGTGTTGCGTTAGCAGTCACGGATTTGTTGCAGTGCACGCACTTCGCAGTTAGAGTGCCGCCTGGTCCCTTAGCCGTCGTGACGTGCTTCCACAGTGGCGATTTCTGCCTCGCCATGGCTTATGTCCTGCCACACTAAAGACTAGACTAGAGCTCTGTTTTGAATATGTGCAGGAGTGACTAGACCAATCTCCTAAGTACCAAGTAGAGGAAACTGGGGGTGTTGTGTCGAGTGGTGTTGTGGAAGGGTTGAGTGCACGGGAGGTATTCTGATTGGTTGGATTGGTTTCGCATCGCGGGTTTTGTACGTGTCGCGCATGCGAGCGACAAAAACATCCGCTGCGCGAAAATGTTAACGGAAAAAACGAAACGAGGGAGCGAAATTTCAGATTTCGCCAAATGTTGAAATGTCGCGCAACGGGTACCAGTACGCGATGCGCTTCGCGACTCGGGAATAAAACACATTCCAGTGTACGGATGTCAGAGAAATTTGAGTTTCGGCGAAACTGGCGCATGAAATTCAGTGATCCGATATACACTGATTTCGTTTCAAAAATACGGTCGAATTATACGGTCGTATTTTTGAACCAAACAAAGAATTAAAAAATACACCGTTTTAAACCGTTTTTTACGGTCGTATCATACGATTCCGTATTATACGACAGAATTTCAATAATTCGGTCGTAATTTTGAACCTTGCATGGGTGTGACGAGGGTCGCACAGTATTGAGGTGTGTTTTGAGGCGCTTCAAAACACACCTCAATGCTCGAGTGTGACGAGGGTCGCAGAGTGAGATTGTCATTGGCGCATGCAGAGTGTGTAGTCGACATTCTAGGGGGGCGAGTTGGCTTCTCAGAGAGAAAGAAAGAGTTGTGCAAAAGCCTTCGCCGCTGCCCTCTCCTCCTCCTCCTCGGCCCATCCCCCCCCTACCAGGTCCGCTGCGTGTCAGGCCTTGTCACTTAAAGAGGCGCTTTGGCTGGCAGCAGCGTTTGCCACAAAAGCCCATTCCTCTCCTCGATTCGTGACGCCGTTCCCCCCCCCTCTCCCAGGTCCGACGCATGTCAGGCTGTGTCTCTATTCGTGACGCCTTCCCCTCTCCCCGCTCCTCCCCCCCCTGCCACCACCAGGTCTGATGCGTGTAGGGCCGTGTCACTGGACGAGGCGCTGTGGAGGGCAGGGCAGCAGGTCCTAATCAGGTTACTTTTGAGTCGACTCAAAAGTCACCTTTTGAGTCGACTCAAAAGGCAGGGCAGCAGGTCTGAATCAAGTCAAAAGATTGGCCTCAAGCCACAAAGCCACCCCCTTCCTCGCTCTGCCTCCTTTTCCTCCACTCCACATCCCCCCCCTGCCAGGTCCGATGCGTGCCAGGCTGTGTCATTAGACAAGGCGCTCTGGCGGGCAGCAGCGTTTGCTGCAGAAGTGCATTCCTTCCCTCTATTCATAACAAGGTGACTTTTGAGTCGACTCAAAAGTCACTGCATTCCCCTCCTCTATTCATGACGCCCTTCCCTCTCCCCACCCCACCATCAGGTCTGATGCATGTCAGGCTGTGTCATTAGACGAGGCGCTGTGGCGGGCAGCAGCGTTCGCAGATGCGGGCGCGGACATGGTGTTCATCGATGCGCTGGGGTCGGAAGAGGACATGCGTGCCTTCGTACGGGCTGTGCCAAACACTCCCAAGCTGGTACGCACGCAAGTAGATAGGCACTTTAACTCGGCAGTGTTTGCAGATGCGGGCGCGGACATGGTGTTTATCCATGCTCTGGGGTCGGAGGCCGACATGCGTGCATTCGTGCCCGCTGTACCAAACACACCCAAGCTGGTACGCATATGTGGCCCAATTCCGCTCCTATGGTGAGCGTGTTTGCATGACTCAGGGACGGACATGCTCTTCATTGATGCCCTGGCGTCGTTTCTCCCCCCTTCCCTTCCCCCTCTCTCCTTCACATCGGCTTCGGATTCGTTTCAGAACCTTCCCCTCCCCACTCTCCTCTCTCCTCCCTCCTCCCGACTCCTCCTCCCTCCGTCTTCCCCCTTCCTTCCCGGCGGTCAATGCAGATCAATCAGTTGGAGGGGGGAGGGCGAACGCCCATCCTCTCCCCGCAGCAGCTGGAGGACATGGGCTTTGCCATTGCTGTCTACCCTCTCTCCCTCTCTCCTTCCTCCCTCCTCGATTCTCCCCGCTTCCCCCCCCTTCCTTCCCCATTGCCCTTCGAGTCATTTCGCACACTATCTTTCTCCACTGTTGTCCCCCCTCCCCTCCCCTCCCCTCCCCTCCCCTCCCCTCCCCTCCCCTCCCCTCCCCTCCCCTCCCCTCCCCTCCCCTCCCCTCCCCTCCCCTCCCCTCCCCTCCCCTCCCCTCCCCTCCCCTCCCCTCTCCTCGCCCCTACTCCCCTCTCCTCGCCCCTCTCCCCACTCTGCCCGGGCAATCATGAATGCAGATCAACCAGTTGGAGGGCGGGGGTCGAACGCCCATCCTCTCCCCACAGCAGCTGGAGGACATGGGCTTTGCCATTGCTGTCTACCCTCTCTCCCTCGTGGGCGTCTGCACTCGGGCCATGCAGGTGTGTGCCACACTCTTTCTTACAAGGAGCCATGCTGCAGGCCGTGTGTTTTCACTTGTAAATCAGGAAGGATTGGTGTTGAGCAATCCTTCATCCGCCTTTGGATATTTTAGTCGACTCAAAATAGGAACTTCTCTCACAGGGAGCCATGCTGCAGGCCGTGTGCATTCTTCCCTTCCTGCAATCACGAAGGGTTGGAGAAATCCTCTATCCACCTTTGGAACTCCCCTCCCCTCTTCTCATCCCACTTCCCCTACCCTTTCTTCCTCTCGTCCCCACTCTTCTCCCTCAAAACACATTGTCAGCTTCTCTCCCCCGTCTCATCCCCACACACCCTTCTCTGACCCCTCTCACACTCCCAGGATGCCCTGTCAGCGCTAGCTTCAGGTCGACTCCCCCGTCCTTCCCTCCTTCCTTCCTTTGAAGAACTCAAAGAGGCTGTGGGTTTTCCGGAATACCTTGCTCTGGAAGAGCGGTACAAACTGGTGGAGAGCGGTGATGGGAGCGGCTGGAGTAGCGGGAGCAGCAGGAGGAGGAGTGATGCGGACGCTGCTGCTGCAGCAGCTGCTGCTGCATCGGCGCGAGCGGCGGCAGAAGCACAAGCAGAGGAGGCAGCAGCCGCAGCGCGAGCAGCAGCGGCAGATGCAGCAGCAGCTGCAGAAGCGGCAGCTGCGGCAAACTGGCAGCAACAGCAACAACAGCAGCAGTACCAATCGCAGCAGCAACAATCCCAGCAACAGCAGCAGCAGCAGCAGCAGTGGGGCGTGGTAGAGCCAGTTGTGATAGAACCTGACGAAACAGCAGGAGCAGGATCAGAAGGCTGGAAGAACCTTGAAAAAACCCGCAGCAGCAGTGGTGGTGGTGGTGGGTGGGGAAACTGGACGCGCGTGCTGCGCGTGCAAGTGCTAGGCCCGAACAGCATCACCAAACTCGACTTCCGTGTACCGGTCAGTGCTTGGTTCACTTCTACTTTCAGCTGACCACGTGTCTTTTAAGTTGACTCTAACTGGACGCGGGCACTGCGAGTGCAAGTGCTGGGCAAGAACAACATCTGTAAGCTTGACTCCTGTGTTCCGGTCGGTGTGGTTTGCTTCTCCTCTCAGCAAACCAAACTCGGGACCCCACGCCCTCCTGCCCTCAGATCTATCCGCGTGTGCACACTTCTTCCTTTGCTGCCATATGAAAGTGCGCAACAGAGTATCGAAATGTCCCGAGACTCTTTTTCCACCTACCCTTCTCTTCCGCCCACAAGCAACTGTCCATCTAGCTTCCTGTATGCACACCCATTCTCCTCCCGTATGCCATCACTCTCATCCCATTCTCCATCTGTTCTTTTCCTCTCTCCCCTCGTTCTCTCTCTCTCCCTCTCTCCCCTCCCCACCTTCCATCCATTGTACCCTTCCAACACCCCTCAGGCTGGCTTTCTAGGAAGTCTTGCCAACACCATTCCAGGTTAGTCCCAAGGCTCATAATGTTCCTCCTGCTGCTCCTCCTCCTCCTGCTCCTCCTGCTTCTCTTCCTGCTGCTCCCCTCGCTGCCCCTCTTCCCCGCTGCTGTCTCATGCTGACTAAAGCTGGCTGCTGGTTCTGTCGCACGTTCATTTAGTGTGCGCCGTATTGGAGGAGTATTCGTTAGCCTGACAACATTTGAGGCGCCTCAAAAGTCAGCGTGTTGCCATAGCATGGCATGGCATGGAGGGTAGCAAGATTCGTGAGCCTGACAGCACTGGCCTGCTAAGAAGCGCAGCTGCAGCAGGTGCTTTATTCTGTCAGCACCGCACTCTTCTGGTCCTATTCCCTCTCTCCCCCATTTCTCCCCCCTCCCCCCTTTCATCATTCGATCCAACACCCCGTTCATCCATTCACTCTCTCCTCCCCTCCCACCCGCTTCCTTTGTGCTGCATTCATTCCCCCACCGCACAGCCGTGGCGGGCATTGATCTGGCAGGGCTGGTGGAGCGAGCAGCAGCGCATCAGCAGTTGATTCATCCTTCCCCTTACCTTTTCTGCACCACGTTCCCCCTCCGTCCCATTCCCCCTGGTTTTGCACATTCCCCCACCCTGCCCCTTCCCCACACCCATCCCACGTCACAGCTGTGGCGGGCATTGACCTGGCGGGGCTGGTGGAGCGAGCAGCAGCGCGAGCCGCAGCAGCTGCTGATGCATATTTCCCCCTGCTTGCCATTTCCCTTTCATTCTCCTCCCGTCTCTCCCAATGGTTGCAGCCGTGGCGGGCATTGACCTCGGGGCTAGTGGAGTGAGCAGCAGCAGCACTTAAATCCACTCAAACCCACACCCCCACCCCTCTTCCCCTCGCTTTTCCATTCACCCTTACTGCTTTCCCCCTCGGTGCAGCCGTGGCGGGCATTGACCTGGCGGGGCTGGTGGAGCGAGCAGCAGCGCGGGCGAAGTCAGAGGGGGGAGGCGGGGGGGACGACGAGGTGGTGGTGGTGGATTTCAAGGACAAGTCCACGGGCGACCGCGTTCGCATCCTTCTCGAGTGATGCAGAGCGGTTGGGATAAGTAGAGAGCAAGTGTAGGGACTGCACGGGTGTAGAAGGGAGGGCGAGTGGGTGGGTGAGTGGGTGACGAGGTGGTTGGGGGGAGGTGGGGGGGGTGACGACGTGGTGGTGGTGGATTTCAAGGACAAGAGCACTGGCGACCGCGTGCGCATCCTGCTTGAGTGATGCAGAGTGGTTGGGATGGGCTGGGGGCAGATGCAGGGAGTGCAGGGCTGCATGGGGTGACAAGGTGTGCTGGTGGGGGAGGGGGGAGGTGGGGGGGACGACGAGGTGGTGGTGGTGGATTTCAAGGACAAGAGCACGGGCGACCGCGTTCGTATTCTGCTTGGATGAGCCCGCTGTGATGCAGAGTGGTTAGGATGGGTTCGGGGATATTGTAAGGAATGCATGTGGGTGGGCGGGCGGGTGGGTGACCAGGTGGTGGCGGAGGTGGGGGGGATGATGAGGTGGTGGTGGTGGATTTCAAGGACGAGTCCACGGGCGACCGCGTGCGCACCCTGCTGGAGTGATGCAGAGCGGTTGAGATGGGTCTGGATGTGTCTGGTTGGGGTGGGATGGGTTGGGACGGGTTTGGTGGTGGATTCTAGAGACTGGATAGGTGACCTTTGTCGCGCAAGTACTGGCTAGAGTTGAGTTAAGAAGCGTGTGTGTGCAATATTCTTCTGAAAGAGTGAGATGAGATTGATGGGTTTTTCAGGCTTGACTTGGCCAACTACTGGAAACATATGATGAATGAGATTATGAGTGTAGCAGTAGTAACCGGCTCTACTGTACCATTCCTACCACTCGTGTACTCCCAACGTGACGCTACCGGTACAGCCCGCGAAACCTCTCTGCCATTGGACGACCGATATAATCAGTCAGGCAAAAATCTTTGCCTGATTTATAGAATTACTGTATCCTAGCAACTATGGTATCATGGTATCTTTCACACTAGCACACCTCTCCCAATATAATGTACGAGAATAGAATACGGGGTCAGTTCTTACGCCCCTCCACGAGAATTACGTGGTAACCGTGCCTGAATGGGGGTTGGGGTGTGATTGTATGTAATGAGACCATGAAGTGAGGGAGGTAGGCAGCACAATAAGAACAGCAGGCAGCACATTGAGATAAGAAAGCAGCGAAGTGAAGCAAAGTACGGTACGGAAACCCCTTGCTGAACTACTGGCAGCACAGCACAGATAGCGCCTGTGAAAGGCAAATGTAGACCAGCTGGCAGCAGATAAATCACTTGGTTTCCCCAAAAGACCGGCTTTGACCCCCTTGGTTTCTCCACTGCCCGCCACCCAGACAACCTCTATTGACTCACGTTGACTTGAAGGGTGCTGACGTGGCGCCAATGGGTGTGGCAAAGGCAACGTCCTGGAAAGGCCCGGCCATCTTTCCCCGGGGGAACCAGCCCAGATCGCCACCCTTCTTGCCCGATGGACACTCCGAATAGGCTTGGGCTATCTGTAGCGGGGAGGAAGGGGGAGAATGGGAGAGCAGGGGGAAGGCGAGGGGCACGGTGCTTGCTAGGCCCGGCCATCTTGCCTTGCCCCGAGGAAGCCAGACCAGATCGCCGCCCTTCTTGCCCGACGGACACCCTGAGTATGCCTGGGCTATCTGCAAGGCGGAGGGGAGGGGGAGAAGAATAGGGGAGGGAGGAAAATGAACGGGAAGGGGAAGAGAAAAGAACCCCTCAATTCTTGCCTGACAGACCCTCTGGGTAGGCCAGGCTAATGGGGAGAGGGGGGAGGGAAGAAGGGGAGGAGGATAAAATGGGAGAATAATAAACTTCATGTCATGACATGCCAACTTCTTCGGCAGTGGAAAAGGAAAGAAAAGGAAAGACCAAATTTTTACAGGCTAGCCCAGTGGGCAACATGACAATCCCCAATCTAACGATCATCCGCTCCCCAACCACTCAACATACCCACTGTTCCCACCGTTTTTAGCCTCCGCACTACACTCTACTGCACCCAAAAGCATACCCACCCACCCCAACACTCACCCACGGCTCCACCCACCTCGCCGAACGTGGTGGGCGGAACCTTATCCCCCGCGTCCAGCCACCCCTCGTGATCTTACCCACCAACCACCCACCATTCTCACAGTCCCCGCTGCACGCACCACCAGCCCCCCATTCTCACGGTAATGCTCCAGCCATACCCACAGTCCCACCCACCTCGCCGAACTTGGCGGGCGGCACCTTATCCCCCGCGTCCAGCCACCCCTCCTGCAGCTTCTTGTACGCCTCGTTGATCTTGCCCTGCTTCTCGCACAGTATGTGCCGCGCTGGGGAGACGGGGAGAGGGCAAGGGGAAAGGGGGGAGGGAGAGGGCATGAGGGCGTGAAAGGGTGGTAGAGAGTGGTGCGAACCGGTTCCACCTTTGCTCCTGCATATTCTTGTACGCCTCGTTGATCTTGCCCTGCTTCTCGCACAGTATGTTCCGCGCTGGGGGGGAAGAGCAAGCGGATATGGGAGAGGGAAAGGGCACGAGAGCGTGAAAGGGTGGTAGAGAGCGGTGAAAACCGGCTCTACTCTTGCTCCTGCAGCTTCTTGTACGCCTCGTTCATCTTGCCCTGCTTCTCGCACAGTATGTGCCGCGCTGGGGGGGACCGGGGGGAGGAAGGAGGGAAGGGGAGCGAATGCGAATGAGAGCGTGTAAGGTTAGCAGAAAGCGGTGAAAAGGGGTTTCGCCCTCGATCCTGCAGCTTCTTGTACGCCTCGTTGATCTTGCCCTGCTTCTCGCTCTCAGACTAGTTGAGTTTTGAGTTCTTTATATATCTTCGAAGAAATATGAATTTAAGAGCGCGCTGATCGTTTCGCGAGCGTAACCCGACGAGCGAACACCGGAAGGCTTCGCGCCGAGAGAAACACCCAGAAAGGGGTATGGAGAGATACGGCGTGACGGAATCCGTAGAATGTTTCTCAGAATTCGACTTTTGAGATGTCTCGAGAATCGGAATCTGTAGAAATACTTCTCAGAATTTGCAAAAAACCCTGACGGGACGCTAACGAGCATACCTTTAACGTACGTGCAGGTACCGAGCTCGCCCTTCCCCCCGCCCTTTCCGCCTTTCCCCTTGTCGTCGCCGCCGCCGCCTCCCCCGGCCTTGCCCTTACCCTTGGGCGGCATTGGCGCGCAAGGACTAACGCTGCGCGAACAAAAGCGAAGGGTCTGCGAATTCGCGAGAGTCGCGAGCGACTAAGCGATAACGGTGCTAGCGAGGAAGACGCTTAGGAACGGCAGGAGGAAACGGGATTTGGGAAGAACTTAGCTAAGTGAGGGAAAGGGCTAGGCGGGCGGGAAATATGACAGAAGTAGGATCTAGAGGCAATTCAGCGCTCGGTTGATTCTATGCGGTTCCATCAGGTGTTGCCACAAACCAGTGGGCCGTGTGCGTTTTCAAACGGTACGATAAGGTCCTGACTAATTAGGAGCCTGAACATTTCTCAATTTTGCGAATGGAGACAGGGAGCAGATTGAAGTATACGCAAGTGTAAGCTTTCATGACTGTATTAAGATAGAAGACGATTGTTACGCGTACGGACTGTGGGTTCATCTGGCAGGGCGAAAAGGCTTCCAGAAGCTTTTCGTCCCTCTTCGCCACACACGCTTCACCTCGCTCGTGGCACGCGCAGCAGCAAGGGGCGAATAGCGGCGGGGAAAAAAAGAGAGGGTGGAATTAGTAGATCGACCGATCGTAAGCGGGATAATCGATCGTAGATCGCAGGTCGTCCAATCGTCGCCGGATCGCCGTTGTGTGAAGTCGTGATGGGTTTGCCGTGTCCGATCTAAGAGTTTCACGCCATGCTGTGCTCGGCCCGATCTGAGAGTTTCACCCTCTTTCCGATCTCGACCGTCCATTTGTCGCGATGAGATCCGCAGCTCGAGAACTGCTTCAGGCAGCGTGCCGGTCCCTCCGGCTTCCATCCGTCCCCACGCCTTCTGCTCGCGTCGCCCTCGCGTCTCGCCACGCCGTCCCACCCGCGCTCGGCGGCGCCGTTGGCGGCGGTGTTCGCGGCGCCAGTGGCCTCGCTGGCCCAGGCGTCCTTCCCGCCGCCGCCGCTGCTGCTCTCTACTACCAACCCAGGCAGCAGCAACAACAGCAGCAGCAGCACCACCACCACCCCCACCAGCATTGTCACTCTCATCATAATCACCTTCACCACAGCGTGCAATGCCCGCAGTCGCTCGTAATCGCGCGTTCCGCCTCCCCCCCATCCTCCGCCACCCCCTCCCCGTCGTTCTCCCCTTCATTTTCCTCCCATCCCATCTTCACTCCCGCTGCCGCTGCTGCTGCTCCCGCCGACCTCCCCTCTCTCCATGCGCGTCAGTCCCCGGGGGCGCTCCTGCCGCATTCGCCGCCGCATTTTCCGCCGCATCGCCCGGCGGCCATGGCGACGCAAGCGCCTAAAGGGGCTGTGCAGACGCAGCCGCCGCGAGGGCCGGTGCACATGCAGCAGCAGGTGGGCGAGGGTTGGTTATGTAATAGAAATGGCGGACCAAAAGGGGTTTTGAAGGGGTTTGGCTGGGTTTGAGGGGGTTAAGCGCCGCTCGTCACTCTCCTCTCTCCCCCTTTCCACTCGCCTCCGCCCACTCCCACGCCTCACTATTCTCGCGACCCTTATTGCTTGCATTTCAAGATCCACTCTTCCCTCCCACTCTCCTCCCGCTGGTTGCCTACTCTCCCCCCCCTCCCCTTTCCCTTCCTCTTCCGCCCACTCCCCTCCCCCAGGCTCGACTGCTCGTGTATCTGCAGAGCCCGGGGGTGAAATTCGACCCTTACTGCTTACAGAGCTCATGGGTGAAACACCCATTGCTCCCACTCTCCTTTAACCGCCTCCTCGTTCTCCTCCCTCCTTCTTTCCCCCCTTCTTTCCCCCCCTTCCCCCCCTTCCACCCTTCCCCTCTTTCCCCCTCCCCCAGGCGCGTCTGCGCGTGTATCTGCAGAGCCCGGGGGTGATAGGCGACCCCTACCGCCCTCTTCCGCCAATGCCCTTCCTTGCCAGGTGAAATCCCCGTCTCTGCTGCTGCTGCTGCTGCTGCTGCTCATGCTGCTGCTGCTGCTGCTGCTGCTGCTGCTGCTGCTGCTGCTGCTGCTGCTGCTGCTGCTGCTGCTGCTGCTGCTGCTGCTGCTGCCACTGCTGCTGCTGCTGCCACTGCTGCTGCTGCTGCCACTGCTGCTGCTGCTGCCACTGCTGCTGCTGCTGCTGCTGCCACTCATGCTGCTGCTGCTGCCGCCGCCATCACTCTGTTGACAATTTCTCCAACGCTTTTGAGCTTCTGTATTCCCTCTCACACTCTCTCCTCAACCTCTCATCTCTCTCCCCCTTCCCCAGCTCTTTCCCAAGGCCGGGCTGGAAGCAAAGTTTTCTATCTTTGACTCTGTCTCCTCGCCTCTTTGATCTTTCTTTTATCCTCCCCCCCCTTGCCTCTTCCTCCCTTCCCCCCCCCCCCCCCCCTCTCTCCCTTTTACCCCATCGTGCCTTATTATTTCCTCGCGAACCTTCCTTCTCCCACCCCAGCTGGTTCACAAAGGCGGGGTGGAAGAGACGCTGGGTCAAGTGGAGTGATGCGGTGAGGAACACGTGTGGGGTGGGGTGGGGTGTGGTGGGGTAGGGTGGGGTCGGGTGGGGTGATGTGGGTTGGTTTGGGTTGGCGTGATGTGGCAAGGTGTGGTATGGCATGCATGGTAGTCCCCTAACCTGATATAGCGCTTGCCCTCACCCTGTGTTTCTGGTGTTTTTTCTCCTTACCCCTCCCCTTTCGACTGGCTCCCTGCAAAGCACGCCTGCACACCGTGCCTCCATGCACCTTTCTCACAGTGTGTTTGAGAGGTGTACTAAGGCGGTTCAAAGTACACTTTTCTCACCCCACCTGCCTCTTGCAACTGCGTCCATGCCTTCTCCTCTTCTCCCTTCTCCGCTCTCCCCTCAATCGCCATTACCCAGTTTCGATACACCTCAAGTCTCCCCTCTTCCCACCCCCATCTCCCCTACCCCGTCTTCCTCTCCATCTCTCCATCCCTCCTTCCCCCTTACCCCTCTTCCCTCCCGTGTCCAGCTGAAGACAGGGTACACGATTGCCATGCTGAGGCGCCACAACAGGGGATACTCCCGGCACGGGCTCTATAGGGAGCTTGCAGGCACCTACAAGCAGGTGATGCACGCCTGTCTACTACTCTCTCTTAACAATGTGCTAACAACTCCGAATCTGCAGCCACGCAATGCCTCCCACCACCGATAAGTGGTGTTCCTTGGGGCACGGGCTCTATAGGGAGCTTGCAGGCACCTACAAGCAGGTGATGCACACCCCGGCCCGGCTATGTTATGCTGTGTGCCATGCCATCCCATGCCATGCCATGCCATGCCATCCCATGCCATGCCATGCCATCCCATGCCATGCCGTGTCATGCCAGCCTCCATGCCATGTGCGATGTTACATCTCATGCGCCATTCCATCCATACTATGCCATACCATGCCATACCATGCCATGCCATGCCATGCCATGCCATGCCATGTCTGCATCATCAGCCTCCATGCTGCACCATCGTTTCTCTGCCGTTGAAGAGCCATGCATGGTATGCGTTGCATCCCTTCTTCATGAACAGCGACCCAGAGGCATCACGTAAGGTATGCATCGCGTACCTTTTCATTTACACCCCATTTGCGTCCTTCTCATCCATCTCTCACTGCTTCTCCATTTCACCATCCTTTTCTATCCCGTTCTCCATCCGTCCCTCCCTCCCTTCTTCTCACCCGCCCTCCCTCTTATGTCACGCAGATCAACCGTGCCATTGCAGCAGATGATCGCACGGCATTGCGACATCTTGTAACCGAGAGTGCCTTCACGGTACGTTGTCTCCTGTGGCACCTTTTATCTTTTGAGGCAACGCTTTGAAGGTCAAACGTTTGTCTCCTGAGGCGCCTTCTCCGTACCATACGTTTGTCTCCTGAGGCGCCTTCTCCGTACCATACGTTTGTCTCCTGTGGCGCTTAAGATCTCTCTAGTCAAATGTTGAAGGCGCCTCAAAAGACTGGGAGGCGTTTCAAAGATTGCACGGCATTGCGGTATCTGAATTGTTTCACTGTCCGCTCAATCACGAGCCCAACCCCTCCCTCCCATCTTCCCGTACCTACCATTCTCTACCTACCCTTCACTGCCCCTTCATAATCTATGTTGCTCTCTTCCTTAGGCATTGATTACCTTCCCTTCACTAGTTTCCCCCCTTCCGTTTCCTTGCCTCACCCCTCCCCCTCTCTCCAGTTACTGAAGAGTTCCCTCAAGCATCGGGCTGAGAGCGGTATAGCCCGGGTGGACTGGCACCTACTGGGGACGTCTGATGGAAACAGCAAGGCCGTTGTTTGTTCCTACTAAGCCAACAATAAAGTCATTTCATCCCTCCTCCCTCCAGTCACTGAAGAGTTTCCTCAAGCATCGCGCTGAGAGCGGTATAGCCCGGGTGGACTGGCACCTGGTGGGGGCGTCTGATGGCAACAGCAAGGCCGTTGTTCCTTCCAGCAACAAGCCTCCACTTTCGTTCAAGACCTTGCAAGCACGCCTGGTGGGTGTGCTGTTTGTGTGGTCTCACTTTGTGTATGTATGTGTGTGGGTGTGTGTGCTCGCGCGCACATGTGTTTCCAATTTTTTTATCGATCTCCTCGTTCTCCCCCCCTCTCCCCACCAACCATCTCTCCCTCTCCCAAGCACATACAACTCGTAACTTTCCTGTGGTCTTGATATGTGTGTAATCATCCTCCTCGATTGCACTGTGTGGTTGGGGGTATGCGGTGACATGTGAATCACTGCCAGATTTCATTGGAGAAGAGCAAACCAGAGAATGGCTTCGTACAGCTCACCCTTGAAATCAAGAGCAAGCAGGTTAGTTTCTTTCCCTCCTCTGTGTTTCTCTGGTGGGATTGAATGGTAGTTGCCACTTTTCCTTGCAACTCACCTCTAGGTGTTTTCACCCATGTTCCATGGTTACAGCAGGAATTCTCGCCACACTTCACCAGCCTTTCTTGCCCCATTGTTCGTTCATCACTTACATTCACTTGCCCTGTCTCATATCCCTCCTCCCTACAACAATGCCACCATCTGCCTGTTTTCTTTTTTGGTTCATGTGAACCTCTTGCCTACAGCGCATTGCAGCGTATGATAAGCGCAAGAAGCTGATTAGTGGGGATCCAAATGCTGAGGTGAGTTTTCGTTTTTTGCCACTTCTATAGTGCCTGTGCGCTCAAGATCGGTCTAGCACGAGCAGGCAAAATGCTAGTCTGCACTTAGCTGCTTGTGTTGATATGCACCAAGTTTGCCATGCCGTGGTATCCATCCACCTGTCATGCCATGTAATTGCTTGCTCGACTCAATGCTTCATTTTTCATTACATCACTAGGTCCCTATCAATTGACCATTCTGACTGGCTCATTCTTTACATTTTGAATGAATGCACACATCAGGTCGATGTGAAGGACATCTGGGTGTTTGAGCGACACATGCTGCACCCAGAGCTCCCATGGAGGCTCTGTGGGCAGCTGGTAGAACCTCCCCCTCAAGCGGATAAATCTGGAAAGTAAAAAATAGTTGCTGCTAGCAGTGGCAGGCGATAGTGGCACGGTCATTCGAGATCAAAATTCCAATTTTATGCTGGCATGGAGTGGCATTGTTGCAACTGGCAACCCACAATATTGTATGGACATGCCTGCTCAGTAAGATGGAAATAGCAGCCTGAGCTTGTTATGTAAAATCTCTGCCTCTCACCTTCAGCTTCCCATCTTCACGTCTTGTTACAGTATTCCGTCTAGTATCCCATCTACAGTATTCAGTCACCCTGGACTCCTCACTGGGTGAGGTTCTGTCCTGCACCCTTCCAAACGTATGTGGCTGTGAAACATCAATCGCCATCTCTTTATTGGGTACAACATGATACAAACAACAACATGCTAGCTTCACCAACGGGCAAACTGCTACTCCAGGTCTCTCGTTGTCGGTAAGATGCTCCGCGATCCACACAATACTTCATTGTTTACTTGGCTACCTTGGCGTTTGCTTCGAAGACATACTTGATCACAGACGCCTTGATGTCTAGGAGCTCCGGGAATTCCGCCTTCAGCTTTGAAGCATCAAGCTCGTTATTGCTGCGAGCAGCCACAATGACCTTCGCCTGCGTACAATAGGAACACCATCCTTAGTCACTTGGTTAGTTAAGGGCAACACCGCGGACCTGGTACGTGACAGGAAAAAATTTACCTGATCCTCGATGGTGAAATTGGTGTACGTGAACGCAGGATCAATGTACTTCTTGTAGAGGTCGAGAATCTCGTTGTGGCTAATCACTCCAGGGTTTGTGAAGTTCCAGATCCCTGTCAGGTTTCGTTTCGCCATCTCGATCGCGATGGGTAGAAGTTCATCAAGTACCGTCATGGAGTTCGGAATGTTCACAACCTGCACGGCGTCCAGATAAGTTGTTGAAAATTGTTTCATCTTATGAGGGGAGACCTCGAAACGGCAAGGCTTTCCTGTTAATCCTATAGCATAATACTTCCGCCTTACCTTCTGGTAGCGGGTTATCTTGGTGATGAAGTTTCTTGGATTGGACAAGTCTGAAGAAATGGGCATGCGAACCCGCAGAGTGCAGACGTTGTCATACGACTTCAGCAGCTCTTCCACCTGCTCACGACCAAACGAATGTTAGAGTTGTAATGACGCGTTATCATGCATACGTGATGTGCCGGATCTTCCTCCCAGCACCTACCATTCCTTTGGTCCTGGAGTAGAAGGATCCAAAGAAATTTGCGGAATCTGTCTCCTTGAAGCCGATCCCACTTCCCGTCGGATGAGATTCATCGTACTCGAAGATGCAGCCTGTTGCAAAATTCACCACCAGAGCTCCATGGTTCCTGCACAGAATAATCGTCTTTGTGGTTAGACATAGAAGAGGGGTGAAGTTACAGAAGCTGGACAGACGGGATCAACTGTACGCACCTTGCGACATCAGCGAGGGTCAAAACACCAACGACGTTTGCTCGAATCGTTTCAACCTGATGGCTCTCGCACCAGTCCACGTTCGGACGACCTGTAACTCCTGCTGCGTTGAAGATGTGCGTGGGCTCAGCCCGAAGAATGTCCGCTTCAACTGCACGCCTGTCTTCCAGTCTTGCGAGGCCATACTCAAACGGGATCCCCTTTTCCTTGCACAATTTGCCCAACAGGCCGCCAATCCATCCAGTTTTACCGTAAATCAGAAACTTCGTCTCCTTAGATTGACAATCTGGAGCGTCGGATTCTTCAAGTGACTCGGGATTCGATGACGACCTTCCGATGCTGTACCCTGTGAGCATCCTGGGGTGCGGTACAAGGGCACCAGAGATGTCTCCCCAGTAGCCAACGTTGTTCTTGTACCAATTGAGAGTCTTCTTGAGACCTACCTCCCACGAGGTTCTCTCTTCCCAGCCAAGAGACTTGAGCTTTTGATCGTTCAAGTAATATCTTTGATCGTTGAATGGCCGATTCTCAACAAACTTGACAACCTGCTCTGGGTCTAGGCCAACCATCCGGCAAATATCTCGAGCAACGTCGATGACACGCCTTTCCTTGCGTGTCCCAATGTTGTACACTTCACCAACAGTACCCTGCAAATACGGTACTAAACATTAGTACACCGCAAAATGGAAAATGAAACAACGCAACAAGCAATCAAGAAAGCTGACGACTGATCAGTCACTTACCTTGTGAAGGACCACATCAAATGCCTCGGCAACATCTTCGCAATACAAGTAGCTTCTGACGTTGGAGCCGTCTCCATGGATCGGCAAGGGTTTCCCTTGCATGGCGAGGAGAAGGAACTTGGGGATGAGCTTCTCGGGAAACTGATTTGGGCCGTAGACGTTGTTCCCCCGGGTGGTGATGCAGGGGATGTTGTAAGACTGACCGTAGGCCATAACAAGCATTTCCGCTCCAGCCTTGGTGGCCGAGTATGGATTTGTTGGAAGCAGTTGAGACCCCTCATGGTTACCCACAAGTGAGTCCAGGCTTGTCTCTCCATACACCTCGTCGGTGCTAACGTGGATGAAACGTTTGATGGTTCCAGCAACCTTGCAGGCCTCGAGGAGGACGTGCGTTCCGTATATGTTGTTCTTGGTGAACTCAAAACTGTTGCCGAAGGAGTTATCGACATGCGTCTGAGCTGCAAAGTGCATGATGGTGTCGATGCCTTCTGTCAGGAGAAGGTAGTTCACAAGATCCGCACTCGCAATGTCTCCCTTGACGAACTTGAAGTTCGGAGATGACTTGCATGGCTCCAGGTTCCTCAAGCTTGAGCAGTAGTCTAGCTTATCCAGCACGACGACCTTGTACTGAGGATAGAAACGAACAATTCTGTTAGCGACATGTGAAGCAATGAAACCAGCAGCTCCAGTGATAAGAATGGCCTTCGGAGTGTAAGTCGCCATGGTGTGTAAATTGGCCGGCCTAGTCCGCCTGAGCAGGTTCAGGAATTACTGAGCAGTAGTCACCAGAAATCACGAATCAGCCGTCAGTTTTGTAAGGAAGTATGTAGTGAGCTAGTAAAGTGGCTGCTATCTCAAGGCGTAGCGTCATGCAACCTCAAGGTTCGCCACGCCCTCGCGCCTCGATGTTGGCTCCACAACAAACAGACATCTGGGGCATCGGAAGAGCCCAGCATTATCAATTATTCCGGAGGTACACTTTTGCGCATCGGTTTTCTTGAACGTAGAAAAAGTGGATGAAATGTGAAAGAGGAGAAAAAAATATAACCAAATACTACGAGGCATAACCCCTGTGAGGCAGGCATCTGGAAAAACACTGGCTCAATTGTATATTTAACTATCTATTCATGCCTATCTATTTAGCATAACTGAAAAGGTTATACGTACCGTACATGGAAGCGACCTTTGCACTTGCAGAACATTATAATTTTTAAACACATTCGTGTTTTTCAAAATTGTGTATTGTGAAAGCGAAGCTGCCTGTACCGAATATTTGGCAGCGTCGAAGCGTGCTAAACGCCCTTCTCCAACTACAAAAACCGTGGGTTGGAGTTCATTTCCCTCCACCCACGTTTCTCTATTTTCAACGGCTCTATCAACATTCCGTTCGAGTAGTTTTTTGCTTCCGTCCAAGCTGGCTAGAACTCGCAGCCTACCGAGAGGCGTGTCGCCCTCAAGTTTACTGCGCGACATTTTTACCTACAATCGCTCAACTATGGCGTCTACGCCGACACTTAACCGCGGCAATTCGTCGGCCCCGACTTCCGACCCCGACCGTAACGCCCGAGAATTGACGGGCGAACGCCGTAACAAGCGGCGGGCAGAGGAAGGATCGCCCGCCCCGACTGCAGTGGATGCGCTGTTGGGCGGGCTCGAGGTCAACAACGACTCGAGCACCCCCCTCCAGCAGCACCCTTCGGCGCCTGTGGCGCCAGTGGCGCCTGAGGCACCCATGGCGCAAGTGGCGACGAAAGCGCCTACAGCACCTGTGGCGCCACACGCGCCTGACGCACAGCACGCGCCAGCGCCTGTGGCTGGACCGTCGCGTCAGCGCCAGAAGCGCCGAACTGCTTCAACGTCCGACGCGACGACCCCGGCGTTGACTCCGGCGTTGACTCCGGACCAAATCGCCGCACTTCTGTCCCTGTTACAGCAGCAGCCCGTCAGCGTTACAGCTGCGGAAACTGCACTACCAGCGGCCTCTGCTTCTGCAAAAAAGGAAACTGCAAAAACACAAAAAGGAGCGCGAGGAACAACGGCGAACCGGCACGACAAGGAAGCAGCGGCCAACACCCCACCTGCGCCAGCTGCCGATGCTGACACCGACGACTCCGACGACGACAATGGTGAGGCTCCAGTCAATGCCCCAAATTTTATTTCCGTGGAACACCTCCCCCCTCTCCCCTCTAACACCAACACTACTTGGTCGGCGGCGACATTCAACCACCCGGACGTGAAGGCGAAAGCGGAGGTCCTGGAGGACATGAGGGCCTACCTGAAGCACACGGAGTTCAAGCTGCAGCACGGCGATTTGGCGGGCGGTCTCGAAATTGTCGTCGCCGCCCTCGACGATATCGCGGCGCGCTTCGACATGTTTCAAGTCGAGGATGCCGCCGACGAACGCGTCGCCAAGCGCTACAAGATGTACGTGGAGAAAAGCTTGTTCACCTCGCGGCCATTCAAGCAAGCAGTCGCGGACGTTGCTGCCATGGACCGAGCGGCGGCCACTCATGCTCGCTTCAACCGCGGCGGAAACCACGGCGCGGCGGCGTTCCCCCCAAAGCGTGGACCGCTGCCATCGGGCAGCTTCCACGGCTTTCGCTGCTCGTGCTTTCGCTGCGGCCAGCCAGGCCACGTCGCCAATGCATGCCCTCGGAACGGGCAGGGAGGCCAAGGACCCGCACCCGTCGTGTAGGGGTCGGGATTGGGCCAAGTGTGCCATTGGGCATGATGCACGGTGCACTTTCGAGTGCTTAGGCCGTGGGCAGCCTATTAGGGCTTGCGGTGGCCATGGGCTAGCCCTAGGATAGGGTAGTATGAAAAGGCCATGAGCTTAGCTTTGGGGAAGAGGAAGAATGCCTCTCGGTCCCCCGTATGCCCCAATTGATGGGATGAAAGGCATGCTAGTGGCATGAATTGAAGGACTTTTGACCCATTACTTGGTGGAAAAAAAAAAAAAAAAAAAGGAAGAAGGAAAGGAGGAAATGAGGAGGAAGAGAATGAGAAAACACATCACATGCTCCTCATCTGAACTACCGCTGCCATCTACGGGAAGGCTGGGCAGCCACGGTCTTATTGGAAGCAGGCCCTAAAGGGCACAAAGAAGCATGGAGCGTATAATGACAAATAAGGAAAGGGAAAGCGCGGGAGCTTAAGAGAGGGGACGTGCGGAAGGTCACGGGCCCAAGCAAGGGAGGTATGCACATCCCTAAATAACAATATGAACATGGCGAGAGAGAGAGAGAGAGAGAGAGAGAGAGAGAGAGAGAGAGAGAGAGAGAGAGAGAGAGAGAGAGAGAGAGAGAGAGAGAGAGAGAGAGAGAGAGAGAGAGAGAGAGAGAGAGAGAGAGAGAGAAGAGAGAGGGAGAAAGAGAGAGAGGGGCCAATATTGCCGTGAAACGGAGGGGATCATACCCATACGTCGGTTGGCATGCAAAACATTCGCACAAGCCCTCTATGGCATGACGGAAAACCGTTAGCACTATTCATCTTTTGTCGAGTTATCTTTGACACACACATGCACACGGCCGGCTTATGCATTGACTAAGGAATGCGATACCCTGTGCCATTTTATTGCCATGCCATAAATATACAGGCGCACAACAATATGAGGTGTCACGCGACGGCGACCCGTACAAGCTCGCTGTCACTGACAAAACCGTCACACAGATGTGCGGTCGGCTGCGCTCGACCTTCGCATGGTGGAGCTCATGGTGCCCTTGTAGCCTCGTCCTCTCCATAATCGCTAAGGGGTACTGGCTTCCATGGAGCCATGGCCCACCACAGCCCTCCCGGGAGCGCAATCACGCCGGGGCATACGCGCATGCCACGTTCACACGTACCGCCATCCAAGAACTCACGGAAGCCGGAGCGGCAGTTGAGACGGCTACAGGGTGTTAAACTGTATTATGCTTGTAGGCTGTAGTGGGGTAGCCAATATGGGGTACAACCCCAACTAGGGTTTCATATTTGTACCCAAACTTCTGTTAGTTCAATCATTCTTGCCTAGTGATTCTGACATGGTATTCAGAGCAGGAGGTCCCTAGGACCTACCGATCGTTTTTAGGGCCCACCACCGCTCGCATGCGGTTACCACGCTACCCCGTTCCCTAGCCTCGTAGCGCCCTCGTGCGCCCTCGTTAGCGCCCTCGCGCGCACCCTCGTTAGCGCCCTCGCGCGCACCCACGTCAGCGCCCTCGCGCGCCCCTTCGTTAGCGCCCTCGCGCGCCCCTTACTAGCGCCCTCGCGCGCCCCTCACTAGCGCCCTCGCGCGCCTCTCACTAGCGCCCTCGCGCGCCCCTCGCCGAGCCGCCCGCTCGCAGCCCGCCCGCCCGCTCGCTGCCCGCTTCGCGGCCCGCTCACTACGCAGCCCGCCCGCCCGCTCGCTGCCCGCTTCGCGGCCCGCCCGCTTCGCAGCCCGCTCGCTCGCTGCCCGCTTCGCGGCCCGCCCACTTCGCAGCCCGCTCGCTCGCTGCCCGCTTCGCGGCCCGCCACTTCGCAGCCCGCCCGCCCGCTCGCTGCCCGCTTCGCGGCCCGCCCGCCTCGCAGCCCGCTCGCCCCGCTGCCCGCTTCGCGGCCCGCCCACTTCGCAGCCCGCCCGCCCGCTCGCTGCCCACTTCGCGGCCCGCCCGCATCGCAGCCCGCTCGCCCCGCTGCCCGCTTCGCAGCCCGCCCGCCCGCCCGCTGCTCGCTTTGCGGCCCGCCCGCCTCGCAGCGTCGCCCGCCCACCGTGCTGCCCGCTTGCAGCGCCGCCTGCCCGCCGCGCTGCCCGCTTTCCGGCCCGTCCGCCGCGCTGCCCGCTCGCAGCGTCGCCCTCCCGTCGCACTGACCGCTTGCAGCGCCGCCTGCCCGTAGCGCCAGCCTCGCCCGCTGCTCTCGATCCGTGCACAGGAGCATGTGACCTGCAGCTGTTTCTCCTGAGCGATAGCAAGGAGCATGTGTCGCTCTATGACTACGCGTCTGGTGCTGCGCCTGCCCCTCCTGCCACAGCTGAGCTTAGTGTTCGTTCCCACTGGCAGACTCGTGACGCAGCTGCTCGCCTAGCCATTCGCAGTCACCTGCCGTTAGCTGAGCTAGAGCATTTTGGCGACTGCAAATCCGCTAAGGCCCTGTACGACGCTGTCGTCGCTCGCTACTCCTCGCCTGCCACAGCCGAGCTTAGCCGCCTCATGCTGCCGTACCTGTTCCCCGATCTGTCCACCTTTACTACAGTCGCCGATCTTATCACCCACCTTCGCACTAGTGATGCTCGCCTGCGTGCCGCCCTTCCCACCGAGTTCTGCGCTAAGAACCCCCCTCCACTGTACTGGACACTCCACTTCATAGTCACCCGTCTCCCTGACACCCTCCGCTCAGTTCGAGACCACTTCCTTGCTCGCTGTCCCACTGAGCTCACAGTCGCCCTCCTAGAGGAGCACCTGCTCGCGGCCGAAAAGAGCATTGTAGCTGTCGGTGCTGCTCGTGGCGCTCCTCGCACCCCCATCTTTGAGGGGTGTTCTCCCTCTCCCCTCGCTCCCTCCTACGCTGCTGCTGCTGCTGTTGACTTCCTTGGTGCTGAGTCTGTTGGCGCTGCTTCTACTCCTGGTGGGAGGCGCCGCACCGGCAAGGGCAAGGGGGGCAAGGGTGGTGGTGGTGGCGCTGGGGGGGGAGGAGGTGGGGAGGTGGGGGGGGGAGGCGGTGCTGGAGGGAGCGGTGGCGGGAGCGCTGGTGGGAGTGGGGTCGGT